TGGCGCTTGTAAAACAGTAGCACATCTGTACGTGCTTTATTGCAGTCGCTACCCTCTTTTCAAGGCCTTCAGCTTTTTGCACATTCCTTTACGATAACAATGACACACACGGAGCATTCCACGCGGGGAAGCAACCACAGACCACCATGGGAAATCGATTTAAATCCTGGCACGCAAAGCGCGTACACTCGCCTTATTTCGTTATTGCCAGAGCTTCTTATAAGGCAGAATTAGAGCTGAATTATACTAAAAGGAAAACACCCATTATTTTCTCGCAAAGCAGTTCAGTAATCTCCATGGGGACCACCCACATCGTCTCTCACTGAAACGGCGATAAAACATCTCGAGTTTCTCCCCCCGTATCCTCTAAACTCTGAAACTACTATTTCCTCCGCTTCCTTCTTCCTATCGAGAACGTGCATTGCACCTTCAGGCACCCAAAGTCCCCGGCAGCGCCGTGATAGGCGTACTTACCGATAGACTGCCGCATGCTAGCCCCTTCAGCGCAGCCCTCAGAGACACTCCTTCCATTGAAAAACCAGCATATTTACTATTCAGGAACGCGAAATGCACGAGCATTGGTGTTCTTAGAACTAGCGGGTCGGCACCCTTCCTGCCTTTAACCCCATTCTTACCAAGTTTCACGGAAGTGAGATAACGGCATACAAATATACCAAGAACTATGGAAGTTAGTACGAAACATTCTGTGAATTGTTTCATGGCCTCAAAAGAAATATACCACGGTATTTTACCTCAAGAAGCATGCCGCAGTGGAGATGCCCCCCAATTTGGAGTCCCCCATAAGTAACCCATATACCAAGAAGCAAAACTCCATCCCCCTTCCGTTTTTCTTGCTGGTAGACGGGTTACATATAAAGTGTGGATTTAAACCGGAATTGGCGTTTAGTCTCTTTGCCATCTGCAAGGCTAACCCCGGGGGCTGCGCGCGCCGCAAAAGGCAGCAATGCTGACTTCTTCATCGTAGCACACTCAAGAGAAAGGAAATCAGGAGCAAATCAAGATAAATTTTGAGAAGCTGGAAATGCTTTAAAAACAAGGTTTGAAGGTGCTCAAGAGAACGGAGGGTGCCATTTCGACACAGTGTTTGCCGAAGAAGTTGAAAGCTTATTACTTTCGGTTACGACGTGAAGTCCAGGCTTTACGCCACACGAAAATATGTTAAGGATGGACAGTTTCCTTGATGGGTGAAAGCTGTTCTTCACATCTTGGGGTTTGGATTGGAGGTAGGCGGAGGATCTGCCTCAATGAGTCGAGCGGTCCTCTGGAATATAATGTGGGGCACGAAGTCCTTGAAGATGTCAGAAACGCAAAACGCACACACAGAGAACACGGCGGATGAAGAATTCCGACAGAAGCACATCCATTGAGACAAATGTATGCACGCAGAGCAACCACAGTCCTTTCCCCCTGTGTCTAGTAAAAGGGCCAGGAGGGTTCCCTTCCGCATAGTAGGGTATAGGCGTCTCAGCGGGAGGTATCAGGACGCCCTCATACAAATACAAACTCCAGGCCGACAATTTCATGTGCACATATTCACGTGTATGTGGGTCGACAGGCATAAACGCGCACTGAATGCATGCGGATGCCCACATGAGTGCAGACGCTCACGCATACAGGCTGTTACAGCAGCCCTTGCCTATTTCAAGCACCTCGCCAACGACCCCTGACAAACGCTTGTCGCCCTATGTAATGCAGTAGCAGCCACAAGGATGAATCTCACCTGATATCTGGAAAGAAGCTTCCTGCTACTCCCGCTGCAGCAACAAGCCACATTACCCATACAAAAGTAACAGCAGCAAGTTGCAGAGGCATACGAAGACTGCTGTTGCTCCTCATGTTGGAGTTCTGAAAGAGTTCGCTATGCGACAGAAGGCCAGAATTTATGGCTGCTTGCTGCTGCTGGTGCCTGTGCTGCTCCCAGCGGAGGTAAACATGGCGCGCGTTTTTACATTGCTGAGGGGTCGAGACGCAGATACCCAGGCAACGCGATGCATCCAGAGATATATATAGCAGGAAATGTGCAGAGAACAGCCCATCCACACGCCGGCCAGCGAGACTACGGGAGAAGAAGATCGAGTGAGGGAAGCGTCTCAATTAAAAAAATGCGCAGGTAGGGAACTTGAGCGAGAGACCCTTGCCAGTGCAAGCGAGAGGCAATCAGAGGAGCAGAGACGTAAGCCTTGGTGAGCAACAAAGGCGGCAGGCACAATACGAAGCGATAGTTTTGGAGCGGAGGGGACTGCTTCTCGTTGTGGTCGTAGGGGCGTACTGCATGGAGCTGGGGGAGAAGTATCAATGAGCGGAGAGATCCTAGCACAAGACACAGGCCCCCGATGGATAAAAATGCTGAGGCAGCGACAGACGCACTCCTGCAGCGGGCAAAACACAGAAAACGCGCATGGCTTTGCGATTCTACACCCACGCACTGAGTCTAAGGGTACTAAATGTGCCGCGAGAGAGGAAGAGAAAGATGCAGGGGCACAGCTATCGAGAGTGGAGGAAACGTGGAGAACACGCAAAACCCCCGAGGGATGCATATCCTACCAATCGTCGATGCCATATGCAATCATTGCGCAGGAGGAAGCAAGCAGGCCGTTTCGCATCCAAGAGAGATAGACATTCTCAAAGTTTAAGACTGCTGATTCGATCTGGAACAACATGCCCAATTGTTGGTGCTCATGTTGCAGCAGCTGCAATTGCTGCTGCACTTGTCGCTGCTCGTGCTGCTGCTGCTGCCGCAAGAGTCCAGCCCGTCTCAAGCCTCTTTTTCGCGAGGCTCTAAGGCTTCTTCGAAGCTCGTGCTGCTCCCGTGGCTTCTGAAGTGGCTGCTGCAGCTGCCGCTCGTCTGTGTCTCTCTGAATCCTGCGAGAGAGAGACACGATGCTAGCGAAGATGCTGAAACACGCCCCAAAGCCCGCACTCCTCTCCCTGCCCTGTCTCAGGTTCGCCTGCACAGAGCGACCAAAAGAAAGGGTAGAGGCGACAAGGAGGAGCCACCAGAAAGCGACAGCATGCGTTCAGGCTTCGCGAGGGCACACGAGGCAGAAGTGAGGGAAAGAGCGCAAGTGTCACTGGAACGATGAGGCTGAGAAGCCACAGCGGATAGAAACAGAAAGGGAGAAGAAGCCTTACCCACTGGCCACGGATGAAGAGGCAAAACGGATCAGGCCCAAGAGACGTGGATACTCGCTCCCACCGAGAGAGCACTCCACAAATAGCCTGTTAGCGCTGCTGCAGCAGTCCTTACTGAACATGCAGTTTTGCGCGTGAAAGCGGTGGCCAAAGGCAGCGATCCGAGGGTACGAGGGGGTGCTGCTAGGTCCTGGGGGGGCCCCTGCACAAACAGGAACTGTGCGGGGTGGGAGGGCCCCCCGAAGGGGGCCCCCACACTTCTGTGGTCCAACACCTCTTATCAAGGGATAGGAGGCCCTGCGGCCTGCAAATGAAGAAAGAGATAAAACCCCGAATACGCGTGATGCAGCTGCGGTCATTATTTCGAGGTGCGCCGTGCTACACCCGAAGCGCTACACTTGATACAAAAGACATGAGCAAAGAGGGCAAAAATTATGTGCCCAACTTGGGGGAGAATGAATACACCGCGGAATCGTGCGCTGGGTATGTGCCGCAGCGCTCAACGCTGGAGAGGGCGATCCAGGGGCTGCTCAATGGGCACGCATCACACAAAACGGCCGCCGATCAACCAGAGAGCAGTGCAGAAGATACGAATATATGACTATTGCTACGAATTCTGTGCTTGGGTGAGCCCTTGATGCCTTTTAATCAGCGTCCCCTCGCCGTATCGAGACATACAGCAGCGGGCCCAGCACGAGCCAGGCGGAATGCCGTTCATGCACAGAAGGCTTACGGATTTGAAACACCTTCAACAAGCTTTCCACAGGGGAGCTAGAGTAACGACAATAGCAGCTTTGACGCAACAAATACGAACAGTCCTTGTAAAGCAAGCGAGCGCTGCTTAATGTACTCGGGGTGCGCATTAAAATCATCCGACCTTTCAGTCCGCGCTCATTTGTCCGGCAGAGCCTATCCAGCAACGGCATGTCAAAAGAAAGAGGAACGCAGAAAAGTAGGCGAGATGAGTAGAGCATCTGGTAAGCGACATATGGGCACCCAATTCGCGTGCAAAGCAATTCAATACCGCGCATGGAATGCGCGTTCTCTTTTAGCCTGGGGTGTTTACTTTGCTTCTATTCTCTAGATCCCTTTTCATACCTCATATTTTTTCCTCTAAGCCTGTGTATGGGAAGACTCATTATTAGTATGCAATGTCTGCACTACAGCAGGCCTAGTATATACACCCAGATAGCCATTCCGGGCACACAAATGCTCGCTCACCGACTAAGTAACGCTACTGCTGCACTTAAATTAAGCTGCAAACCAGAGGATTAGAGAACTACCAGCCAGTGCTCGAATGCTATTCAAATGCATATGGTAGGCCTGCCGCAGCCTACACCTTGCACGCTAATAAGGAGCTTCCGCGCACACACGGGCCTAGGGAGGAAAAAGTGAGGAGTGAAAGGGGCAGTCGAAAACAGAAACAAAGTAGATCCGCTATGCAAAGAGACGACACTCGGCAGAGGGAAGAAGAGGGGATGGTCAAATGCTGATTAGAAGCAACGAATAAAACCTGCCATATCAACAGGTGAAATACCACACGTCTGGTGGCTTTTGTGGAGAATAAAGAAAGCGCCTCAAAGGGGCACGGACACCCTCTTTTTAGCGCGATAAGAGGCCTCTTTGGCATATTTCGAGCAGGAGCCGGCTAAAAGAAGCTGAAGCAGAGAAGAATGAGCACTACGCAATGGTCACTAGATCCCCACTTCACAAGAAGCCTGCTGGCTAGCAGGACAACACAGCTAGCCACAGGTGTGTATGGCTGGTTACAGGCTGCTATGGCTAGCCAAAGGGGTCATTGTACGCAAAAACATGTCGAACCCAGCTGCAGGCAGCGCTGCTCTGCATCACGTCGGGGAGGCGGCCAACTGCTTGAGCTTGTCGTTAAGAAGCTGATTTGCGCGTCTCACAGCATCATCTGTCATGTGCTGGAGCTGTTGTTCCTTCTCACGTTTGAGGGACTCATCTGCCCCCTTAGTTTGGGAACATACACTGTGAAGCTTTGATCTGAAATCCTGGCGAACCCGGCGAACTTGCACTTTGCACTGCACCATACAGAGCAGTATCACCAGCAGATGCCAAAGCGAAAAGGTAATGCGAATTCCCCAATAGGGACAAGAGCAGGGCGCCTGACCAGGCCTACATGCGAAGAGAAGTCTGTCTACAGTCCAGAGAGATGGAGCAGAGACACACACAGAAAAGAGAGAGTAGACACGGGAGCGCCAGAATCACGGGAAACGACATGTCACATGATGCCAACAGAAAGAAGGGATGGAGAGGCAGACGGCCCAAGAGGATCAGAGCGGAATCTACGCTTGCATACAGACGAGGGACAGAATGGTCTATGAAGAAGGAAACCGTTTGGCAACAAAAACATACATGGCCCTATACATATATGCGAAAACAAGGTCAGTGTACAGCTAACCCCTTCTGCCGCAGCCTTCGCTTGAGACACAAAAGAACTCCGGAGCTCCTCCGTCATCTGCACAGAACAACCAGCCACCCAGTTCTAACCTACACACATGCAGCCCTGCATGCTGGAACCTCCCTTACCTAAATTGCTTTTGCTCCAAGGGCCAAAGCCTGAAGCTGCAAATTTCAGCTCTGAACCCCTGGAGCTTAATACCTTAGGGAGCTGCACGCGGACGATTGTCGGCCCCTCTTCAGTGATACTCCAACGCTCATCCGTCTGGCGGAGAGCAGACACCACCTGCAGGAAGCACTCCAGTGTACAGACAGCTTTTGCTCTGCTTATGTGCCGCAGGTTATCGAGCATTCAGGCAGCGTCAATGAATTTCGACAATTTGAAGCAGTCAGGAGCACCGAAGCGGCAAAGCCCCAAATCCAAGTGCGATTTTGGTGTACAACAGCAGCTGCTGCCGCAGTAGCTGCTGTTGTTGTCGATGCAGTGTCGGGTGTATCAGTATTTTCAGCATTCGCAGCACAATGTCACGGCCAGTTCAAGGAGCAGCAATGAGACCGCAGCCCTACCTTCGAGAGGTGCTGATCGTTAAAAATCGTGAGCCTCACGAACGAGTTACCCCGAATGAGCACCTGTGCTAACTCGCCTAGTCGCTTGGTGCTGCCTGTACAGCCCCAAAGTACATGCCGCCCGAGTATACACCCCAAAACCTTATAAGGCGAAGAAGAAAACAAAACAGCGAAGCAACGATACACCGCTAGCCCCACATGCACTCGACACCTCGACGCCCCTAAGCAAACTGTGGAGTCTACAGATCGATCCAACGAAGTGGCCTCATGCCAATGGCGTCAAAGTTCGCATGCAGCTCCATAAGAATCATTCAGTGAATATAATAAGATTTTGGTATTGCTGCAGCTTGATCCTTCGGGACTGCGCTCCAGACTTACCACCGACGTGGACTTGGATCTGCTCGAAAACCTCCACATGGGGTCGGGATATCTGCATCTCCTTGAGCTTTCCTGCAAGATGCTGAAGCTGATTCTCCATTTGCTGCCTGGCTGCTTCCGCCTCCGCCTCAAAGCCCTCGAGCCCTGCTGCTGCTCTGCCCTCCCGCTCTGCCCCTTTTCTTCTTTGCTGGCGCTGATACTGGCAATCGCGACTGTCATCATCTACCTCGCCTGCATGTTCTCCCATATTTGCTGCGTCGGGGTTAATCTTTCTGAGGAGCCGTCGCAGCTTCTTTTCTTTGGCGGTCTCTCCGCCCTTCTGCTTTCCCCCGGCAAAACAACGCACTGCGCCACCCCAGCCAGAGTACACATTACTGAGCCAACGAGGTTCCGCCGCGGCAGCCCTCATAAGAGCTCCCTCCCTTCCGTTGCAGAAGTATCTGCAGTCATTTCTTAAGTACAGACTGGGAGGGGCCGTGGGAACCCAAGGGCCCTGTAGCTGGCTGGCCAGCGCCCCCAACGATGAGGAAACGCGAAACTGGGAGCTCCCACTCCGAGCCAAGGAAAGCTGCATTCTGAAGCATGCACGGATGCATTCAAGCCACTAAGTCCAGAAAGGAAGAAAATTTCCCGCAGATGATCTTGCTGCATCTGCAGCAGCAGGCGGTGCTGCTGGTGTTCTATAGGGATAGTGCCTGCGGCGATGCTGGCGCTACTACGACCCTTAAAGTGGTATGAGTGTATAAAAGGAAACAGACCCATGGATGCGTCTGAAATGCTGTAACGGAGTGGCAGCTACAATGAGCAGCAAACCACTTGACTCGTTTCTGTATTCGCCATTGCTGCATGCCCGGCACTCTACCCAATCAGGGGCCAGTAGCTCCCATTAGCTACATTCTACGATACCCACCTGTACTTGAGCCGCTTGACAACGCACCAGGCATTGCTGAGGCGCATTGAGAGAGCGACCGCAGGTAGACTCGAGCAGTGGGGCTGGAGTCGTGCATGCAGGTGGCCTACAGGGAGGGCTTGAAGCTCATGAAGTAACTGTGTTTACCGCTGAGTCTATTGCATTACCGTCCTGTTTCATCTTTTGCGATTTCATACAAAATCTTTGACGAGTAAAGCCGCCGGTGTTCCCTCTGTGAAGCCGTGAGTCTTTCGGCAACTTACAGTCTCGATGGCTGCAGCAGGGAGGCATTTTTAGGCAAAGATCTTTTTAGCTTTGCTTTATTCAGTCAGTATTAAATTCCGTAGAGCTCAAATAATGGTCTAGGAGAATTAAGTGAGCAATATATGAAAGGCTTCACGCCGCAATTATTTGCCTGCCTTCGTGGGCTCACGCGAAGACCCCACGAGGCCTTCTGATCTGAAAGGCCGGACGGATATAAACATCTGTTGGGAGTTGAGAAGAAGGTACGCCAGCGGAAAAGGGAGGATACCGATTCTGAAAGGAGGAAAAGGCCAAGAACCGACTGGAAACGTAGGGAGAGCCACAAGTACACATATAGATATACTTTCAGGGAAACCAGAAGGAAGAATCACAGGAACTAAAATGGACCAAAATGGAGGTCTAGGTCACAGATCGAATTCTAAGGAAGTCGGGTGGGACGACATATTCAGAAATGTACGTTTGCATGTGTGTCACTGCACGTTTTAATTCTTGCCTTCAGGCTGCCTTTGGCGTTTGTGTGCTTTTTCCGTTCTGCGCTTGTTCCCTCCCATAAGCCCTTTTAGCACATCTGGTTCTTCCTGCCTTAGGTGCTTAATCGCCGCCGTGATTCAGAAGATAGGTTAGAGGCCTCAAGTCCTTTAGGCGTTCCACCATTGGCGCAGCAGTTATCCCCATGTGGCACTACGTATGTAAAACTACAGCCAAGCAAAGACCTCACGATTCTTGCCTCTACATCAGACGAGACCATTCAGGCTGTTAAGGTAAGAACGAACATCTCGGGCGTAAGATACAAGGTTCGATACCTGGATACATATGAGTTTCGAAGAGAAGAGTGTATCCACGACGGGAAACTAGCGGGTTCCGTAGTCGCAGGCGCCTTCTTTGGACGCCTTTCGCTATTGAGGCTCGCTTTTGAGTTTTGGTGTACGTCTTCGGGTCTGTAAAATGTGCAAATTACCTCGGACTTTGAGTGCCATTTTTTCTTGTGCAGACCCTCGCCAATGCGTTGTCTCACCGGTGGCGTTTTATTGGCCGTTACAAAACGCCTCAGCCCTCCCCAGGGGTCCATGTGGTGTCTTTCCCTGCTTCCCAGTGCGGCGGGTGTCCAAGTGGAAAACATGCAGAAAATGGAGCACATACACAAAGCATGAAGGGCTGCTTATCAGCCCGTGGCCCCTGTAATTGTAGCGTCTGTGATGGGGAGGGCACGCCCATGCCTTTTGAAGCAGTTAGCAAGGAGCCACACTTTGAGCCATTCAGTGTCAAGGTGCCGCCGAGCTGTGCGGCCAAATTTAAATTCGTCGACGGTGTCATACAGGTGAGTGAACAGATGGACGGACGAAACTGAACAACAATGCTCAGGCCACATGGGTTATCTGTCGGCCTCGCACGTGACTTGTTTTTTTATGGGTAAAAGATATGGCTCGAGGCAACGCGCTGTTACCTTGCGTACCACTTCATTTGTTGTGCTTGTGATTCTCGTCTTGTTCCCACCTGAGAGTAGTTGGCAGTTTCTACTGCTCCCGGCGACTTTCAGGTACACGACTGGTTCATTTCGTGCTGTCGCTACCAAAGGGCGTTTGTCCTTCGAGGATCTGCAGCACTTGTGGACAGCTCTAGATGCAGTGAAACAAAAACCTGCACATTCTGCCTTTGTTGCTTTTGCATTCCTTCCTGCCAATGCAGGTGTTCTGGAAACCCGGAAAGGACTCCGAAGATCTTCCGCTTCTGTGGGATGCGAACACCATTCCCACGGTTCGGGAATACCTTGCCGCGCTGCAGGACGTCATGATTGCCGTTCAAGATCCAGGTAACAGCGTATTCCAAAGCAGAAGTCACACGATCTTGTGCTAGTGGCTTGATCCTCTTACCTATTTCGCTGAGGCCGTTCGAAACGCAGTCATTTTTGAGGGAACCTTACTTCGACTGCGGCGGCTGTCTGTAACTGGGGGGCTGCTCGGAGGTCATAGGCGCTTACGACCCCAGCAATAGGGGGTGTTTGGGTTCATTTCTTTACTAGTTGATCAAATGGAAAAAAAAGGTCCAATGCGTTTTGCGAGGTGTGCATTTTGTACCCCGTTTACATGTATCCTCTCGTGGCCCTTGTATGCCATCGTTTATAATGGTTGAATATGGTGTGCGTCTTTTTGATATGCAGCTTGCAAGACGTTCTGCTACAGAAGGCTGAAATTCTTGGAGGGAAAATTCAATTTTCATTTGATGTTTAACTCCAGTGAGCGCACACAGGATACTCATGAACATTGATGCCGTACAATCTACTTGATTGATGCAACAATACCCACAAGTAGAATGAGTATCTCTTCGCTGTGAGATATTATCAGGCGCTCTATGGGAACCAATTACCACCCTCCAGCACGGGAATTCTTCGTAGCTCATTTGGGTGCACATTTGTCCAACGATGTCATTCATGTGCTACTTTGTGTTTCGGTAGTTTGCCTGAATTCTTTCATTCGTCGTGGCGTATGGTCGTTCTTGCCGATGTTGTTTACCGTACAGCCAATTTGCCAATTGAACTGCGCTTCGCACTGCGTTGCTCAGTTCTTTGCTGTGTGAGCTCTAGCGTACTCGCGAAGTGACTGGTTGTATTGATTGCGCTCTTTTTTTGTCAATGCTACATCCTCATGCTGCACATGCAGGCACAGAAATAGAAGAGACAAAGAATAATAAACACCGTGATTTTTATAATGTAAGAAAAGTGGACACACACGTTCACCACTCGGCCTGCATGCAACAGAAGCACCTGCTTCGATTTATTAGGTGAGGCGCCTATTTGGCTTGAATGATCAAAATTGAGGGGTTGGGGTTGAATGCAGACCTTCTCTCCTTGTATTGTTATGGAAGAAGACCTTGCTCTCTGGACCCGGGGTCATCATAAAAATCTCAACGGAATTACATTCGAGGGATTGGAGATCTGCTTGTTAATAATTGACTATTTTCTAGAATACACTCGTTCTTTACTACAAAAGAATTGTAATAGTACGCGTCGGTTCTGGTGCCTTCTGCAGAAAAAAGTACAGAACAGAGGGCAACACAGTGGTCGCCGAAGAAGGAGGCCAGGGAGTTACTCTTCGTGATTTGTTTGACAGAGAACTCGGATTTAGCGCTAGAGAGGCATCCGTCGACCATCTCAATGTTCACGCACTCGGTATGTGGGTATGGAGACTAGCCATTACGGTGGAGACTTTTACGGTGTTTGGGGCTTCTGGAGAGGCTCTCAGTGTTTGATTTGTTGCGTGTACTCGCCTGCGGATGGTTGCTGATCCAAGTATGCTGTACCTTTAGGCCATAGGGGCGGTTGCTCAAGGCCCAAAAGGCGATCTGTGCGTTTGCGCAGGCTCTTGCTTTCAGAGATTTGATCTCTTTAACCAAAAGTATAACCCTTTCGGTCAGGCGCGGCTGCGCGACGTCTTCCTCAAAACAGACAATTATATCAAAGGTCCTTGTCTTGCCTCTGTTAGAGCCCTATTTTTTAAAGTTGCCCAGTTTGGAAGCCCGCATCCTCCTTGTCACCCTCACGTGGCACTCTGTTGGTGCTTCCGCCCACAGTGTCTGCCGCATTCTGCTTTCTCGCAGCTTTTGTCACTTATTTGCCGTGTTTGTTCCCCCAAACAGATTCTTTACTCGGGCCCTTGTACTCCAGTTAAGGCTTTTTTTCGCTTTCCTGGTGTGCTCCTCAGGGCGTTTTTTGGCTGAGCTGACGAAGGAAGTCATCGCGGACTTAGATGATCGCAAGTACAAAGGATGCACATATCGACTAGTTATTTGTGCATGTCTTTGGCGTTTGATCCGTGGATAAGGTGGCTTGATTTTTCCAACTAATACAAACTTTTATTTCTTTGTCCTAGTTTCCAATACACACCACCTGAATTTATGGATGCTTCGCTGACAGCAAGGACAGCAGCACTTTTTAGTGCTATTATACCAAGATAGACAATAAGCATGTTTAATCTCACAAGCTCATCTTTACATTTACTTGCATCTTGTAGTTAGCATTGTCTGTCTCCCTGATTTTTCTGTGGTTGCCTATCCTGTTTCGTGCACATAGTGAGCTTCCTTGCGTCTTCCTCTAAGGTACCTTGTGTTTTGTTCTGTGTCTTGTGTCCTATCTTATTCTTACTACTCGATCTCATTTTTCATTACTGCGCTCTCCTGGATGCCTCCCTCTGCCTTCTTCTGTGTCGCCTCCTCAGATACCAGCATGCGGAGTGGCGTGTGTCTATTTACGGGAGGTCTCCAGATGAGTGGTCAAGGCTTGCGGCGTGGGTCGTGGATAACGGTCTACACTCCCGCAGAGTTCGATGGTTGGTTCAGGTGCCGAGGTATGTTTGATACAGGCAATTAGAGGTAGAAATGCGCAGAGTCGCCCACCCAGCTCATTGGACGATAAAGGAATGGGCTGTCTAAGTAAAATGCGGGCATACTTGCGGACAGCAAGCAATCGAAAAACTATGCCAAAACGCGGTGCAGTGTGTACTGTTGTATATATCCAGGCCAAACAAGTTTACTACTCTGTTGGCGCATTTCTCTTGTATCATTGAATAAAGGGCAATTTTCTATGATTGCGTGGGAGTCGCGTATTTTCCTGATGTCCCTTTTGCGTTGCAGACTGTATCACGTGTATCGAAAGCGCGGTGAAGTGCCTGATTTTGGCACACTGCTGCGCAACGTGTTTGAGCCGCTTTTTGAAGCCGTGAAAAACCCAGAAAAGCATCGCAAGATATATCTATTTCTACAGGCGGTAAGCAACCAACGCAGACCCTGTTACTCGTGCTGTGGCCGCGGCTCGCGCTGCTGCTACTTCTCCGAATTTGGCAGACACTGTTCTTCCCTACTGGTTAAGTCGGGGGAATGGGGAAGAAGGCTCTGGTAAGCAGGTGTTTTGGGGCTTGGGAGCGTGGTAAAGGGCGAAAAAGGAGGAGATACTTATTCATCTTGTTCTTGGCATTTACAGTAAAGCGGTCTCATTGGTGCCTCACTGACAGTCCCCTGGAAATGCCTCGCGGTGAATTCATGAGTTGTTTATTCATTGGTTTTGGCTGGGAGCATCAAGCTTTCGCTTGGCCCTATACACGGTTCTTCATGCAGCTGAATCTTTACTAATTTGTAGGCTGCAGCATGGATCTTTCCGTTTTCCCCTGGCTTTTCCAGTCCCGTGTATCAGCCACGCTTCGCATATCCGTTTGTATGTGCTCGTGGTGGCACGATTTTAGAATGTAATTATCACTGACCATGCAGCGGTGTCCAGAATGGATGTCCAGATTTCTACGCCCGTTGCGGCTCTCCCTTATCCGATAGTGGCTTCGGTGTGTGGCTGTGATTGGATTACTGTGCAACATACGTGAATTCTTTAGCGAGCTTCTGTTGCCTAACAAACAGGCGAGACACACCTTCTGAATCGCCGTATGTGTGCAGCCAACTTGTGTAGCTAGCTCCAGCATATAACGTCGCATGCTATGCGTCCAAATGTACATGGTGTGAATGCTCAGATGGTTGGATTCGACTCTGTGGATGATGAGTCGCGCGTCTCCAAGTACACAATGGAAGGAGGAGAACTTCCAAGCCCCTCTGAGTGGACGAGCGACAACAACCCTCCATATTCCTACTGGGCGTATTACATGTATGCGAATATTCGCGCGCTGAATCTCTTCTTGGAGGCGCGAAATATGAAGACCTTGAGCTTCAGGTTCGTAGGAGCGCCGGAGGCGCTGGTTTAGCTATGCGGGCATTCATATGTACGTGTCTTGGTAGACTACTTGCTTGCGCTTCGTTTGTCGACGCCACTTGGTAGGCAGTAGTTTGTACAATTAAATGTATACTTAACCATCTGGGGACTAGGATGAGATCTTCAGACCATGAATTTTCGAATAACTGCATGCTCTAAAACGCTTTTCATGGTCCATCGGCGCATGTCTTTTTGCCCATTGTCGGTGCTGTAGAATTGCAGATTACAGCATGATGCCTGATTCTAATGCATTGCTGAGGGCTTTGTAATAAGCGGTATATAATGGATATCCTTCAGAAATTCGAGCATCCAGGCAGCAGGTAGTTGAGTCGCATGACGTGTTCGTTTATTCTTGATCTCAACGGTGATCTCCTGTTTTCGCGTTTTGCAGGCCCCATTGCGGAGAGGCGGGAAGCATTAGCCACTTGGCGGCTGCCTTTTTGTTGGCCGATGGTATAAACCATGGTATTCTTCTTAAGGGCGCCCCGGTGTTGCAGTACATGTTCTTCCTGAAGCAAATAGGAATTGCCGTATCTCCGCTGTCCAACAATGCCCTCTTCGTAGATATTGGTAAACGCGATGTGCATTTAAGTGCACACATGCACACACTAGAGAAATTGGCCGGCAACAAAATCCTAGTTAGCAGCCCAGGAGTTAGCGGAATAAGAAGGTTTGACTCAGTGTTCAATGGATACCGCATTTGTTGACCAAGCCTGAAAAGATACTGGTTGGCCCAGTGTCCAAGTCCTGCTTCAAATATTCAATCTTGCGTATATCTGGCACATGCACGTCTGCCCACAGTGGCAGGATCCTGAAAGCCCAGTGTCGCACACTGGTAAACCCTCCACAGGGCCGTATCGCTATGTGGCGTATGCTCTTTCCTTTAAATCATATGCCTTTTGCGCAGCCAAAAATCCTTTGTACTCCTTTTTCACGACGGGTTTGAATGTATCCCTATCCACCGACGATCCTCTGATGTTCCACTTCACCGATGAGCCCCTTCTCGAGGAGTATTCTATTGCAGCAGTACGCTGACCCCCTGGAGTATTATCTTCTCTTAAGTATTCTGGTCATGTTTTCGTCTCTCTCTTTGCACTTGCAGTGGTGGCATCCGTCTGTTATGTCTTTTGTTGGCCCTTTGGCTCCTTCTGCATGTTCGTTCTTTGTATTGTGGTGGTCCTTCCGCTTCGTTTTCTTGCATCTTAACCGCAAGTTCCCCCGTTGACAGATGCAGAGCTGGCAGCGAAGGGCCTCTGGCATCCACGACTGTCTCTGACACTGATATATCTGTGCTGCCCTGTCGGTCACGACACGCTCGCCTGTCGACGCTCAACTGCAAACCTGTTTCCCTCTATGCATTACTGTTCTCCTATGGCGATTTCAAGAATTCTTGATGCCTGTATTGAGGTCTCACTGAGTTTGTGCTGCAGCACGTCTGGAAGTTATCCCCAGTCGATTTGTGCGAACTGGCAAGGAACTCTGTGCTACAGAGGCAAGTGACTTCTCCATTTCCCCTATTTGTGCTATTAGATGTATATGTGTTCCAAGGTATCAGAGCTTGGATATATCGAAATCAGGAAGAATTACCAATAGCATTTACAGTAACAGCACTTGGAGGGTAGAGAAGAATAAACCCTGAACTGCTCTGTGCTTACTTTTCTTGGGTGGAAATGAAGGTTTTGCTTATGCTCGGTAGTATTTTTTGCTTTCCTCTGCGCCTCTTTGCCTCTGACAGCCTTGCCTCCCCTGCAATGCATTTTACCTCTCGAAGATTTTTGTCCTTTTGCCATTCTATACGTTTAGAGCCCATTGATTCGCTGTAGGTATCTGGCTTCCTACTTTTCCATTGGTATCGTTTCGCTGTCTGCCGTCTCTTTTGCAGTGGATTTGAGGTAGAGTTTAAGCGTCACTGGCTGGGAGACACATTTTGGTTGCCAGGCAGTGAAGGTAATGACATGTCTAGGACCAACGTTAGCAACATCAGACTCCAATACCGGTATGTGAAGCTTTTTCTCCCGTCGCTGCTACCCCTCCTGCTTTAACCGTAGTAAACCTGGCTACCTCTGGTCGGTATCTTGCCAGCGCTGGTACTCTTGGCGATGCCCCTGTACCCGTTCGTATATGGTTTGGTGGTCGCCCTTTGCTTCCCTGTGCCGTGCCTCTGCAGTATAGACACTTGGAGAGAAGAGTTGGAAAACATGCGGGAAATCCTCAATATGCGGATGGCTCTGACTGCAACTCAGCAACAACAGCAGCCAGAGGCTGGGGTTCTCAATACCTTCTCTTTGAGCTTGCCACCTCCGAGCCTGATACTGCAAATGCCACGCGGTGCATCTCCTGCCGATTCCCCTATGGCATCGAGAGGGAGAAACGGCACCCTTCCCTCCTCTCCAGGTTTAGTGGTCGACAAGGTGGAGTCTTCGCAAGGGGCATTAACACTGCTTCCCGCTGCAGCCTCTGGGTCTGCAATCAGTGACCTACCGTCTCCAAAGATATGCGTCACGAGCGCTTTGCCTGTCATATTATCTCCAGACTTGTCGCTGCAAAAGAATGACGAAACTAGGCAAAGGCGAAGAAGCGTGGCAGAGCAGGAGCTTGACGAGCTCTCATGCGCTGCACAACAGCTGGCTCTCTCGATGAAAATGAGCTTACCACAATCGCAAGAAAATGATGAATCCTCTTGAGCTTGAAAACAGCGTAGGGGCACGCGGAGGCTTCTCAAAGAGCCCTGAGCTTCAAAGAATGACCGTGCGTTGCTCGAGCACCTGAAAACCCTGCTGTAGATGAGAACGTCTCGGTGCCTCTTTGCTGTAGAATGCGTTCAAACATTTGCACCAGCAGCAAAGTACAATGTTGTAAGGGTCAGGCGCTCAGGGGCCTCAAACTGATGCCCAGGAAGTGCCGTACAACGCCGCATCTCTGTATACACCTATGCATACATAGGCTAGGGGGCTCTTCATAATTTGGTGTGAATACGGATATGCCCCCACCATGAAGTAATAGTTGTTAGGGTGAAGGATCTCCTTTGGGTCAATTCGGAAGGAATTGGGCCCTTATATACAGAAGTTGCACGGGTATTCAGCCGCCTTTATATTAAGCAATTAAACTGTATTGGAGGAACTGAGTTCCTTGTTCGTTCTGTTTATGCGGCCGTCTCCCAATCGTGGCTTTAAATCGTTTCTCGTGGTAAGCTCTCTTGTGGTTTTTTGTGGGATGCATGTAGAGGAATGCACATGCTTCGGCATGTGGCTAAAACAAATATACATTTTCCTCTGCTCTGCGTTGCCTCGCGGAGAGTGCACATTTAAAAGGTTCATGACTTGAAGCAGTGCGTGAGGAATAGTTAAGGGAGGCAGGTGTCGATGGTATAGAGCCAGTTCCAGTGGGGAAGGATTGAAAATAAGCAGTGCTACAAGCTTCCAAGATTAAGCGCTAAAGCCCATAGATGAAGTCTTCGATTGCCATCATAGGTTTTGTGATAAGGCATGAAGCTCATCCTCTATGCTGATGCTTTAGTACGCCTTGATTCAACGGCGCCTTTTAAATAACCAATTGCAAGGTCTCACTAGAGGCACCGACCATTTGGAATGAAACAAATTTTCGACAGACATGCTGCTCGCGGAGTATAATTTAAGCTCTTGCAGGACTTGCAAGTGGCACCACTACATCCCCCCGATGGCCGTTGGGCAGCGCTGAGATTCTGCACAACTACGACGAAAACGATTATTACAAACGTTTCAGGTGTCATAACAAGTAAGGTTATAGGGTTGCCTCCTTCTGGAGTGCCATCTGTTAAAATTGGAACGCTACAGAGAAGATTAGCAAGGACTGAAGCACAGGTGCTTTCCGCGTAAGCGTAGCGTGATCATATAGCTGTGGACCAGTCAGCCCCGAAGGTGGAATACACCAATACGCGATCGCTCTGAATCTAAGGTTGCCTTCATTTAGTGGGCCCGAGTTAGGCTCAAGAGCTTCAAACGAAGCATCTCTCAAGAGTTCAGGAAACACTCTTCCTCTCGATACATGTATTGCACTTTCTAAGGTCTCTATAGGGAGGCACTTAATTCCAGACTCAACACAGAGCATGACAGAAAGTTATTGAGCGCCCTTCCAAAAGATCTCCGCTTCCGGCATGCTCTCAACATTCATAGCACCTACCTGAGGCAGGGGGGTAGCGGAGATGCCCACTACTACACCTTTAAGCACTTCAAGCTTTCACTGCTGGCTGCACCTTCTAGCTAGAGCACACGGGCAGTGCCGAGTAGTGGAAGTGTATCGAACTCACTCTACTCTGCAACCAAGAAGAAAGCGAAGAGCCAAAACTGGGTAGTCAATCGTCTTTTATTTAAATCGAATATAACATTTAAATAATAGTACACTATTGCAGCTAGCCTCGGTACACTGAGGGAGAGCGCTCACATATCTACTGATGAGGCCACACCGGAGGGCTACCAAGGGTACCTTCTACGAAAGCTGTGTATAATCTACAATCTTATAGGTGAATTTGGTGCCCTCTTATATAGGCGGCAGGCAGAAACACCAATACTCTACCACAGAACCAGCAGCAATGGATACTGTGAGACGAGGGTGCAATTTTCTGTCTTCAATGGATCTCATTGAGTGCGACTCTGAGAACCAGGGACAACGAAAGAAATGACCATCTAACTGAGCTTAAGAGGTTGGCCAACGTGAGTGCATAACCCCACTACACTGTGTGAGCGGTCAGGGTGATGCACCAGGTATGAAGCCACCCGCATGGCAGCCGCATTTGCCCGCATAACATTTCAAAAATTTCTGAATTAGCTGTCTTCAGTTATGCTGTAGTGTGTGTTAGCTAGCTGGTTAGTCTGCTCTTGTATTTTACTTTTACCACGGCACATTCAGCTCCATCATAAAGCGCACATCTTGTTTCGTGGTGTCTCGTTGATATTTGCAACTGCGTGCAAAAGCCCAATTCCCAGCGCGTTATTCAGGTTTGCATAAAATGACACAGCCCCAAACCCAGCACAAAAAGATACAGTGCTTCGATGTCTCGTAGAAGAGTTCACCACCCGGTGTCTTTTCCCCTGGAAGCGCTCTACTGGCTCGCATTATAGGGTAGGAGAGAGATACAACTAGGAGGTACAGGGTTGCTGCATTCCTTAGGCACTCTGAGCCCCTTTTAACACCTATTTGCGCAAGGCAACCTAGAGCTCACAAACGGACAACATTGATTCTTATCGTATTCTGCGAACCTCAGAGTGTAACAACTAAAACACACGAACAGCCACATCAAAGGAAAAACATTTAACTGATCAATATTAAATGCAGCGAGTGAAATAGATGATTTCGAGGGTAGCTTGGTCCTCTAGGTGGGTTCTCATAGGTGCAGTGCTACAGGCACAATGGATGTCCTCTTTCCCTAGTCCACAGCTCTGTGGAGTGGGAATAAGGTAAGCGAAGAAATTGCTGTAAACGACAGAGCAGGTTGTTTCTCGAAGATCTGACAGGGTTCGCTGTCTGAGAGTCCCCAAAGTAAGGCAGTGGGGGTAACATTCCAGCATATTCCCCCTCTCCCACCTGTCCAATAACAGCTCTGTGGAGTTTATGAAGTCCTAGCTAATACATTTGGAAGCGAACAAGAGACAAGCATCAAAATTTATTTCTTTGCCAACGTGGATCACCTTGCTTTCATCCAAGTGAAAAGGCGGTCTACACATGACAGAGATTAAAGGTAAGCGTCATTTCCATTTGGCTGCCCGTTGATAGGCAAGCACCTTCTGCTGTGAGGAAAGGCATGCGTAAGGCTAACATTCTGCTAGCTTTGCTGGTAGCCCAATTGCATGCTGTAGCTAGCCCTGGGTATGTAAAGCTAGCTGTTGGGAGTTGTGAGACCGATGTCGTTTGATTGAGTCACCATTTGCAAGAAATCAGCTCCTTATTCTTATAATACTTACATGGAATGTTCTAAACTGCAGAAGTGTAACTTTTAGTGTACTTTTCTTTTGGGTGAATACGCACAGGTATTTCCCTCCTGCAAGTCATAGAGCTCCGCAATGGCTCTCTACGTCTTCAGAGGCTAGTTGATACAGTTGCTGAGTACTTTATCAGTACAAACTATATGATGTTTGCCTTGAATAGGGAGTACTGTCACCCTCCTTTTCATCCTCACCCTGTGTGGGGCTGCATGCGCTCTCGTGGCTCGTCATCGCGTGCCATATGCGCAATCAGTGCCTACCACAGGATGAGAGAGTGATTTCCAGAGCAGATAGAGTGTGACTATGTACCTCTGAATGGTTTACTTGCCCCCTCTCCTCTGTCTCCCGTATACGTTCAACAGCAGCCGTCACTCCCTGTTCCCGCATATCCCTATCTCGAGGAGCAAAAGGAAGTTTTTTCATAGTTCAGTACTCCCAGAGGAGTTCTGAGCTATCTTCTTACCCTCGCTAGAATAGCCTCTGCATCTCGTGGCACTCGTCGCACTTCGAAAGGACTCCTTTTTGTTCTGTGCTTATGCTGTAACCATTTCTCCTATTCGAAATTCATCCGTGGACTCCGCGGGTGCGCCCAACCGCGTAACCTGCTTACTCTACTGAACAGTAGCACCTCGGAAAGACACGAGGCGTACAGTGTGTCCATCCTTTTGTCCCGTGGCTGTTGGGGAGAAAGCGTCAGGGTTACTTCTTTCTAGCAGGCTGTGCGCCTCAACACCTCCCGCATGATGCGGAAGAAGGGGGAGGGCAGCGAGTGGCGCCAGGTGAGAAACCTGGATTCCCTCGAGAGCGAAAATGATTCTTACATCGCAGATCTAGAAGCCAGGGTTCAAGGCCTAAAGGAGGTAAGCTGCCAGCTGCGACGGACTTTTCTTCTTCGCTGGTTCTAAATGCTATTGCATTATTGTGCTCATGCGCGCGCTGTCGATGCTGGTACTTTCGTTGGTGGTTCTGCTGCTGCACTTTAGGCTGCTGTGGTCTTACCCTTCGTAGTTTTTTTCTTTGGTGTCAAACGCAGCGCGCCCGCTGTCTTCGCTTGCGCGTCTGCTCTTTCTACTGCTCATGTGGCTGTTTCTGCTTTTCATTTTCATGTGATCCTCGTGAATACGCCTTAGTCGTTCTCCTGGTGTTATTTCCGGTGGTGCTGCTCTTGCAGCACCTTGTTTTGGACCTTATTGCTGCCAATCGTGCTGATTCTCCCATGCATGCGTTGTCTCAATCTCGGCTCCCGCAAACCTAATATGTAAACTATCGTTTTTACTGCTTCCGAACCAGCCGGCTTCAGTTCTCTTATGGTGCTTTCTCCCGGAGAGCCTCCTCTGTGCTACAAGTAACAGTGTAGGGTGAGGTGCGTGCTATGCAGCTGAGCCTGGCAATGCGAGACGAAGTTCAGGCTTCAAACACTCTCCTTGGCACGATGGTGAGTCTGCACCCGAGCAGCCTCATGACCCCCAGTACCAGCAGGAACCCTTTCCCTCTTCGCACTCTTGGGGAAGGTGTGTTCTGGCTGCACTCCTGAGTGGTGGTGGTGGGAAGTCTGCCTGTTCAAAGAGGCAGCACTAAAATGCAAGACCAATCGTTTGATCTAGAGCTTAGCGTTTGTACATGTCGCGTACAGGTTGGACGGCTAGAAGGAGTGCGGGTGTCTGTGCGGAACTCGGTGCGGCGAATGGATCAAATGTTTAAGTCCGGGGTAAGCGTAGGGTTCAAAAAGCTCGGTGGAAGAGTGTAATCTATTGCTGAGGTGCGCTGATTTGAATAGTCCTGAATTGAAGGCATAGGCTTGGCAAGAATGATGGTTATGAGAGGTTGAAATCCGGCATGAGGACTTCTTTTGTATGCTGCAGGGAGGCTGGCACATGCTGCACCTGGCGGCATTCGTTCTCTTTATTTTTCTGATTTTCTATTTCTTCTTTGCAAAGTGATTATTTGAGCCCTTGGGGGTTCAGGATTTGTACAGTGAGGACTCATTGGCAGTTCCTCTGAACCTGCGTGCGCTCCGTCATCGCTCCCAGATAATTTAGAGCCAACATTGATGCTTTACAGTGGGAGATGGCTACCCCGCTTTTTAGCATGATGACCGAATCTCAGGCATTAGGGTTTAGAGATTAGGACTAGGCGTTGATTTTTCGGTTTTGCGGGCAATTTACCGCCTCCTTTTCCTTACCCAGTCATTCGAAAAGCTTACTTTCGCAAGCGCGCGCGGTGGCACATATTAATATTTTTAGGGCTCAATATTTTTGGCATAAGGCATGTGGGACCCTGTCAAGGACTGAGGGGGACGGGGTGCAGGAAGAGGGGGGAGCCGTTAGTGCGAACACTTACCAACTCGACTACACGCACAGCGCTCCGTCAAAACCGCCGAGAACATCATCTCCGACTGCCCTCCACCACCATACAGTGGACTAGGAAAGATTCCCCCATCTCAAGAAAAGGAGAAGCCAAGGCCTTACGGACTGCCACATTGGGAATTGACCAGTTGGGGGCAATGTATGGTGGGCTGAAGTACGAGGGTAGCATGCCGACGCTCCAGGGGTGCTCGCTACTGCTTGTAGGTCTTATTTAATCGTAGCAGTTCTCACAGCCCTAATTATGAGCCCAAGATCAAGGCCTTTCTTTGCTAGACCCTCAAATCGAGGCATTTATCCCACATCGCAGCACTGCCTTTTAAATTTCAATTTGACGATAGTGTGCACTGAAATGAAGCGTTGCGTACAAAATGGCTGGGTAACAGCTCAATAACACTCCCAGCTGTAGACCATTTCGTCGACGGGGCTCTAGAGTCACCGACCCTAATCCGTGAGAGAACGCATACGCCAGCTGTGCGTCAGGAACTCCCATATCTTCTGACCTCTCTCTTGAGTCTCACCGGTGTAATGGCTGTGGTGAACCTCTAGGACAGACACCAAAACGAGCAAAACGAGATCTGACTACATTGAACCGACGTGCGGAGAGAACTTTCAGGGGATCACACTACACTTTGGCATATTCCATTGCATTCCTGATATTTTAGTACAAATTGTCATAGAACTGACTCTTCGGTATGACTGAGATTACTTCTTGTTAGCTGCAGAGTAGAGTTGACTCCATTCGACTAGGAATGATGTTGCATTTCTGTTGTGTGCAAGTGGTAATGAGTGCTCGGAGTACTGAAGAGTGTAGTAACGCACATGCACCCTGGCTATCTCTCTCCCCTCATGCGGAATCGCTGAGGGATGGGGTCAGGGAAAGGGCGCAGTAGTTGAAAGGGCGCTCAACAGACTTTTAATGTAGTGTGTTTGCGACTAGTTGCCTCCAACTGGAAACTCTAAGTGCAGTTTTACATGATGAGGACTATCGACAAATTACGCAACAAATCGCTAGTGGGTCAGACGCTCCGCCGTTCACGAGTTTACTGGTGTGGGCGTGGTATATTAAAATCTTCATTCTACCTCTTCAATGCAGCTTCTAAGTTGCTTCTCAGACACGCGGACACAGCGGAAGCTGGACCTGCAAGCTTGAGGTACCCAACGAATCTGTAACAGTACCCTGGTGTAACTTCGGCAGCAGCAACAGAGCGCCACGTGTTGAAATCGATACCAGCAAGGAAGAGGCCAGTAAACAAAGAGGCGTATGTCTGACTCTGCAAAATATAGTTGGCACTTCCTTCAGTTTCCGTCATCCCTATATGTACGATGGCAGCTTGCACACGACACTGCGCCTACATGTCTTGCGCAGCTGCTCCTCTTAAGACCTTCGCGTCGTTATCAAGCCTCCTTGACCCGCCAAATGCACTCAGAGACGACTTCAACTTGCATAGCAGCCTGATGGTGCTGATTTGCTTAGTAAAATGCTTTACCTTTGCATCCTCACGAAGTAGAGTGTAGGTGGCTTCTACAGCGAGGCAAAGCTGAGGCGTGGCATGTCGCAAACGAGCGTCGCCGAGGAGTGGTTTAGACCAGCTATCTGAGGCTATGAGTTAGGGAAGTTATGGATGGCGCAATGCAGCAAGTTTAATTCTTTACCACTTTGAACCCTCGATGCACTCGACATCCTCTAGCCCCGTCTACCTCTTTACGCCGGGCCCTCGCCACAGTGTTTCTTATTGCGCTTCGTTCTGAAGTTGCTCAACGCGATAGGAGGCCGGTAACTCCCATGTTCAAGGAGTGTGAGAGGCCGCTATCCTTAAAACGATACGTACTGCGTTTGCGCGGAGCACAAGTGCCTACTGGCAAAGGAAGTTTTCTGCTGCGAGTGGCCACCTCTCAATTGCTCTATTTTGATGTTGTTGAAGCGGTAGATGGGTTTCTACGATTGGTTGCTATAACGCTAAGTCATAAGCACCTGTGGAGGGTGAACTCTTTGTCTATAGATTCGGTAATGCTTCTAGGGCACACAAGTTAAGGCGGTGGTGGAAATCACCCTGGTGCCGATCCACAACGAGATTCCAGGCAGTTTGCGAATTTCTCTAGTGTACATGCCTGTGAGGCGCGCCTGTCAACGACGAAATCATACTGCACGATTGCATGCACATGCCCGGAGTGCCCTTAGGATTCAGCAGCCGCTGCCTGCCTGCTGCCCCCAAGCCCAGGCCCAGCTTGTAGATCGAGGGTGAAGCACTTTGGGGGCCCACAGATTGACAGCCCTTACCTTAGCACTTGACTGGGTGTGGTTCTCTTCCGTGCTCTCACTCTCTTAAGGCGTTTGAAGGAGCGCGTTATGGCCAATCAAACACTATCGAGTAGCGCATCGGATATGCAGCACTGCGCAAAGACAGAGGCCAGGCGCGTGGCTGCGAACCGTGCCCACGATTTGAAAAGGCATTCTAGATCAAATTACTTCTGGAGGATACTGCGACGAAGGCGCACCCCATGCTACCGCTATCACCATGAAGAGCCTTGTCTGAACTTGGGACCAGACCCTTCCCTCTTTCTTCCTTCCATCCTCCTCCTCAGCACGGAATATCTGTGCTTAACATGCTGAGGCGCAAGAGGATGCATGTAGATACGGCAGCGGACGGGGCCGCAGTTCTGGCCGAGCCGTGGGACGGTTCTATGGTATCGGGGCAGAAGCACCGTGAATATAAACCAGGATTTCTGCCTATGTCTTTCAAAACCAATTGCAATGGTTCGGATTTTGACCAGTATGGAAGCACACAGGGTCACATGTATGCGCGCGCTCTGGTGCTGCCGCTACTGGAAGGCCAGCGGTCAGTTGGACAAGCCAATCCACGGGAGGCCTTCTTCCAGTGTTAGTGAACTCCAGGCACAATAAAGTAGGGAGTTCACACAAGAAGAACATCTGTTTACGTCAAATCCCCTGCATTTCTATCATGGTGTGCGCGCGGGCACCTAGGGGAGCCACTCTTGCAGCACTCCAGTGTCACGTTGATAGATGTGATGCTGCAACAGCAGCTGGGGAGGAAATACTCCTGCCGTAGACCCCCACAGTTTCTCCAGCAAAATTATCCAGTGCTCAAGGGGCAGTAGAAGCACCAGCGGCGGAGACAGTGGAAGACGCAGTGTCGAGAACAACAGCAGCCCCAGCAACTGCAACAGCGACTAAGGGACGAGCGGCTGCTGAGACGGCGGAGCTCCTCAAAATGGACTCCCCGTAGCTCGACGGGTAGCCACAGAAGCAGCAGCAACTGTAGAGCGCGCGTGGTGGCAGGGGCAGCAGACAGAACGTGGCGTCCTTCTCTGCCACGCCGGCAGAAGCCTGCAGCCTCAGGCATATTCATTGCTCAAGACAACGAGCACGTCGAACACAGCCGCATCGACAGACGCGGCGAAAAATGGCAGCCGTTGCTGCTGCGCTGCTGCAGCCTTTGCAGCAGCAGGTTGTCGATGCTCTCTTGAAGTCTCTGAAGGATCGGATCGGTTACTTTTTCATCTCCGAAGACACACAAGCAAAGATGGGCACGCATCGCCCCCTAAAACACTAACCCCATAAGGCTCCGTAGAGCTCGTTTCGGGAGTTTTCAAAGTTCAGCGGCTTTGCGTGGAGCTCCCCTAGCCAGCATGCAACAATTGCTATCAGCGTTCGAATGTTTTCCTTGTGCAGCCACCCTTTTCTTAGACTGGCCAATACATAGAAGGCTACACCGTTTGACCTCCGACGCTGCATGCGAAAGCTCTACTTCTGTCCCTGTGTCTTGTCGCGCGTGGCGCAGAGGGGTTGCTGGATCGCCTTCACTTGGAGCGCGTTGAGTTTAACGCCGCTCATCTCACAGATGAATTTCGCAGGCACCAGGCAAGCCATTTGAGCGAGGTCGTAGGCATTCCGCTTCTACGCTTCCCTTGAGCATGCAGCCGCCCCTTCACGTCAGAGTTTCCTTTTTTTTCTGCGTCGTGAGCGTCAGAACCACGGCCTAAGGGGGTTCTTCGGCTTAGCTTTAGCGCCTTCGTGGACGTGTGTGTCTGGCGGCTGCGGGTGCCATTAGGGGAGTTGCACTTTTAGTTTCTGCGCGTCTAAGCCAGCCTTGAGGGCCTACATTCTGAGAGACTCCTGTGGTATGCAGATCCCCCTGGAAGTGTCGGGGGGCGGCATTGCAGTGGTTGACGCGCGCCTGTACTTAACGCATGCGCGTCTTGATATTATTGCCGAGCGCTGCGAGTTGCATCTCATTCCGAAGGCGTTTGCAGCCGAATCCGTATGTCTCAAGCCCCAAGTTGGCATCATTTAGCAGTTGGAGGAGCTAGTGTCTGAGCTCTCTTTGCCGTCCACGCACGGCAGCGTAGAAGGGTTGGCATGTTTTTTTCGCCCTTCTTCTTCAGCCTTAGGCGTGAACACGCGCGTGTAAGGAGGGGGTGTCTGCTGCAGGAGGAAACCATCGCTCAGGTGACAGAACGTCAGCTCCAAGAGGTGCGTCCCTTAGAGACTCAGGCTCGCCTCGTGCCTCGGAAATATACCCCAAACCGCAGCTCTCCTGTGCTACAAACCCGTAAAAGCCATCCCCAAAAGACTAAACCGAAACAACCACCCACTCGAGCTTGCGGCCTGTCCGCGGATCGCTGCGCTGCTCCAGGACGCCCCTTGAGGCTGCGTGTTGTTACGACTGCCTGTTGGCGCTGTGCAGGTCGATGCGCATATACGGCAATTCTTCGTACTGCAGAAGCAGCAGGAGCTGAAACTGCGGCTGCAGCGACTGGAGCGGCTCTTGAACAAGCACCAGAGGGACGCGGCAGTGAAAAAAGAACTCGAATTGGAATTCAAAGAAGTGCTGCAACAGCAGCAGGTGGTGCGTGGTGGCTTGTTTGTTTCAGTGTCTTATTCACTCTTGGAGCCTCTAAACTGTGTAGACACGGACGGAGCACTCCTAGTGCCGCTTTTCGACCTTGAGAGACGCACACTCAGGGAACGAGGAGCAGTGGCGAAGGGGAGGGCCTGTGGATTTTAGGCTTTAGGCACACATGTGTATATTTATTTAATATACATGGATGCCAAGCCGTCCTGCGAAAAGCCGTTTGAGGTTTTAAAGGTATTTGGGTGTAGGATGCGAACTATGGCACAGGCCTCGGCAGGAGCAGAGACACCGACGCACTCGATGCTTGAATGGCTTCTGCGCTACTTACCTAACGTGAATTTGAGGTAAGCTGTCGGTGCGAGTCAAGCGGTGCTTGGGGGGAGGGGGGAAGCCGCTTGGCAGCTGGCATGAATGGATATTGAGAGTTCAGACTCAACGCGAGAGGCGTGCGGGTGTTTCGTGGACTGTTGAAGCAAGCTTGCGAAGCTTCAGGGGCTGCAATTTCGCTGCAGACTCGAAGATGTAAAGATCCGTTTGGAAGACGCTGGCGGTTTGTTTGGCCCTCCTGCCACGCTTGAGCTTAGCTTCAAGCGGATCATTTGCAAGGTGCTTCTTAAACCCTGCACCCTTCCTTTGACGCCTCTAAAGCCTTGTTCTTCGCATAGACATCTGTGAAACCGTGAGGCATAGTGTGGCAGCAGCTTCCGAATGCATTGTAGCTGTGCGTCTCGTTCTTCCGAGTCCTTGCAATGCTGCCAAGGCGCAGACCCCCTTTACAGAGCTTACGGCATCGAGTGTGTGTATGTATGTGCCTACGCGTGCATGTGCATCTGTATTATGGGCATGCGTATGTGCTGCGCGGGTATATGTTGCGTGTGGATGTGTATTAATACGTATGCGCAGCGTGGGTATGCGTTGCGTGTGGGTGTGTGCATTAATATGTATGTGCATGTGTATGGGTATTAGTGTGTATGTGTATTGATGTGTATGTGCATGTGCATGGGTATTGATGTGTATTAATGTGCATGTGCATGCGTATTATAACGTGTATGTGTCTGCATGTGTATTGATGTGTATTAATGTGTATTCCGCACAGCCAGCAGCTTCCAAGGTTCCTTGGGGCTTTGAGTGGGGAGACAGCACTGCTGGAAGGTCTTCTTCAGGCGATCCGTCGGGAGCGGCTGCATGCGTTGTGCTTGGGCCTGAGCATGCATTGCCTGAGGTGCGAGGTTCTCTCGCAGTGGACGTTTTGGTGAGGCAGCCTAAGCTCTCGATCAGCAAGAAGAGCAGCAGGGATGAGCCGGAGCTGTGGACAGACGTGTTAGAGACCTCCGAGCTGCAGCTGCACCTGCTGATTGCGCGTGAAACGGATGCCACTGCCACAAGCAGCGCTAATAATAACAACAACAGCAATGCTGCCGCTAGCGAGCAGCGGGATCCCCTCCGATGTCGGGTGTCGGTGCATCTGCTTGCTGGTGAGCGTGTAATGCTGTCCTTTGACTCCTTCTCGCTGTTCTACGCGGTGTGTGCTGCCAACAAGCTTGATCACCTCCACATACTCAAGCTGCTCAGCGCCTATAGACCGCCGGTAAGAGCTCCAGAAGCGTCTTCAGTGCTCCCCATCTTGAGCTTCCTGGGAGTCTGCCGCGTCTGAATGCGGCCTTGGAAGGGCCCTGTGTGCTGCTGGATTTCCAGAGTCAGCTGCATGCAGCACGTTGAGGATGCCGCGTGGGGTTGTCTCTCTTGTTCGAAGCTCGGCAGCTTCACGTGGGGTCAAAGACACAGTCCGACGCTTGCCTGCTGCTTGTAGGGAAGGCCTACCAAGTGCCCTAAGGCGTGGTGGCTTTTGTCAAAGATGTACACGCGGCTCCTGCGGAGGGAAAGAAAAGGCAGCGATGACTTCTTTACGCAGACAGAAGAACGGATTATGCACATGAAGCGGTTAGCGTCTTGGGGAGGTGGGGTGGCTTGAGAGGGGGGGGTGGAGACAAAGGGAGGGATGGGGGGGGTGGCGGGGGGAACCTCAGGTGTGGAAATAGTTTGAAGTATCCTCGCGAGGTTGGAACGCCTAATCGGCAACAAGGCTTCTGGTTTTGCAGCTTTGCATCTCGCGCTTGGCGCTTGTGCCGGTGTGCATGAGTCTGCAGGTTCATCCGCCTGTTCAAAATCCTGTTGGTGCAGCATTGGGAAGAGCAGCAACTGCAGCAGCAGCAGCAACAACAGCAACAGCAGCCGATTCCAGCGCTTGGGGAGGTCTTGGCCCCCGTGACGTCTCGATATCTCCAACACCAGAAGCAGCAGCAGCAACAGCAGAAAGGGGAGCGACGGCGGCAGACAGTTAGCCAGCAGGAGTCTGACGATCTTTTTCTGTTGCTGCAGTTTGCAAGACGTCCAGTTGCAGCCATGGCTGTCTGGGTGCTCATAGCGTCTAGGGAAATGGAGGCAGCAAGGGAGGCTCTCGAGCAAAGAGGAGATCCTGATCTTCAGGTGTACCAGCAGGCTGCGCGGAAGCTGCGGCAGCTGAGGCAGCAGCACGCCTTCCTGCAGCAGCGGCAGCAAGACCTAGAAGGCCACACTCCGGCAACCTTCCTGCAGCAAAAGCAGCAGCAGCAAAAGCAGCAGCAAAAGCAGCAGCAGCAGCAGCAGCAACGAGCTCCGAGGCCAGAGGAAGACCTCGCCGCAGAGCTGCAAGCGAACGAGAGCGAGCAGCAGCACCTCCTGCAGCAGCTGCAAGGCGGCGTAAAGGCAGCCTTGACAAACAAGATAGTCTCTTTCTTTTCAACCCCGAGCTCCTTCTGTCAGGAGGCGCGCGCCGCAGCAGTAGCTGTAGAACAGGGACGTGCAGCCTTGCAGCACCAGCTGTTGCAGCTGCAGGGGCCAAGAGCCACCAGCCTTCGCGACAGCGGCGCTAGGCTCACTGAGATGTACAGACAGCAGCAGCGCGCCGCAGCGGCTCGGTGCCGCGAAATCGAATCCCACAGAGACACCTGGAGGGTCTCAAAACACCGCATGCTGCTGTGGGCGGAAGTGCTCGGCGCCTACGAATCGCTGCTGCCTTCCCCAGCTGCCGATGCACTGCTAGACAGCACGGCTCTTGCGGATCTTCTGGAGCAGCACAGGCGTCGGCAGCTCGAGGAAAACTTCGGTCTTGAACTTGAGAAGCACAGCAGCGGACTAGTTCCAGTGTTTACCCGGAAGGCCACACGCATTTCCCCTCCAGCGTCTGTTGCGGATGACGCCGCAGCGCCTGCTGCTGGCGGTGGTGTCTCGTCAACAACTGGCGACATCAGAGAGGCAGCTGCGAGGGACAGACGGCTCGATTCGCGGGAGCAGCAACAGGCGCCTCGGCAGCAGCTCGGGAGACGACCCAGAATCTCCGCCGTGCAGGGTGGACAGAGGGAGCAGCAGCAGCAACAGCAGCGGCAGCTCTTGACAGCTGCGGCAGAAGCCGCGGCAAGTCTCCCGAGTCTGCTCTTGAACCTTGCGAAGACATGCGATCTGCCATTACGCGCAAGCCTCCACAGGTGCAAAGCCGGTGTCCTCTTGCGCAGTGTTGCCTTGCGATTAGCCCCCCTCGTGACGCTAGACACGTGGAAGCGTCAGTTCCAAATGCAGCAGCAAGGGCAAGCGTGCTCGCAGCAACAGCAGCAGCAGTTGGAGCAGCAGCAGTTGGAGCAGCACCAGTGGCTGCTCTTTGAAATCGCTGATGCAGCTGCAGAATTACAAACCTTGGACGGGGCCTCGCTGCTCCTGGCCATACGTTCTCTGGAGCTTCACTTGTGTCATGGAAGGATCTCCGTTCAAAGGCAAACCAGCAACAGAAGTACTGACGCCAGCGCTTGTTGGTGGCAGTGCTGTTTCAAAGAGCTTGAAGCTGTGCCGCAGCTGCGGATCATGCAAAATGGGGCCGGTAGCAGCTGCAACAGCGGCAGCAGCATCAATAGCTTTGAGGAGCCTGCAGCAGCCGCGCAGCAGCAGCAACAGCAGCAGCAGCAACAGCAGCAGCAGCAGCAGCAAGAGCGGCAGCAGCAAGAGCGGCAGCAGCAAGAGCGGCAGCAGGTGTTGCTAGGCAGCATCCCTGCTGCATCAGCATCAGGAGCGGCAGGCAGCAGCGATCTTGGAGGCAGCGGGCATAGCCAAAGAGGGATCGGCAACGCCTCGAAGTCGAGCATCTGGAAAAGTGCAGTGGACGCAATTGGTGCTGCGGCAGGGGCAGCAGCAGCAACTGCTGCAGCAGCTGCTTCAGCTGCTGCTGCGGAGTCGACAGGGACCCTCGTCAGCAGCGCTGCGGATGTAGAAGGAGGATTTTCACTTTCCAGCGGTGTCAGCATGAGCAGCAGCAGCAGCAGCCTGAGGGAGGCAAAAGTCGCCTTCCAGGAGTCGGTAAAGAGAGGAACGCAACTTAACCAGCAGCTTCAGAAACGTCTGTCCTTCCTCTTGCTCCACTTGACCTCCCTGCCGCTACTGCAGCAGCAGCAGCAGCAGCAGCAGCAACGGCCTCTGCTGCGCATCGGCCTTCCCCTCTACCTCCAGGCGACTGCCAGGATCCAGCATGTTTGGGGCTGCATGCAGATGAAGAATGTGGAGACAGTGCAGCTGCAGCTGCAGCAGCTGCTGCTGTCCATCGCTGGCGCTATCGTGGCTGGCGGGAGGGCAGGAGACTTCACGTCATGCGCAAGGTAGGTGTGCAGAGGCCCCTTCCCCACCCTCTTCGAGGCTGCTTGAAGCGCTTCGTGAGAAGTGGCGGCTGCTTGCCTATGTGTACGCCACGCTGCTAAGGCTTCTGCCGCTGCCGCTGTTTCTCTGCTGCAGACGCGGTGACTCCGTGGCCTTTTTCGGCGGGCTGCTTACGGCTTACAAGAGGCACAACGAGCAACTCCTGCAGCTGTATCGGCAGCAGCTGGAAGAGCAAAGACCCCTCCCAGGAAGCATGCAACGCGGCGAGAGTCCTCTTGCTGCTGCCGCCACTACCGAGCAGCGGCAGCTGCCGCGCGGCGAAGAAGGTCCCCTCACCTCACTGGCTGCTCTTCCTGCCGCTAAGCGCCCTGCAGCTCTGGATATCTCCTATGTAACAGGTGCAGCTGCTTGGGGGGTTTGGTCTGGTAATGCTGCTAGTTCCGCTGTTATTTCTGTTTTGGCTAGTAGATCCCGTCGGAGGAGGTGCTCCTGCTAGTGCCGCGCTAGTGGGCGTCTCGTCCTTTGCTGCCTGCTGCGCTCATGTTGCAGATCGGCTAGCTGCTGCTTCCGAGGCTGCGATCGCGAAGCAGCAGGCAGAAGAGGGCCTGTTGCAGCAGGCCTCCTATGCGGAGAGGGCGGCGTTTGAGCTGGAGACGCCACATCTTTCTGCTGCTGCTTGTCCTCTGTCCCCTGAATTGCATGCGCTGCTGTCTCTCATCGGTCTGCGCGTGCGGGCAGTCCTGCCGTCCATACAGATCTCCGTGCAGCAGCAGCAGCTGCTGCTGCCCATCAACGACGGAAGCGGCAGCAGCACGTGGGAGAGTCCGTACGAGAAGACGCCTGCGGGGGGGGCAACAGACGCTTCCAACGACACTCAAGGAAGCGCTGCAACGGCCTCTCAAGCAGCAGCAGGCACCGCCGTTCAACCTGGAGCGGCAGAGATCCTGAGCATCGCTGTGCGCGAGCAGGATCTCGCAGTATCCCTTAGCAGCAACAGCAGCAGCAAGCAGCCTGTGCTGCGTGCTTCGGTCGGAGGCGTCCTTACAGCAGCGTGTCCTTCCCCAGCGAGCCTGCTGCAGCAGCTGCCCCTGCTGCTGCAGCTGCTGCAAAGTCGATATGAAGGGCTGCATGCGTTGCTGCTTCTGCTGCTGCCGCCAACGTGGACGGCGATGAGAGCGCCGGAGTTCTTGCAGCTGCTGCAACAGCAGCTGCAAAAAAAGGCGCAGTCAGAAGGGATCGACACCCACAGGTCATCTCCCACCAGCTGTGTGTGGGCAGAGACAGTCTACAAAGTGGTCAGAAGTGTTGCCGAGCAGCAGCAGCAGCCACTGCTGCAGAAGCAACTCGGATCGCAGCAGCCCGAGCTTGAGCGAGAAGCCGTTCCTGAGGAGAGACGACTCAGCGAAGACCTTGTGCTGCCCCTATTTCCTGTTGCTCCGTCCTTTGAAAGCCGCTTGGCTGCTTCCCCTGCTGCTGCTGCTCCTTCAGCGTTCCCTCCCGCCGTTGCGGCTCGGCCTGCTCAGCGTATCCTTACTGCTGGTGGCGCCACGAAGCAACTCGATGTTGCTGCGGCTGCTGCTGCTGCTGGCATCCATCGACTGCCCTCCACTGAAGCAGCAGCAGCCCCTGCTGCTGCTGCACGCCAGGATCGGGCTGCCCTTTCTCCGAGATCTTCTCCCGTCCTGCGAGCTGCTTCGAAGGCAGCAGCCCCCCAAACTACTGCAAAAATGCCTGTCCGCAGTGCTGTTTCTGAGGCTCTGGCAAGCAATGCAGCCGCTCTTACGTCGGTTTCAGCAGCAGCAGACGAATTGGACGCCCCCAAGGTATCTGCAGCACCTGCAGCTGATGCTGCAGCAGACGGCGAAGCAGCATCTCCTCGGGAGGCTGAGAGCACCAAGAAGGAGGCCGCGGAGTATGCCTCAAGTCTCCCTGCTACTGCGGCTCTACCTGCATGTCGCGTGGATGCCGCAAAACAAACACCTTTGGCAGTCTCCCAAGCTCCAAATCCAGCCTCCCCCCTTGCACTAGAGGCGGTCCCTCCTGCAGCGGCCGTGGGGAGGCCTGGAGCAGCACACCCGACTGCAGCAGCGGGCAAAACTTTACTATCGGGTGATATATCACTCCCCCATGCAGCTGCAGGAAGATCGAGGGCTGCAATTGCAGTGGCATCGCCGGAAGAGCCGGAGGGGGCGAAAGCTGCAGCCACCTCCCAGAAACAGCGAGACGCTCTGTGCAAAGGACCTCCAGGGGTTGCTGCAGCCGCACCAGCGCGCGTTGTCAAGGCTGCAGCAACGAGTCGGCAGCAGCAGCAGCAGAAGAAGACGCAGAAACCTCTGTTGCAAAAGCCGCAACCGCCTCACAAACAGCAGCAGCATGGGCAGCAGCAGCAGCATGGGCAGCCACAAGGCCAACAGCAAACGAAACGACAGCGGGAGCTGCAACAGCAAACGCAGCAGCAGCAGCAGCAACACGTGCCCCATCCCGTGTTTGCTTGCCGAGTTTCTGGCGTCACCCCTCGCGCTGCGTTACAAAGAAGCTTGGAGGAGGCTGAGGCTGTCAGGGAGAAGGAGCGGCCGAGCTCCCTGACTCCCAAAACATCGATGCAGCAGCAGCAGCAGCAAGCTGCGGCAGGCCTAAATACGCTGGGGCTTAGAAGAGTCAAGGGCACTGATGCTTTCGTCATGTTCAAATAGCCCTTTGAAGCACAGTGTACGCTGCTCCGTCCCTCCTACTTACCTTGGGGGATACCGGCTGGCGCTGCAGCACAAGGCATGAGGTGCTGTGCAGCTGCCACAGCAGAAGCGAATCTGTGCGGGGTGCATTTAGTTGCTGCTGGCTTAGCTGGTGATTGCAGCGACCGCAGCCGATGCAGAGAAACCTGCTAACACTACTAAGCCTGCAGTGGCTGCTGCTACTGCGCAGTATGAGAGAACACGGGATGAGTCTGCTCTCCGAAGCTTCAGCGTCCTTGACGTCCGCATCTCTTATTAGTTCTCCCTAAAATACCCTGAAACACAAGACTCTCCTCTAGTGCTTAGGCCTTAGGAACGGGCTTTAGGCATTGTCTCCGAGGCTCTCAGTCGTGCGCCCCGAAAAAAATGACTTCCTTGTCACACGATCGGGCTATAATAAGCCTGCAGTGCTCAACACCATGCGTAAGTCTGCCTTTAAAGATGCTACGGCCCCCAAACCACCCTCCTCACCATCACACCACAGCTGCAGACTGGACAAACATCAACAAGGCCGTTTGCCAACATGCCGTTTTGCGGCTTCTGTGTGCGCTTCAACTTTAGTGTCAGCGCGCTGAAAATTAGGGTCCTAGAATATGGGCTGTGCCTTTTGGAGTTTATTCCCTTTGATGGATCGCTAGCCGTGGGCGGACTTTCTGTTAACGAGACTCGAGACTCCGCCACCGTCGCAGCATCCTCACGCATCTAAAATATGTATCTATACTAGTAAAAGTACACATCACCTTTGCATTTTGCGATACACTGTTTTAGCTTTAATTTTTCAAAGCGGTAGCGCCACCAATAAGCCGTCGAGAATGCGAAGGCAAGCCTCCTTCGTGCACGTCGATGTCCGTTGTGCTTTGGGAGGTGACCGCCAGGTACACGATTCTCTTATAGGCACACATCCACGCCTGATGCACCTGCGTAGCGAGCTTCTATACGGCTTCTGTCGCTAGAATTCATATTTAAAGGCTCAGAAACTACCAAAGGAGGCAGAATCGCAAGTGTTTTTCGAGAGGAAGCGCAAAACAGGAGCCCAAAGCGACATCCTAGGGCAGTCCGCGTCTGCTCTGAAGCAGCTGCAGCAGCGGCGCCGGGAGCAGCAGCCTTAAGGAACTCTGTCCCTACGGAGTTTAATTTGCCTCCGTTTTTAGTGGAGCTTAAACTCGTTCCATGGGGCCAATGTCTAAATTTGCCACACCAATCATGGTCGCAGGTCTTCGGGCAGTAGCTGCTCCAGGACGGGCAGTACTTGCAAGCATCGCGAGACTCCAAGATTTCCGCCTTCTCTAGCCTTCCCAGCACCAGCCAGTGAATTCTGCAAGAACATCGCCACCTCGTCGGCGCAACCCTGAAAGGGTTCATGAACACACTTCTCCCCCGGTCGAGGGGTAGCCCCCAGCTGCACATTACAGCGACAACACTAGATTTGTTAGTATTGGGACTACATCTTTAGTATCCTGGCAAGCTGAGAGATTTTCCTGAACCTGCTTGGAGCAGCAGAGCCACCAGGAGCAGCCGCAGCCATACTTCAGCCGGCAGAGGAGGAGCAGCTGCAGCGCTGGCAGCTGCACATTCTGTGAAGGACCCCTTATCACAACTGCCTGCAGAAACAAGCACAGGCACAGCGCACACAGAATCAAGCGCAGACCAAAGCACCAACACAGAAGTAGGAGCGCCGGCTGTATGTGTCTCGGCGGCACGAGCGGCAGCAGCAGCAGCAACAGCAGGAGCTAGAAGAAGCGAAGCAGCAAACCAAAGGAGTGCTACGACAGCGAGAGTCACAGCGACGAAGGTCGTGGCATTTGGGTCGGTGTCTGGTGGTGTTTTTGTACAATTCCCAGAATTCCATCGACGAGAATAGGAGCAGGTGCAGCAAATGAAGAAAACCACAGCACAGCTTCTGGAGGAGGGCCATGACTTTAAACCGTTGAGGATCCTTCACCTCCATGGGTGGGATGCCATTGTGATGGCTGTTTCTGCTTCTCCCTCTGCTTCTGCTCCTGATGCTGTGCAGAGGGAGTAGTGACCCTACGACCTAACTATTCAACAAACCTTGGGTATCACTGCTGCGATTCTCGTACCTGAATTGTTTACGAAGGATCTGATGCCATGCTTTTTCTCCCGTTGGTTTTCTGTGCTGATTTGCTACCCCAGCATCGATGCGGGCCCCCGCAGTACACTTGCACGGCAGTTGCGCCGGTTGTACGGGTACAGCAACACACGAGGAGGTGCCTATACATCTGAGCTGCTGCTCAGGGAAGTCGTCTTTTTCTCTTCACTCACCGTTGGGTTTATTCTCCTCGGTCTCCTTGCGTCCATTATGTAAGTAGGATCGTAACGCATGCGTCTATGGGCAGGTTGTTCCTTTTTGCGTTTCTGGAGTTGCATTTGCTGCCGCAATGGACATGCATCTCTTAGTGCATAGTTGGATGTATTCATGTGTGACAGGAACGGCGGCTGCTGCTGCCAGTCATCCTTGTGTTTGTAGCATCTCTGTGCTCGTGCGGGTGCTGCTGAAGCCGCTCATTCTGTTGCTGGTGCATTAAGGAGCTCGGTCTATGAGCTACACTTTGTTATGGGACTTCCGTATTTGTGGTGTTGTCGATTGTGTCAGACTATGCTGGATTGCGGCTGCTCCTTGGATCGGAGGCGTCGTTACGGGTGTCTCGGTAAGGCAGTATCGCCGTCCTGGTTATTGTTGTCGTGTCTTACGGTTGCTGCTTCTAGCTCGACACCATTATACTTGGCTCAGCGGCACTCTTTTGCACATTGCTGGTGCTGCAGCGGCTGCTGCTGTTGTTGGGTTCATGGTTTCGGCTTTGCCTGTTGCTGCAGTTGGCAAATGCCCAGGCCCCCAATTCTTTGGGTACAGATGGTGTTGCTCTTGCAGTGTGTTGGGTTCTTGTACTGCTGCAGCTGGCTTTAGGCGCCTTGTTGGTGTTTCTTGCATCTCTGGGCATTCCGCATCTGATGCTCTCTGTAGCGCGCAACCGCGCCATGAAGGCCTTCACAATGTTTCGCCCTAATGCGATCGTGGCGTCTTCCTTCGGCTCTGTGGTTCTGTTTCACATGTCGATTCCCAAGTTGCCGCTAGTACATTGCACATATCTCGACGTCCCTTTCGTTTTCTGCCTGCCCTCCTGTCATCCTCTTTGCGGGTCTGCGCGTATGGTGTGTCATCTTTCTGATTTCTTGCTTTTTCTCCCTCGGCTCTCTCGGCTTCTCTATCCCGTGCCTCTGACCCTGTCAGTATGGTCGTTTAGGGCCGTATGCTGGCATTCAAATTCTCGGTTGCGGGCTGCAGGTAGGATGAAGCCGCAAGGAGTACCGTGGCGCGTCCTTGTTGCTCGGTGCCTCTCAGCCCTTGTGCTTCTGGCTCTTTGCCAGCTCTGTGTCCCCCCCTGTGCCAAGTGGCTTCTTTCGTGCTTCTTCATTCACTGATGTTGAGCCAATGTATATGTAAATTTTTCTTGTGGCTTTTGGCATGGTTCGCTGTACGCGCCAACTTCTTTTTATGCCTTCATTGATTCACCTCCTACGGCAGGCCCTCTCTGTATTCCCCTTGATGATCTTGCTTAGCCTCAAATGCCACCATTTAGCAGCAGCAGGCCCAGTATTTAGGTGCTCAGGGACACAATCTTCCTCTCCCTGCGTGACTGCATACCTGTGTTCTTCCTTCTGCCTCGGTGCTTTGCGTTGCAGCTGCTGTTGTTTCCTGCTCAAGAGGCCCATCGCAGCTTCTTCGCTTCAGCGTCTACGTACTCCCTCAAGAAGTGGCCATATGTCCTTTTGGTGCAGGCAGCAGATTCCCGTGGCCAACGGAAGCAGCTTGAAGACTCTCTGCAACTGATTGAAACTGTACAAGCCGGCAGAGGACGACTCGAGATTCTTGGTACTAAGAGACTCCACACAAGATGATACACCAGATCCTTACTTCCAGATTTTTGCCCATGGTTTCTAGCGTGCAGTGTAACGGAACAAAAAGGTTTATCACCCTGAGCCTCTCGCCAAGCCACACACTGCCTAGACTCACTCCGCACGAACGCTATTTACCACCAACTAGTCTTACTGGCTCAATAAGCCTCAATCCCCGTATCATTCGACAATTGTGGTAGGGCGTCTATCCCTGCACCCGGGGAAGCGTTTCAACCGGGATCTCCAAGGCCTAAGGAGAAAACTTACCCCTTTTGTTGCCTTGTTTCTTATCCTAGCCATCTCCTGCTGTGTTGCTGCCCGCATTCAGAGACTGGAGGTGGCTCACTAAAGAAGATTGACGATGCCGACCTCAGGTACATCAACTGTAGGACCCGAACAATGTCTAAGCCATAATAATCCAACCTGTTTGTTCTGCTGGAGTCGTTACGGCTGTGCGGACTTCTCGATACAGATGGAGCACGCGCCCTGTGCGCTGGGTTAGTGGGCTGCTACCGGGGTGTACGTGCCTGGTAACTTCTTTGCAACAACGGCAGCAACTGCAAGAGCACGCGTGGTGGCAGAAGCGCGGTGTGGGGTGCTGTGTGTTGCGAAGGTCGTGGATAGAGGAGGTATTTGAGAGAGGCCGGGACCAAGTGCTGCAGCTATCTGCCTCGGGGGTAAAAGATATGGATACTTCTCTCTTCCTTCACACAGGGGGGACGCCGTTGGCACAGCCAAGCAGCCCTAGAACCACCAGTGTAGATGCACTGTCGCAACAGCTCTCCGCTGCATCCGATTCGCAGGCGTAAGCAGCTATGTGTTCAGCAGTGGTTGCTATGTGTGCCCCCCCGGACTAGCGCGCAGAACTAGCCGCAGCGAGCAGCAGGGGCCCAGTAGTGAACGGCAGGGCCGTTGTCGTTGGCATTTTCGTCTCCAAACTACGATCACTCACCATAGAGATAGCTCGCGACGTCAGTTTAGTCAGGTAGTATGATATTTGACACCGAGTTTGCGAATGCCCGGCGATCCTGCAGTTCTTCATCTCCCCAGTTGGCTTTATTTGTGTTGTTCGCCGGTGTACATATAAGCGATTGCGTAGAATCCTGATAAACTGGTTAGCCATCTAGCTAGCTATGCACACCAGCGCTCAAGCTCCACGTGTGGTGAGGCCGTCAGACAGCCATCCTTGCCTACAGTTGTATGCTCCCTTGGCTGCCTGGCTAGCCGCATGAAAAGCTTGCCGGCGCGGGCTCTTCCGTTGGTCCATTTAGGTAGCCGCGTGAGCAGCTGGCTGTGCGCGATCCTCTGTCGAGGTAGCCGCCTAGTAAATTAACCCAATTGGGCACGCAAGTGAGAGGCTTATATTGGCTCGCGAAGGGCTTTGACTCCTGACAGCATTTCCGGTTAGTGGAAGAAATATTTCTGAATTTTGCGAGTGTTGGGTCTTAGTTTCACGTAGAGTATGGTCCACGACGCTGAGTTGTGTAGCAATTAGCCGGAATAGCGATTCATATAGCTAAACCGATGCTCCAGCGCGGCAGCAACGGCTCGCCAAACGTATAAAAGCCCAAGTAGCGACTGCGCTTTAATAAGGCTTTTGCCTAAATTACGCGCGCTACCCATCTAGTGCCCTAGTTCTGCAGTCAGTACGCACATAGGCGTGTCGGCAGTGTACTGAACTGCAATGACCCCCTGAGAATGCCTTTTCACAGTTGACTGGACTGCACGTTTACACTGCATGAAGCTGCACCAGCCTTGTAAGTCTGGTTGTACGGCTAACGGCTTTTTTGGTTTTTTCTTTGAGTTACCTTCATGTGGTGTTGCCCGTTGCTTCCTCGCTGCGCACGCGCCGCGGGATTGAAATACAGCTGCTCAAAGAGGGCGTCGTGCTACGCAGCAAGAAGCAACAGCAGCTGCACCGCCGCAGCCCCTACCGGGGGTTTCCAGTTGCCATTTTGGTGAGGATTTTTGGTGGGAGTATGAATGTGGTGGTGATGCGAAGGCGTGTGCCCCATGCCGACCCAGAACTCATCGCTTGGATGAGCTGCAGGCCTACAATCGATGCTAAAATAGAAGGAGTACGCGAAAATCGTGTTTTTTCTGAGCTTGGCTCAGTAGGCGCGCGTTGAGTCTCGAGCCGACGACTCCCTTCCTCTCCTGCCGCGTGCAGCGCCCACGGCCTCCCTTCCAATCCGCCATACCGCGCCCTCCGAATTAGCCGTCTCCGTCTCTAGAGTCTGCTTGCAAAAGAAGGAACCTGTGGCAAGTAGCGCCAGCGAACGAGGCCTTAATCTAGTGAGACAGGCACTGGGGCAGGCGGGGTCTTAGAGGGGGCCACCCCCCAGCACGGACGGTGGGGTCATACTGAGAACTCTCAGAGTCTTTTTCTGCGTACTTTCGGCCGGTTATTCGCCTTAATCTCTTAGCAATTTTTTTCTGCTGACAGCGCTCCGCGAGACCAGGGAATTGGACAGTTTTCCTCCCACGGCCCTTCCCTCCGCCGATGCAAGGGGCCCTGCTTGTCGATCCACGAAGCAAGCAGCTACAGCGACTGCCCTCCTCCCCCCTTTTAACGGACGACCACCCTTTCTGGCACGTTCTGCAGCGGACTGCACGCTATTACTCGCTCCCACGCGGCCGAAACCCCCTCCGGCCGCGCGTGCGCAGCAGCGCACACGCATGCGCGTGCAGCGTGTGTAGGTAGAAGCAAGAGCAGCTCGAAGATGCCCCTCCATATGCCTGAGACATCGCCCTTGCCCACCCAGCTGCTACTCGGCCTTGAGCCCGTGGGCATTCGCGTTTCTCGCAGGAAGGTGCTCTCCCTGAATCGGCGGCTTCTTCCTGCGAAGCAGCAGCAGCAGCCACAGCTGCAGCAACAGCATCGGAGCGGCTGCGGCGAGTGCGCGGGGTGTACGGGGAACAACCGCAGCAGCATAGAGGTGGAGGACATCGCTCAGTTCATCGCCAGTGTGAAACAATTTCTCCCCCTGGATTTTGTGCTACTGCCGCTTGCAGACCCCAATGGGGATATACTGGAGCGCCTGGCGGCTGCTGCGGCCAGATCGGCTGTTTCCGCGCGAATTTCAGGAGCATCGGCGCCAAGGGTAGAGGCACAAGCATCCGCCGTCGCAACAACGCTGGATGCAACAGCCGATCCTTGGCTAGGAGGCGGCTGCTTTTCCTTCCCCTCCTTCACACCCCTAGGTCTCAGCGATCTGCATCTGCGCTGTGCAGACTGGGTCAGCTCTGTCATCGGATGCACCTCCATTTGGATACACCCAGACTGCAGCAGTAGCAACGACAGCAGCAACGAGGAGTCCAGCGTCGTGATGGCAGCCGATTCTAGGTATGGAGGCAGCTGTATCGCCGCGAGGCTCCAGCGCATTTACAGGTTCCTTAAGAGGCGGCAACTGCTCCTTCGGCGTGAGTCGCTGCAAAAAAAATTACTGATGCTGCAGCAGGAATCAAAGTCTGATGCCAAGTCGCCGAGGCAGCAACAGGAGCAGCAGCTTCAACTGGAGCAACTGCAGCAACAATTGGAAGCGCAGGAGGACCTTCCCGCTGCCAAGATTCACGAACGTCTAGGACGCCTGTACACCGATAGCTTCGCAGCAGCGAGTGAGATGCTGCAAAGGCAGGCAGACCAACAACAGCAACAGCAGCAGCAGCAGCAGCAGCAGGAGTTTGATAACGGGCCAGAGCAGGAAGAGCAGCTGTTGCAGCTAGCCGCAGCCGCATCAACCTCCCCCTTTCTCAGCAGCGGCTTTCATATGCGGCGATTGCACGCTGAGATTTCCTTTGCTGCGCATCTAAACCTACAAGCCATCATTCTGCCACCACCAACCACTAGGAAACCCCTTCTCTTGGCAAGGTGTGTATGCGCTGTGACAGGCGCTCTTATGAGGTCTTTGCTGCTGCTGCTGTCTGCCATGCCAAAAGGATTTGTTGAGACTGCTAGCTGTGTAATCCTCTGCGACTGAGCCATGCCTGCTGACAGGCTCGCTTCGCGCGCTGTACGTCTGTTCGTGAGGAGGGTTTGCGTGCTGCTGCGGCTGCTCGTGTTGCTGCAGAGTCATTAAGGCGTGGCTGTCTCAGCTGCAGCCCCCAACATTCTGGATACGGCTCCCACTGCAGTACAGCAAGCCAACAGCCGCGGCAGCCGCGGCAGCAGCAGCAAGGCGCGACGCTTTAGCTCTAGGTGCAAAGACACCTGAAGCAGCAGTGGCTGCGGCAGTCTTGCAGGAGCTGCAGCAGCTCGCCTTGCTGAATGAGGGCTTTGCCACTGCCGCAGCTTCCACTGCCAGCAAGCAGCAGCAGCAACACCAGGGAGACGATGACGAAGAAGAGCACCTGCTAGACCCCTGGGAGCAATGGTCCTTCCTGCAGCAGACAGTTGGAGTGTCTATTCACCTGGGCGTGGCTCTGCAGCTGACAGAAGACCTTCCCTCGGAGCTCGTGCTGCAGAGATGGCTAGCAGAACCTCTGCGGTGTGTCTTGATTCCCACAAGCATTTTCATGCAGCTGCAGCAACAGCCAGATGTGACGCTTCTGCGGCAGCATCTCACCTTCCTACTCCGCTGTGCAGAGCTTCGGGTGCGTCTAGTCCTTATTGACGACCGTGAGGCGGAAGCAGAGACAGCGGCGTCAACACCAAAATCAGAGGCAGAAGCAGCAGCAACTGCAGCTGGTGTTGGTGCTCTCCAGTCGAAGCGAGCTGTTGTAGAGCACAAGGACCTCCTAAGCAACAGCGGCATCACCAACAGCTCCAACAATGAAGTCGGGTGGCTGGCAAAGCTCAGCAGCCTTGGCAGCAGCTTTGGTGTGAACAGCAACAGCAGCAGTCAAAGCAGCAGCGACAACAACGGCAGCAGGCTTTGTGTTTACAAAGAGCTGCTGCCATTCGTGCGATGCATTCAGCAGTCCTTCCAAATGCTCCCTCCTCTGCCGCCGTCTCTGCTCTTCTCTAGAGGCCATCGCAACACCCTCCAAATCCCCATGCAACCTTTGGCAGATGACTTAAACGCGTGCAGCTACGAGGTATGTCTATGGGGAAGCCTTTGCCCCTGGTCTCCTGTAAGAGTGCCTTAACCTTGCGTGCTTGTGCTCCCTCGCCGCCTCTCCCCACGCATCTTCTGTCCAGCAGAGTCTCTCTATCTCTCTTGTTCCCTTGTAGCGAGAGGCTGCCTCCGCTACTGCCGACGAGCGGCTGCTGAAAATTCCATGGAGGCAAGCACTGCCACACGCCCCCACGAAAGGCTGAACGAGGGTGTGCGTTCAGGTCTTTGAACGCGATGCGACTAAGTACAGGCTCTATTCGCAAGCTATTTATCGCCGCCTGATTGATCTCTTGGGTCTGGACGACATCCACCAGGAGCAACAGCAAGCACAGCGCCGAGGCAAGCCCGTGGGGAAGCGGAGGAGGAGCCAGAGGTCACCTTGCGGCAGCAGCAGCCGCAGCCTCAGCAGAAGCAGCAACAGCAGCGACGATGAGCAGCAACCACAGCGCCAGCAGCAGCAGCAGCCCTGCAAGAATCCTTATGGCATCACGACTGCCTTGAACAATCCTAATTGCCTGTACATCTCAGAGGCCAACTTCCCGCTGCTGCAGCGGCAGCAGCGACAACGGCAGCGCCAGAGCAGCCGTCAAAGCAACGGCATTCGTACGGCTGCAGCGAAGTCAGAAGCAGCGGCATCTGACGCGGCGCCGCTGATCGAAGACTCCCCGCAATACAAGACGGCGATGGGCCGTTTCTCGTGCCTCGCCTTCCTTAAGGATGTTCGCTTTGGAAGCGAAGCAGAGTACTTAGGGTACCGCCCTCCAGCAGAGATGCACGCCCACCTCAGGGCAGCAGCAAGAGCAATCAGGGCAGCAGAGGCAGCCGCTATTCGCCCGTCCACATTGACCTCTTCTTCTGCACTGGACCAACAGCAGCAGGAAGTGCAGGAGGGCAGCGATGACTGGCCCCGAATCGCAGTCTATGTGGTGGGTGCTGGTAGGGGGCCTTTGGTGCAGGCAGCGTTGGACGCGCTGCGCAAAGTCGGTGTGCCGCCTTGTTTCTATTTTGTAGCCGCAATCGAGAAGAATCCGCAGGCGCTGTACGCGCTCATGGATCGGCAGCAGCACGATGCATGCGCTGCTTGGCGGCAGGTTGCCGTTGTGGCTGGCGACATTAGGAAGCCAGAAACTGCAGCAGCGGTAGCTCGGGCTGCAGCACGTGCTGCGGCGATTGGGAAGGGAGCTGTAACAGCCGCACCGCTTCCACCCGCGGGGAGCGCCCGCTGCGACATTATGGTCTCCGAGCTGTTGGGGTCTTTGGGAGACAATGAGTTATCGCCGGAGTGTATAGACGGCGCACAGCAGCTGCTGCTGAAGGCTGAAGGCATCTCCATCCCAGCGGCGTATGTTTCTTCCCTTGAGCCTGTCTCGTGTCCGCTGCTGCATGCCGCTGCAGCCGCTGCCTATGGCGATACGCATCAGCTAGACGCCATGTTCGTGGTCTATCCCCACGGCATCTTCAGGCCTTCAAGGGAAGGGCCTCGCTCGTGCTTCGCGTTTCAGCACCCAAACCCATTGGTAGCACCCTTCGCCACGTCTGCTGCTGCCAAGCGCATGCACGCATTTACAGAGTACATCCTCGGAACGCCAGCAGCAGAGACCACCGCAGAGGGCGATGCAGCAGCGCCAGCCGCCAATGCAGAAGCAGAACGGTGTGGAGTAGACTTTGCGTCTCCCTTTTGCCTGTCCAGTACTGCTGTAACAACAGGAGCCGCCGGGGCACAGGGCGACCCCTCAGATCGAGTATGCCTGCTGCAGTGGTCCCTCAAGAGCGACTGCACAGTGCACGGCTTCTTGGGTTATTTCTTCTGCTGCCTTTACAGAGATGTGTCCCTTTCCATAGACCCCCGCTGCTGCACAAAAGATATGGTCTCGTGGTTTCCTGCGCTGCTGCTGCTGCGGCAGCCGCTGCCACTGCGCAAACAGCAAGAGCTGGTGCTGGCTATCACACGCAAGAGCGATAACCACAGGGTCTGGTTCGAAAGGGCTGTCATGTCTCCCGTCGCGACGCCCATCCAAAATCTAAATGGCGTCTGCTACTTTATGGGGAAGTGAGCAAGGGCGCGGGGGGTGAGGGCGGAGCCATACCGCTGTTGTGTCTCCTTCCTTTGTATCACCTTTCCCCCTTCTGCCGCACGAGCTATCCGCGTGTCTCAGCTTGTCCACCAGAGCCTTCCGTCTCCCCGTCATCTGTCTGATGCTTTGTATATTGTCTCTCCGAGTCGTTCGTTTAGCGGTCAGCCCCACAGTGCGCGCCGCAGCACCTCCAGAAGAGGGAGATCAGGAAGTCTTACGCTAGATTGCTGGGCGGCTTCGCGCACGTCACACCGCCGCTAGGTTCCTATATCAGATGCTTTTTCTCTGCTGCCCCCTCTGTTCCTAGCGCGGAGCCAGCACGCAGGTGCCTGCCGCTTGTTGCGGTGGAATGCCCGCTGGCAAAAATGCCCTTTGTCTCGGGTAGCGGCCGGGCCGCAACTCCAAACTGATGTGATTCTTTTGGGCATTTTCTGGGTGTGTATCGGGCCAAGCTGCACTTCGGTGATTTCGACTACGCGAGATCTCATTCAAACGCGAGTTAGTACGGAATCGAGTAGCGTTTAGTATGGCTGTTTGTATCTGCTATATCTGCTGCCGAGTCAGTAGTCTCGATGCGATAAGAGAAGCAGTGTTGGATGCGTGTGAGCTATATGTTGCTGAGTTCAAATTGGCCAGACTGAATGCTTACAGCGCTAAGAGGAAGCGAACCCATCCAAACCATTGCTAGTTGTCTTGTTTGGCCGCTTCGCCCGAACCGAGCACGGTATCTAGTGCGGGAAAAGAGTTCATGCAATGTAATTGGGGCGTGAAAAATGTCGGTGATCTTTACATCGGAGTCTTTTTAATGTCCAGATTGCTCATCAGTCTTCAAAGCATCACACAAAGATTTTGATCGGATTTGATTTCTCAATTTTTTTTACACTGGTGCCCCCTGCCCAATAGCCTGCAATTTGAGTAAATTTAGGGCATCATCAATAGGCTTGCCGTAGCGGCCGCTGCATTAAACGGGCGCACTGAAATGTCCAAACACATACGGATATACTTGGGTTTGCGAGTGTGAGTGTGGACGCCGTCGTGTGCTTGTCATTAGGGTGACTGGAGGTCTGTATGAATAGGTCTGGGAGATCAAATGACGAGTAGACAGACTGGTGATCCGTGTAGCATGGCAAGTAAACCGCCAACGCAAGGCATTGGAAACGTTTGCATCACAGTAATCTTTACCAGGGGATTGAAATTAGTGCACATGAGCCACCTTCCGTCGTTTTTCGTCATCAATACCAGATTATACCCAAACGCATTGGACGATTGCTGCACTCAGTCTCTTTTCAAAAAAAATACCTGCCTGCAGCAATGCCTTCCCTCCATGCTATCGAATCTTCTGATACCGTGGAATATCGTTGGGAGCTGGCCTGATTTAGCCAAATGCGATGTGCCCGGCTATCATCAAGTGGCCAGCCTGCTGGCAGCGCATCATTATTCAGCAGATCCACAAAATTTTCTTTTGATATTTGCCCACTGTGCTGTTCCCCGGCTAAGAATTCACAGGAATTCTCAAGTAAAGCTATTGTGCAGGACCATTCAGACAGGATACACACTCAAAACTGTTTTCTCTACGTGCTCTGCTGAGCCGCCCGCATGAAAAATTCTGCCTCACCTTGTTCTCGGCTTCGACTCTGAGCGCTCACCATCTATGACGTGAGCCTTGTTGAGGAAACCAAAATGTGCTTTTGCTTTGCACTTCGCGGCAAACCAACCTCCACAGCATGCAGAGCTGCGGCCACATGCGGGCCTTCCGTTGTCATTGATGATATACCTAGGATTACGTAGGGGGAGCACGGATCGAACGAAGAAATCATGGACCATGTCGATAGTGCCAAATCTGGATGTAAAGTGGCATTCAAGTGTTGTACCCTTGCCATATGTCATGTTTTGCCGCCCGTCAGCAAACCCGACTCTTTGGGACTACTCGAACACTCGAACACGCAAGGGGCATTCCTGATTTTCTCCTTCACATCTAGTGCCACGTAAAGCTAGCAATTCTGAACCATCAATGTGGGGTTGTATCGGCGCAGAGTTAAATCGTGATGGGTCTTCATCTGTGGCTCTGTCCTCTGTAGCTTTCTTCTCTCTACCGCAGCCTGCATAATCTCTTTCAGTTTCCTTGGTGGGCCTTCTTTTCCTTGCTAAGCAGCCTACTGTTGCTGGGTTGATTCCCTCTGCTCGCGTTCTTAATTATCGTATGCGCTTGCAGTTCCGAATGATATGACCGGTTTCACACAATAGAAGTGGGTGGCTGCGGTTTTGTGGGGCTGCTACGGAGCGCACGTTGCCTCTGGCTCTTCTTCACTGATCTAAGACTGTAGGCTAGGGCTGGCTAACACAGCCCTGGCATCCACATGCTTGAGATATCAATTTAGCTGTCTCATTTGCCCTTCAACGCATGACCTATCCTCGACTGCTTCTAAAAGCTCAACTAGTCTACCATTTGCACAATTGGCACAGGTTGATTGCTAAAGTTGCTGCTTAGACTGCAGCCGCCTGACGTGTCACTTCGGACATACCTGGTAAAAACCTAAAACTGTTCCTAGTCTACATTGTGGCCTTCATAAGTCCAAGTTTCCTATTTCTTGAGATGCCGCTCTTATGATAAACTTTCCCTGCTTCAGCTCTCTCAATTCTCCCAAGCTTGCTCTTGAGCTGATTTTGGCATAAACGGATTAGTCAAGGCCTCTATGAAGGCTGAAAGTGAGTGATCCTTTCATGCAGATGACATTTTTTTTAGTAGAGTCACCATTGAAATTCTTCAGCCTCCAATAAACATAATGCAAAGCAAACTTGTTTCTCGACCGGCGGAGTACAGAGAAAGACACATCTTTTACCAGCTAACGAGTTCCGCGAGTACTTGTTCGTCCTAACGGCCGTCACATTGCTTTGACCGCAATCATCAGATCGACTCACATACAGATACTTTGTCAGTTGACAAAACCTGCCTTTGCACTAACTGCGGAGCTGTTATGTTTGTAAGAGGCCGGCCTCTCCTTTAGCCAACAGGCGTTGTGCCAGAGTTTACTTGTATCTCCTGAGTATTTATTTTACCTAGCCTGTTTCCACACAAATTCAAACTACTGAATTGCCATCTAGCTTGATCGTACCGAGACAGCTGTTCTAGGGAAACGTGAGATTTCCCTGCATCCATGGCCAGCAAATGGGTAGAGAACGGTTGCATCGAATTTCGTGGTGCTTCCAACTATACCGCTCCATGCTATGTCCTTGTAGAAGCGCACTTAGCTCCTAACTCACTGCAAGCTTGACAGACGGTTGCTGAGCATTCCTTTAAGCATCTTCCGCCTCCCTTGCTTGATCCCCTCTAAGCTTCCGACATGAGGAGAGGAAGCCGCGAGGGTGTGCGTATCTATACACTATAAGCGCACCGAGAATTCACAGCTAGTTGCACGGAGCATGTACCGCATTTGTACAGAGCATTGAGTGCTCTACTTTTCCGCGCTAAATGTACCCAGCAATAAGTAAATAGGGGAGAGAAGGTGTGCGAACAGACAGACCAGTAAGTCGTCTCTTAGTTAATTCTTAGCCAAATAGAACTGGTGCAGTAGAAAGCGTCAAGGTGTAGCCTAGAGATGCACACATACGCGAAGCAGAGCTGAAAAAGCTTGCTGAAGCGGGAGTCTGGATTAAAGATGAAATGATGAACTTTGGAAAGGGTTAGCCGTCGGGTATATGAGCTGTCGCGCCTCCACCTTCAGCCTTTTCCGACAATTGTTGCTCAACTTTCCCACCCGATGAGTAGGCGGCGCTGCTGTTAGCGAGTGCAATTCCCCTTGTAAAAACCGCGATTCCTCGAGGAAATGCTGCTTCGCTCTAAGCCTTGAGCCCTGGTAAGAAGGAAAATGGCTCTGAGACGCTTACGGATCTAAGTTTAGCTTGGTTTCCTCCTAAGGAATTCATTGAGCTGGCGTCTCGATGCGCTGTTGGTATTGGAGGGGTCGCAAGTGGCCCTCCAGACTCTAACATGCACTTTCACCCTCCAATATTACGCTCTAATTTCCAAAGACAACAAAGAATTCTCACGATTTCAGCGTTTCGCTCCCGGGAACGTCGCCTGTGGGCGGCAAAGTTGCAGCGCATGCATGCTGGAGCTGCTGTTGCCGGTACCGCCACTTAGTTGCCTTCTAAGCGAATGGCACCAAATGACACATTTTTTGAATAGGCTAAAACTGCGTAGAGAGAGGTGCGGGGGCAAGAACGGGCAGCAGCCGTTTGCTGTAGACTCGACGTTGGTTTTAGCCGAGGCGCAGCGGCATGCGCTGCCTGCCTTGGAGGATCTGCTGCTCCTGGTCGGTTACTTCCAAGGAGCTCGACAAATCTCGCTGTCTGCAGTGGCCAATAGACGCTTCAGCGGCAACAGGATCGGCAGCAGCAGCAGCAGGAGAAGCTCCAGCGATAGCAAGGCGATCTTATTGAGGCTTGCGCTGCAGTTCCCTCGCCAGCCTCAACAGCTGCAGAGAGTTCTCTGCGTATTCCAGCGCCCTTTTGCGCCTTCGCATCCGTCAAACGTCCCCATCAGGGGAGGCGGACGCTTTAGCCTCACATTTCGAACTGCAGCGCCAGAAATATGCCTTCGGCACAAAAGCAGCAGGTAGTCCCCTACTCGTGCCTCAAATCTCTTCCTCCCTTTGCAAGATGGTGGTGTTTTCGCTGGAAGGTGTTCGAGTCTTCTTCCCTTATGACTCGATTTACCCCGAGCAGTTCGCATATATCCGAGCGGTCAAACGGGCCGTTGAAATGCACGGGCATGCTGTCCTAGAGATGCCCACAGGCACAGGTATGCGTCAATCTTAAAACTGACGCCGAGGAAGCTCTCTAAATCTGTGGTCGATTATGCTTGATATCGTGGTCTGCACGCTCATACTCCCTCCCGCCGCTCCCACGGTGATATCTGCCAGTACCTTTGCCTTGGTGTGTGCTGCCACTTCCAATACTACATCGTGTCGGCATGAATATTCACGGGAGAGGGTGTTGCAACGCAGAGAGACACATTTGGGGAGCGAGATTGTGTGGAGGCTACAGGAATCAGAACTGTGATTTCGCAGGGAAAACGGCGTCGCTCATGTCGATCCTCACATCCATGCAATTCGCGGATCCTTCCATGGGACGCATTATTTACTGCACACGAACGGTCAGTTCTGGGGGTTTTAGAATATGGGCATAGGAAGTTTCAAGGTGGTTTTGTTCGACATAGAAGTGCGTCTGGAGCATCCTTAGGGCCTGCAGCTGCAGCGGACGCCGCACAGCGTGTGCAGCTGCATTCTTGTGCGCTATCGTAGGTATATGGGTATATATATATGGATAGCTGTTTTCGCGATCCTATACAAGGCTGCGTCCTCTTGCTGCTCCGGTTGCTGTACCGCAGGTCGCTGAGATGGAAAAGGCGTTGCTGGAGTTGAAGTTGGTGATAGACTACAGAATCAAGGAAATTGAAAAGGAGAAGCTGCAGCAGAGCCTGGTGCATGCGCAGCAGCAGCAACCTCTAGGGCAGCCAGGGCAGCCTCAGCCGGCAACAGAAGTCCCTTTACTGGGGAAAAAGATGCGTGGTCTGATGCTGGTGCTCGTGCTGCTGCAGTTGCAACGGTTGCTACTTAGAAGCACAGCATGTGTTTGACGCGAGCTTTTCGACAAGCTCTGCCCTTGAGACTTGAGCGTTCATGGCGTAGATGGTTTTTTTTGCAGAGTCTGGGTATTTGTTGGGAGTTGGGCTGTCTGCCCGGCGCAGCCTTTGTGCGAATGGGGCCGTCATGGCCTCCGCAGAGCGAGAGAAGATCGATGAAGGATGTACGCAGCAATCTACATCCCTTTGCGCACTGACTGCCAAAGCCACGGCGAACTCGCTGATTCCAACTCCTTGCGGCGGCTGTTGCTGCAGGGGTGGCTGCCCTCCTTGTCTGCACTAAGGAGGAACAGCACTCAGCTGAGGTTAGGCGGCTTTTCTCTCACCCTTGTAATCGAGTCTTTGAAGCTTCTGTTGCAGGTCGTAAACGAACGGCCCCGTGGGTGCGCGAAGCAGCCGCAGACCGCCACCAAGCCAGACTCGCGATGCGCAGGGTTGCCAATGCTGAAGAGAGCTCTGGAGATGCGCCTGCAGCACCGGGCGAAGCAGCCACAGATGTCGAGGACATTGGCAACGGCGATACGGCAGAGGGCCTATGTGCCTTTTACGAAAATTTTGATGAATATTTCACGCCTCAGCACTTCCCAGCTGGTCTGACTCGAAGGGTTCCGGGCTTTTGAATGCGGGCAGCCTTGTTCGAAGTCGCTGTCTGTCTCTTCTTTGCCATATACGATGTGTATGTGTGTACATATGTGTGCATGTGTATGTGTAAATGTGTGCGTATGTGTGTGTATGTGTATGTATATATGTGTGTGTATAAATGTGTGTATAAATGTGTGTATGTGCGTGTGCGGCAACGGCGCGCGCACTGGTTTGCTGACAACGAGCACGCACAGGGGCTGGTGCCTGTGGGTTTCTTATGGAATGCAGGTGTCTACACACTGGAAGAGCTGAAAGCTGCTGCTGTCCGGTGGCGCCATCCTGTACTGCAGCGCCCTCTGCCCCTCTGCCCTTACTTCTTGGCGCGGCGACTGCTACAGGTTGCGAATGTTGTCGTGCTGAATTATCAGTATCTTTTGGACCCCAAAGTGTCAGAGGTGCCGTGCACCCCTTCGTTTGGTGTCGTTGCTGCTGCTCTGTCGCTGGTGGCGATAGTGCTTGGTCGAGCTGTTGTCTCTTGCCTGTTGCTGGTGGCTGCTCATGAGGATCGAAGGCTGCTTGGCATGCTGCGCCTACCATTGGTGCTGACTGTTTCTGGAAGCTCCTTCTCCCCCTTCGGGATGGTGGAGGCGCTATTACTGCTGCTGCTGGTGCTATTTCCTCAGGCGGCTGTCTTCGGGCCCTCCAACACGGGGGGCCCCCTCGGCTCCCATCCTGGTGGCCCTTCCCTTGTGGGGTTCACGCGTACAGCAGCGCAAGAGCGCGCTCACCAGAAGCAGCAACGTCAGCAGCGGGTGCACCAGCAGGATGATGATGACCAGCAGCTGCAGCAGCAGCAGCAGCAGGAAGATTGGCTGGGGACAGACACAGGAGCCTCGGTTGTCGTATTCGACGAGGCTCACAACATCGACAATGTGTGCATTGAGGCGCTCTCCGTCCACCTCAATAAGAATACTCTGGACCAAGCTCTCCGCAACCTATCCGAGCTAAGCGAAGAGATCAAAAAGTTAGCGGCATTTAAAATACTCCTTCTTGCCTTCCCCTGGGTGCTCGTCGAGGGGATGCTGCTGGCGCGGCTCGTTGGGCGATGGTTGCTGGTCGTAGAGACATCTAGGCAGTCATGGATTGAGCGGTCTTTTGATAGGGGCGGCGTGTCACATGTGTCTCGCCATGCCTGCGGTTGCACTCTGCTAGTAGTAGTAGTTCGTCGAAATTGCGGTGTTGTGGAGTTTGTGCTGCCATGGACTGCCATTCTGTCTGCTGCCGCCCGATGCCCGCAGGCGTAAAGCAGCGGACTCAGAAAAGCTCCGCGCCGAGTATCAGCAGCTGCTGCAGGGCATGCAACAGCAGCAGCAACGGCGGCAGCGGCAGCAGCATCAATCCCAGGAAGAGCAGCCGCAGCAGAGGCAGCCCGTCACAGTTACATCAGAGACTTTTCAGGCACTTGCGAATCCAGTCCTTCCCTCAGACATTGTTGAAGAGGTGCAAAACCGTCGCAGAAACCTCGCCTGCAAACTTGAGCATCTGCATCTCTACATACACATACACATACTTACACGCACCCTGACGGCATTAGTCTCCCTCCTTACCAGCCGGCCTATGGGGAGAGACCCGCATGTGCAGCCTTGGCGCGTTTCGTCTTAGGCAATCCCTGGAAGCATCCGGCGAGCGGAACACTTTGTGGCTTTGATGCGGAGGGTGATTGCCTTCCTCAAGATCTACATCAAGTAAGACTTATAGATTCCGTGTATCGACGTACCGGCAGGGCCTCGAGTGCGTAGATACAAAACTGCGTCCTCTCGGGCTAAGATGCCTTCCGCCACCGTTTTCTCTTTTGCTGTTTGGCGCTGCACTTTCTTTTTGTGCCGCTCACCGCGTGGGCATCTGTGACATTGGCGTCGGGCCGGTCTTTGATCAGCTGTCTCGCTCGCACCTATCGATCTCTCAAGTCTTTTCCGACCCCTTTCCTTTCAACTCACCGGCGACACCTCCTTTGTATCCTTTCTTTACTTGAACCTTTCTATGCCTGCCTTGCTTTTCTTCGCCTCCCGCGCTGTTTTTTCGCAAATACCTTTCTGCGCGCCGTAATGCAGCCAAGCTGCCTTTCGTCATCACGCAGTTGCTGCTGGCGTCTTCAAGCTCAAATCTGCTTTTCTCTCGCTTCCCTCGCCGGATCAGCTATCTCTTTAAAAACTAAACGTTTTCTGCGCTCCCTTTTGTGCCCTTTGTGTTTTGTAGAGTCTACGACCTGAAGAGCGAAGGCCCGCTCTCCTTTCTCTTCGGCTTTGAAAAGGAGTCGTTGGTGGAGGGCTCTATTCTTCGGCACTTTCACTCGCGTCTCAAGGTCACTTATGCGCTCCCTTTCCCCTCATAGATTTGCATTGCTTTTCGTGGCAGCGTGTATCGGTGCTCCTGTGCCCACACTATGGAAACTTCTGCAAGTCGCTTCTCCTGGCAGTGCTGCTACCTCCTCGTGCTAACCCCGCTCTCTTGACTGTTTGCCCTCCAGCGGCGCCTCTGCCACTCCATTCGTTGTGTATCTCTTCTACACTTTATATGTTGGTTGCTGCTCGTCTCACCTGCTGTTGCCCTCCGTGATGATCCGTCTGCAAGCCGCTGCTCTGCGGGTTTCCACTCTGACCTTGAGCGGCTTGAGGCCCTCTTTCCGCCCCTAGACGCATCCCTTACTGCGCTGGGCCACCCGACTCAGTGTCTTCGCTTTCTGCAAGTTTTTTTGTCCTCAAGGCGTTGTTGCTGGCGCTCCAAGTGACAGACCTCGAGAGGCTCCTCCCTCTGACGCTCGTTGCGGACTTCTGCACCCTTGTAGGCACCTATTGGTAAGCGGAACCATTGCCGGCTTGGAGGCTAAGCTGAGATGTGCGCGCGGAAAGCACCTGCTGGACGTTCTTTGGAATGAAGGATACGTGTAGCATCTTTGTTGCGTTCAACGCGCTCTCCTCAGCACGGGGCGCACCAAGCCGGCGTACATCGGCCCCTGCCGCTTGCACGTCCCCTTCGTTGCGTCATGGCGTTTGGCAGCAGTTCAGTGAATCGCTTGACTTTGCGGGTGTTCGCTGTAGGGATGGCTTCATAGTGATCGTGGATCCGTACCCGGAGGCTTCTGGGCTGCACGATCCGCTGCTGCAGCTCTGCTGCTTAGACGCCTCTCTTGCAATGCAGCCCGTGCTGAAGCGCTTTAAAAGCGTCATTCTCACGTCCGGCACCATCTCCCCGCTCGAACTTTACCCAAAGATACTTTCTTTTGTGGTAAGTGCCACGCTACAAAGCCCGGAACCAAGCGTGTAGCCGGGTCGATCCTTTGGCAACGGGCAATGCGAGGCTGCCGGACCACCGGTTCTCCGAGTCAGATGCCGAGGGCCTTACTGCCTGCTCTCACGGGGCTGCCAAACGCGTGTTTGTGCACATCCTGGCTGGATGGAAGCCTGCACGCCTGCCCGCTTGCTCAAGGTTCGGGCGCAGTACGTGTGGGTTCCGGCGTTCAGCCCCTTATAGCGGAGTCCTTCCCGGTGTCTATGGATCGCGCTTGTTTCTGCCCCATGATTGTCGCGAGGGGTGCAGACCAGGCAAGTCAAGCACCAACCCTCGCTGAAAGGCACTTGGGTGACTGTTTGCCCTTTTCCCAGAGTTTGGCCTTGTGGCGTGCCGCAGAGCGGTGTGTCTGCGTGCGGCAAGAGCGCTACTTGCATGTGGGCAGGAGCCACATGATCCCGGGCTCTGGCATGTGTTGGGGGGCTATAGCTTAAGGTAGCACGCGCTCATCTTCCGTGCGACAGGCGGGTTGAGCGCCAGCGGCGTGTGTCTGGCCGTAAAGTCCGGGAAAGCGAGCGCTCTGTGTGGGCTGTAAAATTGGAGCGGCCTCCTTCAATGTTACACCCAGTCCGCTGAGAACTTGTGTTTAGGTGCCTCTAACATCCAAGTTTGAATACCGGCACGACTTGAGTGTCCTGCGAAACTACGCGAATCTCCTGCTGGACCTGTGCAAGGCGGTTCCCGATGGGCTTGTGTGCTTCTTTCCATCGTATGCGTACATGGAGACTGCAATGTCCTACTGGTACGGCCCTCGCAGGCTTAGAGCGTGGGGTTCGGGAGTCGTCTGGCTGCCTGGGCCGCCTAAATAGGGCTCTGAAGGCCACTGCGCAAGGATTAGGGCATGCGCGTTGCTTGGAGCAAGGCTTTTGCTCGGGCAACGATTTCTAGGATAGGGCTCTAAGATTGGCATCGCGGCGTTCAGGCTCTGTGTGTGCAGGTACGAAAACGGATTCCTCGCCCAAGTGCTTGAACACAAGCTGGTTTTTCTCGAGACAAAAGACGTTGTTTCCACGACCCTGGCGCTTTTTAACTTTAAGAAGGCGTGCGACTGTGGCCGGGGTGCCGTCTTCTTCTCTGTTGCCAGGTATGGGGACTTATTATTATGTGGCTTTAGGGCGTGCTTTAGGGGCTTCGGGGTCAAGGGCTGGCTTGCAAAATACCAAGGTGTTGGGGAAGCATTCTCTTTGCACGCATGGAGTTGCACATCGATCCGAAGCCCTCCGTGCCGACTTTCGTTAAGTTTAAGGCTTTCCTTCGAGGGCTGATGACGCATGGTTTGTGCGTATTTAGGGGAAAGGTCGCGGAAGGAGTGGATTTTGACCGGCATTTTGGGCGCTGCGTGGTTCTGTTTGGCATACCTTATCAATACGCTCTTTCGAGGGTCTTAAAAGCCAGGCTGGACTTCTTGAGGGTCAGCAGCTGGGGTACAGGTGTTAGAGAGGCTGGGTGTCGATATCTTAGCCAAGGCTTTCCCTCTTCCAAGTGCTCTAGGGTGCAGGGTGTAGCTTAAGAGTTTGGGCATTGTTGTATGTCCGTCCTTAGGAGCGATATCAAATCCAAGAGAACGAATTCCTCACCTTTGACGCAATGCGACAAGTAATGTTGCGAGCACCGTTGTTGCCGTTGTTTTTCGCGTCTTTCCTTTGCATTGCGCCTGCTGTTGCATCTCTGAGGCCCAACGGTTAGAGCTTTGCGTGTAGCATATGCGTACCGACCCTCGTGCCGCCGTGCGACTTAAGGATTTGGGTGCGTTGGCGCACGCTTGGCCGTTTGCTGCCTCAGTATTGGGTTGTTTGTGCATCTCAGGCAGCACAATGCGTGGGGCGGGTGATTCGTTCGAAGCGGGACTTCGCGATAATGATTTTTGCTGACGCGAGGTTCTCACGCTCAGACAAGAGGAACAAACTGCCCCCGTGGATCACGAGATATCTTGACCAAGCCCATCTCGCACTAAATACTGAAACCGCCGTAAGGGTTACAACCTTATCTCTTGAAGCACGAACCTCCACAAAGTGCCTACCAGGATACCCAAAGCTGCTGTATACATGCTGCCGCAGGGCGCATCTAAAATTGTTGACAAATAACAGTCAGTGTATCCCGTATTGTTCTCAAATCCTTTCGGTTCAACGCATCTGCCTCCTCTCTGTACGCATCCATCTCTATCTACACATCCGTCTGTGAGGACCTTTAGCTTAATTCTTCTGCAAGAGAATAGGGGCCTATATTTCCGGCTCTGAAGCGGTTTTGCTTGTGGACTTGTCCATACGGATTTGTTTGTGGCGTAGGTATCTGTTTGCCGTTCCTTCCTAAAATCCATTTCTCAGCCTTGCGTTTCCTCCTCGGCCCTAAGGCTGGGGGCGTCCGCCCTGGTGGACTGCAACCGTTGCTGGCTCCAAGTTGCAAGGGCCTTGTCTCTAGACACAGAAATGTGTTCTCTTGCACCGCTTCAGCAGAAGAAATTGCTGCTGCTGCAGCAACAGCAAATGCCAAAGAGAAAGCGCAGCAGTAGCGAGGGTGAGACAGATAACGCTCAACAGAGGCAGGCTGCACTCACAGACCAGCCTCCTGCTGCTGATCCTGCTGAACTGCGGGATGCCGCAGCAGCAGCACCTCCAGCAGCAACAGCTTTAGACATTCGAAATGCAGCCGAAACAAAAGCGTCACCGAACGCTGAGACAGTGCAGCACGCCTCAGTATCATAAGGGCATAAATATTTAGATGCTGCAGCTGTTGCTGCTGCTTATTCCTTCAAATTCTTCGTTTTAATATTGCCTCGTAGTATGAGGAAGAGCCGCCAGACCAAATTGCTCTTGTTCGCAAAATCTTGATAAGGTGTATACCCACCCTTCGAAGCAGGAGGGATCTAGTTCAAGTTTTTCCGAGTTCAGCTGTCTATGCAGCGGATATGTAATAGTCGTGCCCCTTCCAGGTAGCTGGCTAAGCTACGCTTTGGCGCTTTCTATGACACTACCGTTGTACCCAAGAGTTAGCAAAGAGTCGACAAATTGCGTTGTCTGCTCGTGCATCTCGTTCATTGCAGATCAGTGTTCGCTCCTCACAAGAAGACAAAAGGCTCTGTGCGTGTTCACTTCAAGCTATGCAAGTGTTTGTCAAAGCTTTGAGTGCTTAGAGGATGTAGCAACGGGCACCTTAGCCGTCTCTTTCTTCCAACGTCCACAAGTTCGAGACGCGCGGAGGGGGAAGAAAGAGTTTGTTTTGGTATTGACACAGCAATTTTCTACTATCTATGTATTGACTTAGGAGTTATGTAGCTCCCTGCGAATATTTTGGGGCGATACATTATCGCTTGCATGCACGCATGTTCTCCCACATGATCGGCATGTCTAGCACTGTACTGCGCAGATCTACAGTGTGGGCCCTTGTAAGCAGTACTTTGCGGGTGGGGGACTGTTTTGATCGCTATGAGAAGGCTGCTGCTTTGCATCCGAACGGACATCATACATCCCGGGAATGTGTGGCGGTCGGGCAAACGAGACCAGAGGAATCCCGAGCGCCCCTTTTTTGAGGGCATCTAAAAGAATTTAAGATTGTCTTCAATTGGTTATGCATTATGTCGGTCTCTCGATGGATTACTCATAGGGAATGCAACACTCATAGTGCATGCTGGTGCCTGCTTCCCATGATCACTGCGCACAGTAGGAACTTTGCATTTAAATTACTGGGGAATAAGTGAAAGCAGCAGTTGGTTAGTTCTATTGTTGCGAACGATGGCATAGAGGAAGCAACAGCGAGGCACAAGAGTAACACTATGTACAAGGGGACGTGGGTCGGTGGTGGTCGTCTTTTTCATGGGGCGTGAGTTAGGCTTCAAGTTGGGTGCTCTTCGGAGCTTTACGAAATTCTATGGAACGAGTATGCTAAAACAGAAGAAAATAGATTCGGATCTTAAGTCATAGGCCTCTGGTGAGGGAAAATGGCTAAGGAGGGCGCCAAAACCTACTCTGAATCCAGCGGGGGGTGGTGATGGGAAGTAGCAACATTGCAGAACTGCATGCGAGGCATTTGTTGGCTGGGGGCCCCGTAGATTAGGGCTAGGTTGTAGGTTTTAAAATTTATAGTTTAAAGATTACGGCGAATCGATTCCTAGAAAGCCGCAGCGCAGCCGTTTCCAATTATTTTTACCTCAGGACGTGCAGCTGCGGCTGTGCAGCAACACCACCCCCGTTGTCGGATGCGAGAAACGATAAGCTGAGCGGCTGTGCAGACACCCTATTCGTAGCGGCCTCCGAGCTCGCAAAAAGATCTCAAGCCAACTTGTCTGCCTCGGCAGCAGCATATCAGCAGCAGCCGCAGCTTGCACCGGCAGCAACCACTGCCGAAAACGCACACTAGGAGGGAAGGTCAGCGGCAGCAGCAGCACCCATTAGAAGCACATAGTAGTTGCAGTGGACCTTTGCATTTGGCGCCAGAGCCAATACCCTGCGGGAGCAGAAGCAGCTCCAGCGAATCAGCAGCAACGGCATTGCCACTGCCACAGGTGCGACGCTGCGATGCGACTGCTTCAAGAGGAGGACAAGGAAAATGCTGCCTGCACCAGCAGGGTGAGCAGCTGTCATGAGGAGAGCGTCCAGCTCAAGAGCCCGAGGCAAACGCCACCGCTGACGCACGAGTTCTCGGGGGAGCAGACCAGTGGTCCGGAGGCGAACCCCCCAGTAACAGCCAAAGCAGGTGTGGAAGCGGGTAGCAGCAGCCGCAGCAGACGCCTACGCAGTACACGTCAGTCTCCCTCTCAGACAGCGGCCTCAACGGCATCAGCAGAAGTGCCAGCTGTTGCAGACACCCCTGAGACGTGGAAGGCCCCACAGCAGCAGCAGGAGCACCATCAGGAGCAGCAGCCGACCAGCACCATTAGCAGCAGCACCAGCAGCATAGATGCCTGCTGCAGCCTCAGCAACAGACGCAGCAGGCGTCCCAGGAGTTTCCGAAGCGAGAGTGGTGGCACCAGTACGAGCAGAAGGCCTCGCAGCCGCCGCACAGCACCAGGAGCAGCACCAGCAGGGGAGACAGACAAAGAAGTCACAGAGGCAGGATTAGAACCTCCTTCTCCGTCCAAGGAAGCTGGCGAGAAGAGTGCACATTCGGGGGCAGATCGCAAAGCCGTCTACACAGAGACAGACACTGAAAGCGGCAGCAGTGCCTGCAGTTTTAGCTGTAACGAGCTCACGGCCAAAGGCGAAGCCCCCAACAGCAGTCGGACCACCACGAGCTCGAGTGATGCGGCTTCCAGCATTACTGAGGTCAGGCGTAGCAGCCCAAGTGCAGCATGCACTGCGTCTGCTCCCTGTGATTTGTCACCTTCCTGCTTTGCTCCCTTCGATTTTTCCCCTCCTCTGCTGTTGAAGCATCAGCAGCAGCACCGTTGCTGCCGCCGCAGCAGCCACCACAGCAACAGCAGCAGCAGCCAGCAGCAACAACAGCAGCTGATGCAGCATCCTCTCTCCCCTTGGCCGTCTCCACTTTTCCAGCGGCCCAGGCCTAGCAACAACTGCAGCAGCAGCCGGCGCAGCAGCAGCGGGAGTCTCTTTGCTGCTGGCTTCTCCCCTGCTGCCGCTCAGCTGCCTCCTTTCGACTTGTGGCTCTCTGTGTCTCCTCGCGTCTCGTCTCTCGAGAGAAGCAGCAGCCAGCTCTCGTGCTGCAGCAATTTGTCTCTCGCGCTTGCACGGCCTGTTTATACACCTCCGCAGCAGCAGCCGCCGCAGCAACAGCAGCCGAGAGAAAGTGAGAGGGGTTCTCACTGCTGCAGCAACAGGGGATGCTCGTGCAAGCAGCAGCGGCAAGGGATGTGCATCAACAGCCTGCTGCCACCGCAACAAAACCAGCAACCCCATTTCCCGCAGTCCTCTCCAATTGTAAGAAGGGCACGCCGTATGTCGGACGACAGCAGCTACATCAACAGAAACAACTGCTGCTGCAGAGCTTCTGGAAGCTCGGGGTGCCTGCTTCTCACGACCAGCTCGCAACAGAAACCGTTGCAGCAGCAGCAGCATCCGCAAGGGGCAGCTGGCGGCCTCAGCAAACGGCCTAGAGAACTAGGCAACAGCTGCAGTCGCAGCAGCAGCAGCAGTAGCAGTAGTAGTAGTAGCAAATACGTAAGAGGCGAAACCGCCTTTGGGGGAGCACGAGCAGCAGCCGCGTAGGCTTCAAAAGATTCTTTAGGGGCCCGTGTATGCACGCGTTTGCGCGTGATGGGGAGGGGTCCCGCCGAGTTTGGAAGCCCCCGCTTTTGCTAGAACACGCTTTTCTTTTTAATTACTAAAATGCAGGATTTAGGAGGCGATGTCATGGACGCCCCTCCGCGAAGTGGGCAGGATGCGGGGTGCACAAGGGTCGTCATGTAGCTAATGATGTAGCGGCTGTTACGTAGGTTTGTAGAGTTTACGATTCGTCGCAAACACCTTGAAGTTCAAGCTACTGTCTGTACACCTAACTCTGCCGCAAAGGCAGCATCTATTCAGGAGAACGAATGACCTGATAGTGAGCGCGAAGCCTGCAGTGGATCCCCTGAAAACCCTGTACATTCATAGTCTGATTCCCTGTAAGGCCTAAACTGGCATAAACCGAAGCCTCTCTTCGTGGACTCCTCACAACCTTCACAAGTATCTTCTGTGCCTCCCTCAACTCTGTGACAAGCAAAGTGTAAATGCAAACAGTTCAGCAATGATGTTGAGGAGTTGCGTGCTTCAAAGGATTCACGGGTTTGGAAGGGAAGACTGAGAAGGCCCGACCCCAGAGAGCAAGCGCGGATCGGCTTACACAGAGGTTTAAGTAGTTTGTACCGCGGGTGGCGTGGAATGTCGTGGTGGAACGGCTCTGGGCAATGTAAAAAATGCATAAGGGTATGGAAAGGAGCTCTTGACCCTTAAAATAATTGCAGAGACGTCTGTAGTATTGAGCACAACAAGAAAGGACGGAGGGCAGTAGCGACCAAAGCTCTCAGAACCTGAAAATTAGCGCAGGTGCATGAATTCTCCGTGCCAGAGGCCAGTAGGGGGTTTGTGTCCAGTAATTATGTGGGGGGTTGCTATCCCGGAGCTTGCATCACTTGCATAATATTCCTTCATAGCCTCTTGAATTTGAGGATGTTGAGCTTAAATGTAAGCGTAGTTAACGAGTGAGCTATCAACAATAACTTTTCTCCGTTAGAGGCTTGAGACCTCAACGGCAATGGCACCCACTGGAGCAGCGGCAAAGCTATTAGCACAACGGTTCTAGCTTTATAATAAGTTATTGCTGCTCTCTCATTCTTCAACGCCGCCTATAGTCAAACTTAATCTTCTTTTTATACTCGAATATGGAGGAACGGGTCACATTTACAGCGAAGTCCCGAACAACACCTTTTCCATTATAGCGCTAGTCGCTCGCTAAAAACAATCATCCACCTGCGCTAAGCTTCAGGGCCTAAGAGCCTTGTTAAACTAGACGCACACAGGACCCTGAACTTCTTATCTATGAGTGTTTGGAGCAACCATTTAACTGACAAAAACTTAGCTGGAGCCGTAAATGTAGTGCTGGCTCACTACAACGGGGGTACATTTAAATGGAGGCAGATGTAGCAGGCCAAGGTACACCTGGGCCCGTTCTACTACACTAGCCATATTTGCTGACGAACTAGTAAATAATTGCATAATTAGGCTGCATGTGCAGCATGTTTTAGCGTATAGTTAGTGCAAAGTGATGAAAGTCAATGTTCCAAGTTATAATGTGCTGCTAGCTGTGAACGATGGGATTGCTCAGAAGGTTCAGCAAGGCGCATTGCAGCTCTCTTTTCCGTTCATTAAGGAGCTCTAAGGGGTGAAATCACTACGAGGTTAGACGAAGCTCTATTGGGAGGACACCGAAAATCGGTGGACCCCAACTTGTACATTGGATTTGAGGCCGAGTTTTCCTTTGTAGACCTATTCTCGAACGTAACAAAAGCCGTCAGTACTAGTGAGAGAGGGGCACTTAACGTCTCGAGGCCTTTGTTGATGCGGTAGATCCACCTCCCAGCCCCGTAATGGATATATATTGTATTCTTTCACACCGCTCCTTCCCCCTTGTCGTGAAGTTAAGGGCGGGTAAAAATACGGCCACGTAGAGTGGCAGCCATGCACATAATACACCGAGGACAGCGTTTCAAGCAATCTGCTAAGCCTCCTGTGGTAGGACTCTTTGATAGTGTGGCCGTTCAAGGGATCGGGGCACAGCTCTAGCCTGCTATTTGCTTCCGGAAATTCATGTTTCACTTTCGGAAGGAGGATGGTTTCAGGGGCGAGCTTCACCCATTATCAATGTTCTTCCTACTAATAAGGTTCGAAGCCTCTTGAGCTAGCGCAAAGGATGCAAAATATTAGTGCAGCCCACTCCGGGAGTCTCACCAGAGGTCATGCAAATAGAAAGGGAAAAAGCTTTACAAAATGCCAGCCAAATACAAAGGACAGACTGAAGCCGGAAATGGAGCATCGCGTAGCCTGCGAGAGGCGAATAAAGGGCCAGGTGCATACATGCGAGGGTCAGGGAAGGGCGCAATACTAGAGCCGTTGACAGAGTTCCGAAAGGGGCGAAGGTGCCAAAAACCGAAGAGTCAAAACATGACACCTACTTGGAGCAAAGTTTCCTCGCGTGAGGCTTTTTACCAGGACTTCTATCACATAGGTCGCCGGTAGTTGCCTGAGGGATGCCCTATAAGGGCCTGCACCTCGACATTTCACTAAAGAATTATGTGCACTTACGAGTGAAGAGGCAGCAATACACCAGAAATCATAGAAGTAAAAGTTTACTGTTCTATGGCCAGCCATACCGGTGACTCTCCAACGAGCAGATCATGCTCAAGTCCCCGGCGACACAGGGAATAGTGCTGCGGCGAAAGGGTTTGGTGCTTCTGGGACAGGAATTCGAATGAAGAGAGGGTATAAATTGCACTTACATAGAAATGCAGCCATTTATTTTTTTAAAGTGGATGGTTTAGCTTAGGCCGAAAGCCTTGATGCGGGCTGACCAGCGGTATCGACAGAAGCGGCGCACCTGGGGCACAAGCCCTAATGCGTAAGTCTCACTCCGGAAACTTTGAAGCATGTATTTTAAACCCTATACTCTCTTTCCATGGTGGTTATTTGGCCCTCGACTCTCTTGTAACTAGCGCTTCACGCACATGCTACAACAAGGCAGCAGCTCCACTGCTGCTCCTACGGCACATGCTGAAGGCCTCAGCTTCTCACCTGCATTTCTCCGTTTGGCCCGATCCTTTTCTTCTCTTTCTGCTTCCCAGGAGAACCTTGCAGTAGCAGAGGGTAACCCGGCAGCATACTCCCTTCTTCTGGCGCATCTGTGCGTATCCCTTTGCTCCAAGTCCGCATCTCCTGCGTTTGACGACATACGCGATCTGTAAGGCGGCCTTACCTCCATACGGGGCCCTACAGGGAAGCCCATGGGGTCATAAACCGTGAGCGATGAACCCTAGCGGAGCTAAAGGCACTTCCTAGTGCCCCCCGGGTTTGAGTCCAAACCATCGTCAAAAGCCGCCAGCAGCAAACTATCCTACATACTTGGCGACTCCAAGAAAGAACTCGCCTACTATCTCTTCCGAATTGAGCCCTAAATCGTCCTTGCTCTCAAAAGCCTTCGACCCACCTGGGGTGTGTGCTGTGCGGAACGCATACTTTCCATCTGTGCACCCGTTTCTTCATTCAGCTCCAGAAGTTTCCTCCAATCCGGCTTCCTGAGAACAAGGTGCGGGCACTGCGGTCTTCAAATGGGGCTTTTAGCTGCGTAACTGGTGCTAGAAGCGTTTGCGCCCGTTCCTGCTTTTGATGAGCTATGGGACCCTCCATCCCCGCTGCTGCTGCCCCCCATGCTCCTGCCACGCCTCATGCTCTTGCCCCTGCTGCCGGTCCTGCTGCCTTCCCCAGTGCTGTAGCAGCCGCTTCGGCGGCTTGCGCTGCACTGGGGGATGCAAGCTCGGATGTCACCGTAGAGCAACACGAACACCAGCAGGAGCACGCGCAAAGGCATCGGTGCAGCTCAGCTGCGGCCACTGCACACAATGATGGGACTCCCGGGAGTGTCGCCTTAATTGATGGGAAATCGGCTTTGCCTCCACCGAATTCGACGCAACTGGGGTCTCCTCGCAGCCCTGTCCAACGCCGCGCCAACTTTCGCTCCATTGTATGTGGAAAAACTGCCGTTTCGCTGCTCAAGGAGCTGCAGGGAGAAGCTGGTGAGGCCTTATAACGAACGGTTTGGGGCAGAGGATCTGTTTTTTGTGGCGGGGGTCTCTCAGAGGGAATGGTGGCCGTACGGCGCTCTCTGGGCCATATGGCTCAAGGGTCAAATTCCAGCGTATATAGCTGCTTTTGTGCTGCAGGAAACCCGTCGTATCTTCTGGAAACGACACCGGAAAGGTCTCTGCTGTATGCCCTCCTTAACCCTGTTGTGCTTCTTGCGTTCTACAAGTAAGTTTCAACCTCAAAATTCGATGGCGATGCGCGCATTCAGAAATCATTTGGTTGAGGAACAGATGACAGCACGCGTGCAGCTCAACGCAAGGGGCCCTGCGCAAGGCTAACGGCCCGGAGCGTTTGGATTGAGGTGTGTTTGGTTCAGGTTTGTGGAAGAGCAGCGCTACAAGCAGCTGACAGCGCTTAGACTTGCAAGGAAGTAAGCAGTAGCAGCTGCTCCCGCACACACATTCTCGGCAAGCCAGAGGCCTTCGCTTCTGCTCAGCTTTCACAGAGCACCGTTCAGCTATTAGACTGTTGCTGCTGCGTGGTGTGCAGCTCGCTGGAAGAATTTCTTCCCATAAAACCGCAGGTTTTGGGAGAACATGTCTATCTGTTGCACACTATGGCCACATTTTCCTATTCACGGTCCTGCTTTAATAAGGTAATTCCCGAGCGCGAAGGTGGTTTTTGTTGAGACAGCAGAACCGATCTTCTTCTTCGCCACGGGCTCTTGCGTGCTTGCCTTACTGGGTAGCCAGTTTGTTTTGTGGAGGGGTTAGGGCAGTGGGGGGAGAGGATGCGAAAGAACGGCGGTGCTCCGTATGTGTGCTTCTGCGGCGAATGAAATGCGTAGACGAAGACGCTGTTCTACATGCGTCGGTTGATTGAGCCGTGTATTGCGGTCTTGGTGTATTTTGGAGTTTCTCCGGAAGCACTTGGAGTACCTCAGTTGCTGAGGCAGGTCGCGACTCCAGATGTGAGCAAACGCGAGGGCGAGTACCGGGTGTGGCGTCCGAGTCGGTGGGACATCAAGGCAGAAGATTCTCTTGAAGGGAGCAGCGACACGCTTCAGGACCGGGCTGCTCACAAGCGCTTCGCCAGACATCAGCAGCAGTTCGTACTGCAGCAGGAGCAGCAGCGACGTCCTACCAGCAATGGCGCGCGGGAGTCCTTGCGCGGCCAGTGCATCACCTCAAGCGATTCTGTCTCTGGGCCTATGTCGTTCGCAGCCGTTGCGTCAGCAGCGAAACCGACCTCAGGGAAACTGGAAGCAGTGCACACCTCGGATGAACCGAAGCTAACATGGGATGCGGCGCTCCTTGCTCTGGTCGACGGGACGTCTCTCGTCAACAGGAGGGCTAGGGCCAAATTTCTCTGGGCTGTCTCCGATTGGCTGCTGGCGCTGCTGTTGCCTCTATGGGAAGAGTTTAGAGGAGAATCACTCGTAAGGCTGCAGGCAGGGGCGTTGGCGTTCGCATTGTACAGCGCTGAGCTGATGCCCCATGATCGCATCATAGCGTTTTCTTCGCGGTGTCCGCTGGCACGTGCTATGGCCGTCTCCGTGTGTCTACCACCAACTCTCTGCGCGATCGTCTGGTCTTGTTTCCGTCGTCACCCCTTGTAGCCTTCATTGCTCTCTCTGAGGCCTGGATGTGCAGGCGCTTTCTTCTCTTTCGAGCTGCTGCCGCAGCGCTGTGGAGTTGCGGAGGGCTTGGGGCTCACTCTGGATGCTCTTCGATGCTGTGGTTGCTGCTGCGTCCTCAGCCCCAGCTGTTGCGGGATGTGTACCATCCTCGTTTCAGCGTCAAAACAGCCATTCTTGACAAGATCGCGCGCATTCGGCAGCAGTCCGACGCGCTCCTTGCTGCCCTTTCTTCTGCTTCCCCAGGCAGCCCGGTTGCTGCTGCAGCAGCGGGGTCAAGGACAGCGCCCAATTATTCGGCTCTCGCAGAGTCCATCCTCCCGTCACCGGAGGCACAGCCACTCCCTCAGCCTCAGCAGAGCGACTATCAAGCTCTATCGGCTGAGGGAGCAGCATTTGGAACAGGAGACACTGGGGGACCCCCCGGAGGGCCCTCCACGCATCCCACAGGATCTCGAAAGGCTGCGCTGCACTCCCTAGCATTTAGCTCGAACATCCTGCAGAAGCAAAGCGCCCTTAAGCTGGGCCTTATGTCTCTTGTTGAAGAGCGCGCGAGAGAACAGGGAGAGGGAAAGGTAGGAGTTGAGGAAGGAGGATTTGGCCGGGCGACATCATCATGGCGTGCTGCTGTTTCTGCCGCTGAGTTGCTGCGGCTGCGTGCCACCCCATGCGTCATCCTTACCATTCTTTATTGCGTTGTGCTATATGGCTTTTTATATTTGGCTAAAAGGACGATGGCACAGGGTTTAGCGCTAAGGGCATGGGGTGTGAGCATTGGAATGTGTGTGGCCTCAGTTTGGTGGCGCGGCGATAAATACGGAAAGTCCTTGTTACGCCTTGACCGTCGCCATGATGCGGGGCATGGAACTGAGCAACACAATGAATGCTGGCATCGTGGCGCTTGCTCATAGAGATGGAAATCAACTGGACGTGCGCTTCCGGTGTTAGAGGCTCACAATGGGGTCCAGAGCTAGACTTTAGGTCATAAGGATTAGGGATTAATATCAAACACGGAAATGCGTGTATGTGTGCGTGAGCGGGTGCAACTAGTGCTACGCGCCGGCTTGGCTGCTAACCGGCGTTTGCGCATGCTCTGGCTGTTGCACGGCTTCCAAACGCAACATTGTCCAAGTACTGGGGTCCACTAGGTTCAACGCGTCTTGTGTGTGGTTTGTGCGCTCATTAGTTAGGGTTCCTGTTGGATGAGCCGTTGCTGTTGCACGTGCGGCACTTTCAGTTTAATTGTGCGCCTCTGTTGCCTTCTTCTCTAAGCGTCAGTTTTGAGGACATCGCCCCAGACGCATTTGAGTGCGCTAGGGAAGTCGCAGGGATTACGGACCAGGTACAACCGCAGCTGCTTCTGCAGTGCAGACGGATGCTGCAAATGTAGTATTTCTCGGGTCGCTGCTAATGGTGCGCGGCAGGTTTTGCTAATAATATTTATAGGCGGGGTGATTTTTTTGCGGGGGAGGTGGCTTGATGATCCGACTTCTGTGGCAGTAGAACTGTCGCGTGATTGTGTTGCAATACCGTGAATCCTTGTTTGTGTGGGAGTGCTGCACACGAGCGTGGGGGCGCCCCTGTTAAGACGTCTATATATATATTTAAATAGATATGGGTACGTACTCATAGATGTATATTTATAAATGTATATTCATAAATATATGTGTAGTAATGGATTAATATACATGTATATCGAAGAAGAGAGGTCCGGGTTTGTCTTACGTTCGCTTCAGGAATACCGCAACAGTTTGTGCTCCACAGACTTTTCTTTCATTGAGTTTCAGTCCAACAGGTTAGTTGAAAGCAGAAAGCCCGCGAGCAGGCGGATGCAGGGTTGATTAGGGGGCCTTAGGGCGTCAGAGAGGCGCCTTTGATGGAGGAAAGGGAAGGGCATGCAGCCAGGATGGCCTCACGGCGATCGAAGAGTGGGCAGTGGGAAAATGTATTTGGAAGTCGGGGCGGATCAACAGAGAGAGGGAGTTTAGAGCAGGAAGCACAGATAAGGGAGAATGCACCTACATGCATACAGAAAACACACACACATACACCCACATGCACTGACCAGATACAAGGAGCCGACAGAATATCAGGGGATAGTCCTTTGCGCTCATGAAGTCACTATCAGCGAGGAAAAACGACAGGAATTTTTTTTGAATTGCACACATATTTAGAGCTTTCGCTTGACGTGTATTTGTATGCCGTTCGGTTTTTTTCGGCGGGCCATGTGCATGTGTGCCTCTTCGACGGTCGGTTCCCCGCGTCGGGCCCGGTATTTTTGTCCGTTGATGTGTTGTGCATCATGCCTTCATGACACGCTTCATGTTGTGTCTGCCAGTTTTCCCTTTTCGTGTCTGTTGATGTGTATCTGCTTGATTGGCTGGCTGCTGCCGAACATATCTTTTTTAATAAGGTCACGTGCTGGCTTGTAAAATTTTCTCCCTTCGAGTATTTTCGTGGCTCTGGGACTTTTGAAATTTCATTACGCTCTAATTGTTTGAGTGCATGCATCTCCGTCCGTGAGTGTCGCTTTCTTGTTGCCTCGCTTTTCTGGGCCTGTTCTTTCCTTGCGCTTGCAGCTTCTTCGATTCCTCTTTCTGCAAATGTGCTTGCCGCTCTCATGTATTGTTTTTTCCTTCGGCGCTTTTCATCCCTCTCTTGTCAGAGTACGAGCGCCTCTTTTTTCTCCCTTTTGGGCATGCGTGTGTGCTCCTCTGTGGCCTCATTTCTTCCGACGCTTCTTGCCCTTCTATGCGGCTCTGTCTACGTGCAGCAAGAGTGGTCAGTTCTTCTTTTTCTCTCACGATGGGAAATTCCTTATTAAAACAATATCGAAAGCGGAAGTTGCACAAGTGCTTCGGTAGGCCTCGCACGCCAATCTGCTGGAGTATAATACAGCGCACCAGAGAGGAGATGCAAGGTCTTTCTTGCTCCGGGGCATCAATGCATAGCAGGCGTGTACTGTGCCTCATGCCTTGGGCTTTCTGCTGGAATGTTTTGTCCTGTCGCAGCTTTCTTCCAGCATACATTGATCATATTCTGAGCACGCCACTTTCCCTCCTAACGCGCATCTTTGGGATTCACAGAGTGGAGTTGTACTCGGAAACTCCCGCAGGGGCTTCAGAAGGGCCTCCCGAGGCTCCTCATGTGGATTTTCTTTCCTCGAATAACGGAGTGTCTAGGAGGCGACTAGTGCCCCCCAAAGGGGAACCCGGGATTGGTGCGCCGGTCGACGGGCCCAGCGGCGCCTCGTCCTCGAACAACAGCCCCCCATGGTGCCCCACAACAAACCTTTCAACATCGCCGATTGGATTCAACTACGCAGGCAAGAGGCATGAGGGTGAATCTGGGCGGCTAACGCCTCCGGGCACTAGCAAGGAGGCTGACGAGGCGGATTCCTCTCCATGGTGGACTGAGGGCAACAGCAGGGTAGGAACTCTCGGTGTAGGGGCAGTCGAAGGGGCTACTGGAGCAGGAGAAGCGAAAACAGCGGCAGCTGCAACAGGGGCTACACAACCACCGGCACAAGCGCGCTGTCAGCAAAAAACTGTAAAGCAATCCTCATCGTGGCTCACAAGAAAGGGGCCCTCCCCCTTGTTCTCCTCGCAACTCACAAGGAGAGTTTTTTCGGCAACCAAGGTAGGAATGACCAAGAAAACGCTTGAGAAGGGGTCCAGCGCACAGAAGGACATGGCCAGCATCCTCGTGGCCGGTGGATCCTTGCGAGATATGCAACCCGCAGCTCTCACCTCACGCATGCAGTCTACACGCCATATCTGTACAGATCCCACCTGCAGTCCTGGCAACAGATCTCCCGGAGCGGCCCCAACTCACGCCGTGGCTCCTTGTGCACCTACGAGAGGGCATGGTAGAGGGCTCGCTGCAGGCGGCCGGGGTCCCACCGTACAGGACAAAACAGGCGAAAAGTTGCTGCCCTCAACGGTGTGCGACAATGGAATTAGGCAGACGCACAATAAGGAGCAGCAGGAGCACAGTCACCACCTGCAGCAGCCCAAACCGAAGGCGCCTTACCGAAAGGACAAGCGAGAGAGAGTCCCGAAGACAGGACTGCTGGCAACGCTGAGGAACCACCAACACCATCGGCAACACCGATCTCAGTGAGATGCTGTTACCACGTCCGATGGCGACGTGCTGGTTGCTGCCGTTTGCTGGCAATGTCTTTTTGTACGTGGAAGAAGAAACCACCCGTGATGTTTGTGTGATTTGGACTGGAATTGCAGGGGATCGGAGCCGCGGGATATCAAGTCTCAGGAAGCCCATCGCACTCTTGTCACTTCGGCATACTTTATCGCCATGGGTTAGCAGCAACAGTAGTGTAACAGGCGTGCCAACAACGAGGGCAGCTGCCTTATCTACGGTGTCTAAGGCACTGTCTCGGCGGATCTGCGCCTCCAGTCTGCGTCCCTCGCCTAGGAACGTTTCCCCTGTCGTATTCACGCCATACGATGTAGGCCTTGCAGTAAAGGGCTCCGGTTGTCGCTGTGCTGTTTTGTGTCGTGCCGACGTGCGTTTAGGCACTGCGTTCGACCCCTCATTGGGACTTAGCGAAGCGTATGACATAAAGGGCAGCATCGTCAGCAGGTTGGCACGAGACGCAGACAGGGTCAAAAAGGATGTCGGTCAGTCTATACCGAAGCAGGTGCCGGTGTGGCGGGTGCTGCTGCTGCACTAAGTAGCCATGCGCTCCTCTCACAGCGACGGAAAGCGAGAGAGGCTCTATCTCTGCTTGCGTTGCAGCTTTAATCTCCCTTACTGGTGTTGCCGCAGTAGTTGTTCCCAAGACACCTTTTACTGCTGCATACGGAATTATTTGTTAGCTTGTGCGGCGCTTCGTTGCTTCTGTATGGCATCTAGTCTTCTAGCCATTTCACAGCCCTCTGGTTTTCATTATTCATCGCTCTTGCCACCTGTCTATGCAGGCAGCATTCTCTTCTTCCCCTCTATTCGCATCATGATCGTATTTTGCGCTGCCCCTCTGTGGTGTGGTTCTTCCTTTCATGCTTTCGATGGGTCGCTTTCGCGTGGAGGTTCACGTTTCTCTTCGTAAACCCTTCACCCTTGTCTCTGTGTTTTTGGCGCAGACTGGCTGGAAAGCGGCAGGCGTTTGCGCATGCGGGAGGACGAGGCCCGCATTCTGTTAGCTGCACATGAAAGGGACTGTCGCTTCTTAGAAGGCTTGGGGGTCTTCGATTACTCCATGCTTATCGGAATTCATGAATGGTACCCGCTTTCACGCTGCTGTTATTGCCGTTGCGGGTGCTGCTGGGGTTGCATGAGGGCTGACGCGTCAAGGGATTCTCGATTGCATTGACTGTTGCCACTGTTCGCTACCTCTCAGCCACGTTCGCCGGTGCGGGTGCTGCCATGCTCGGTACGGGGGACTGTCCCGCCGTTACTGCTGACATTGATCCTGTGTATGCCTCCCTGGTTTGCTGCTGTCCTTAGAGGTACAGCAGTAAAAGCAGCCACATGAACAGCAGCATCTTCAGGTTGCGTCTGGTGCTTGGGGCCTGCCTGCAGCTTGGACAAGGACAATGTAGTTTCTTGTTCGTACCTACCCAGCCGAGGACCTCTCAGAGACTATACCACGTAAGCCTTACTACACTGTATTTATTTTGCCATCAAAGCGCATTATGCCGCGCGTTTTCGCCCTCTCTCCAGGCCCACAACAGCCGGCTTTGGGTTGTCATTCAGGTGTCCCTAAGCCGAAATACAGCCAACACTGAATCTTAGTTTGAGTTCAGCACTACACATCCGCACACTGTGCCCTACAAGGTTTCTCTGCACCCTGATCAAAACCTTACGCTCCATCTTGAATCCGAGCCTTCGTCATATTCATAAGCGTACGTCAAACTCCACGGCGCAGGTATGCCTACTGTACAACCGAGGGCGCATTGCTTTCGTGCAGGAAGGCACATCTTTCTCTGGAGAAGCTGGATACTTGGGGGGACATCCCGAACGATGGCATGCGGCGGAGTATGGAGCCCGACAAGAGACGTCCTTCACGGCAGTCTCATGGGGCCGTGAGTCTGTTGGATCAGCAGCAACATCAGGAGGAGCAGCCTTCGCAAGTCGCATGTTTCCAGGAAGCAGCCGATACCACACATCCGTGGGATCACATGGACTCTCCTGCGATTCCCCTTTCAACGGCAACGCCTTCGCCGCCTCCGCACTTGCTCCATACACCGACAGAAGTAGAAGCTTTAAAGTCAGTTGCAGCGCCCCCAGGGCCTCCGCGATCCAACCACTCTGATGGTGACAGCCGCATACTCTCAGGCGACAGCCAGGCTAGAGTCAACGTTGTACCCATTAAAGGCCACGAACTGTCTTCTCGCAATTGGGATGGGCCCCCGCGGGGCTCCTCAGCATTGGGAGGCTCTGTGGAGTCGTCCAATATCCTACTTGCAGCGCAGGAAGACGTGGAAGGGTCTGGTGGATCCCCACAAGGAGTGCCGTCCTTTTCTGCGGGGGCCTCCATGGGCGTGGCTCCCCCATCCCAAGAAACTGCTGAAGAGATTGCTGACCAGGCTTTCCAAGAGACCCCCGATGTTGCTAATGCAGTGAATTCAGCTGTCGATTTTGCGTGTCATTCTGTAGTGTCTGGCGGCACACCGCGTTTTGCCCCTACAGATCAGTGCCCGCGAGAGCAGCAAGAGCAGCAAGAACAGCCGCGTCGGAGCAGCAGCAGCAGCAACAGTGACAGCTGCAACGTGGGTGCTGTCCCTTCTCACCGGATTCGGTTCCAGCCTACAGAGTGTAGGGAGCCCACAAGGGGGCCCCTAGCCCCCAGATCTAGCCTTCCAAGAAGGGCCACCAGATCCAAGGGGACTCGCATCAGCGACGACAATAGCGAAACCACAAGAACCGTCTACTACCCCTATGGACAGAGCGTAGCCCTCTCCAGGGCGTTTACCCAAACAAGGTATAATTCGCAATTTAGGGTGCTCTCACCCTAGGAAATTTGTGGCTGTAGGGGCTGCGTAGGAGTGTGAGAGAATTACTGGTTTAAGCAACACGATTTTCGCAACTTCTTCGCCTTCACGGTTGACGCCTTAACCGGGCTCTCAGGGTTAGAGACATTACAAGTACTTAATTTGCAATTGGAATCCGGCGCATCTTTTTTCTGGAAACCTGGTGGTTTCATAATGGAGATCCTACTTGCTTGAAGGGCTTAGGATCTAGGAAGTAAGGTGGGTAAGTGTTTCGGTTTGAGCATGCGTTGTTGTGTGGTGCGCGTGTACAGCACACCCTACCTGGGTGCCCCCGCTTTTGAAGGGGGATTTGGCTTGAAGGTGATGAGTGTTGACCGCCGGGAAATATTTTTCTTTGGTTTGATCGATTTTCTCTCTCCGTACACTGCGCGGCGCTACTTCCATACCGCCTATAAGCGTCTTAAGTCTACAGCCACGTAAGTTTTGGGCTGCATCGGCTTCTCCCCTTGTGCACGCGCACACACTAGCATAAGAAAACGGTGTGGCGGGCAGTCCAAGGAGGTGTACGAAAGCTGCATGTGGCAGAGTGGATCCTTTGTCTCTAGCTGTGTCTTCCACCTCGGTTTTTTTCAGACAGATGGAGAAAAGGGTTTTTCGTCTGGGAGTTGCCACACAATGTGCAATTCACGCTTGCGGTTGTTGCTGCAAGACTAGAGGAAGTGTTGGAGAGCGCTCGGTTTGCTGGGTTTGCTGTGCTGCAGTTGTCAGTTCGGCGAGATCTCGCCGGTTCCCCCTGGGTACTACGCCAGGCGGCAAATAGAATTCGTTCAGCAACATGTAATAGAGGCAGTGCCCTCATCGAGGAATTCTTTCAGTTCGAAGGAAGAAGGAACTTCTATGGGTTTCACGCAGCAGCTTTTCCAAAAGGGCGACTCCGACAGGAGGTTCTCAACATTGCCTCCTGTGGAGCAGGATACACTTGTCGAGGACCCCTGTTGGCCATGAAACTTGCAGAATTACCGACGGAGTGGCTTTAAGGGCGTCTGCTGACCCCCACTTCCCGGTTTTCACAGGTTTAGCCCTTGAAGCGGCCTTCGGATCTTGGGATGAGGAGCACTGTTGGCGGTAACTGTCTCAGTGCTCTATTATGTGCCCCGTAACTTCCCGCCCGTCGCGACGGCGCATCCGCCAAGGCAGAGGAGACCCACTGTTTGCTGGTGTGGGGACCTGTGGAAGTGCTTCTGGCTTGTGGAAGAGTTCCTGGCTCTGTCCGTTTCCCTTCTAGAAGTGTGTAGTAAATTGGTTGTTTCGAGTGCATGCGCGCTCCTAATAGTAGTGGAGAGAGCAAGCGGTTCTCAATTTTCTTGCACAGAAGCACTGTATTTCTCTCATGCCCTGAAGAGAGCAACCCGCCCACGATAAATGCAGTCACCATCTGCTGAGCAACGGCTCCTGGCTTCATATGGCTCAGGGTCCTAGTGCTCTCATTTTAATGGCCTCGCTGCATTCGGTGCCCCGTCGGGCTGCTGCACGCGCTGAGACTGCGGCTTGTTCTGGATGCCGTTAGCAAGGGGGAGGGGGGCAGCAGGCTTTGCTTCTGCCGATATTACAGCTCTACGCGATTTCTGCCAGTCTACAAGTGATTTGTAACGCAGAGGTCTGCAGACCTTTACTTCGCTGCCTCTTCACTTCTGCTACTCGCAGTGCAGAAACAGCGGACGGCATAGATGTCGGTAGTATTTTATAGACAAGGGGGTTATTCCAGCAGACCCCTCATTGGTAGACTATTGGGTTGCCATGGCGTCTCAGATACCCCTATGTGGTGCCTCGCCGGCAATCGGGGAGCAACAGCGGCGGTGCCTCATTCTGCGGCTCTTCCACTGCGTCTCTTGGGGCTCTCCCGCTTTCCCATTATGTATTATGGTAACCTTCATCCTTGTGCAATCCTCCGTTTCTTCAACTCCTGAATGCCAAGTTCTCTCCCGGCCCGTTCTCTTCAGTTATCTCCTATAACCCTCCCCTCCACATCGCATTGGGGTGGTGCATGGTTCCTCAGCTCTCCATGTGTTGGAAGTATCTTTTCAGCTCCCTTACTGCGTCGTACAAATTCCTCTAGCAAAATCACCGCTTGCCGTCTCTGCCTCTATCCCTCAACAAATGCCAGCCCTTTTTGTCGCTTCCAGTCTAAATTACGAATCTTCGTGTTTCTGCCTGGCCGTTCTGCTTGCCTATCTCTCTGTGCCTTCATCTGACTCAAATTGACTTTCCCTGTTCCGATCCTTTTGCGTGCCCTTCGTCTCCTTGTACGATCACAATCCGCTTGTGCCTGCGCCTCCCCGTTTGCCCCCTTTGTAGGACTCCCGATGCCCCCTGGTGCTGCTAGCTGCTGGTTGCTGCTGTACTTTACTGCCTGAGGAGGCTGAACATTCGTCTCAGCCTCTCTCCTCCTACTCAGCATATCTCCTCTTGTGTGTGTTGTGTTGTCTCATTCTGTAGCTGCTTCTAATGCGCGCTATCACTGCTGCACTCTATCCCGTTATCCTGCCCCTCTCCTCGCATTACTCAGGCTCCAGGTCGAGCCTCGGTGTTTCATTCCGTCCCTCACTCCCTGCTCGCTGTTTTCATTCGCTCTACGCCTCATCCGCACACTCTATGTCCCCGTCCCGTGCTTCTTACTCCCCTCGTCGGTCTTGCACTCTACATTTAAATTACAAAGACGTATGCATTCCTCCCCCCGTCTAACTGGCTGCCTGCCCCCCTTGGTGCCAGACTACGGCTCTGGCTGCCGCCACCCTCTGTGCGCTGTTTCCCTACTTGCTCTTCTGTATCGTAAGACATCTGGACCCTCAAATATCATCTTTTCGTCCTACAATGCTTGCATTGTCCTGTTGGTGCTTCTACGTCGCTATGTGTGCATGTCGCTGCCCCCATCTGCCCCTTTCCGAAGTCAATATGCGCCAATCCGCTGCCGTGTATCATCCGCAAAACGTTCGCGTCGAAGAGAGCAGAATCCAATAAAGAGGCGGCGTCTGCCAACTAAAGGCGATGGCGGCCCTAAATCACCACTCATGAGAGAAGGCAATGAGCAGAGCATGCGTCCCCTTCTCATGCACCACATAACAACTGTGCTTTCATAGCCGGTATATGCAGCAGAAGCAACCGACGCTGCTGCTGCTGCTGCTGCTCTCAGAGACAGAGCGCCCTTCCGCACTGGCGTTCAGGGGACTAGGGAAGCAACTTGTTTTTCTTGGTGCTGCGGTGCGCATATTCCTGCCAGTGTAGACAGCTGCTGTTGCGACTATTGCAACAAGAAACAGAAGAACCCCTAAGTGCAACAAGCGCTGCAGGAACTCATCTTAATGGCGCTGCCAGCAGGAAGCAACTTTGGCAGCAGATGCAAGGATGCGCAAGGCGTACAGCCAGTGCTGCTGCCATTACTGCTGCAATTGGTGCTGCAGCCGCCCTATGAGGGAGTGCAGCAGCCGCTGCAGGTTGTTCAGGCCAAAGAGATAACCTGCGTCTCTCGGGTGTCTGGACAACAGAGACACATGTGCAAAATCAACCATGTACACGGAGAGCGAAGCAACGACAGCATCTTCTGCGCTGCGGGGGCAGCACCACTCGGCTGCGTTGTTGCTTTTGCTATTTGTGTTCTTGGTTTCACTGTTGCTGCTGCTGTTGCACCAGCAGCACTTGCTGCTTGGCGAAGGAATAGGATCAGCATCGTAGACAAGGAGGAGGGAGGATCCATGGAAGGCCAGAAGAGACTGCCTCCTGAAAAAGGAGGCAATCGGCTGCAACAGCTGCAAGCACCTCTGCGCCAGCCTCAGAGACAGCGTAAGACTGCCATTGACCCCAAAGAATGAAGCAAATATGCTTACAAACGCCGCATCCGTTTTCAGAGAATGGGCAGCGGCTGGTGCCAGCTCGACGGACAGCGGCGGGGGGAATAACGCAGTCGTACGAGTCTCCGTCCTTGTTGCCGCTGCTGTACCTGGCGTTGCAGCATCTGCTAGCGGCCACTGCGCTTCACTCGCTGCACTTGTGGCATGCCCTTTCCCACAGGCAGCTGCGTTTGCTGCTGCCAATCCGTCCGCACTCGCTTCAGAAGCAGCCGCAAGATCACGGGGAGCAGAAGGCGAAGCCAGAGACGGGGCCTCTCTAGGACGGAAGCCACAAGGCGCTGCCACACCGCAGACAGCGAAGCCGTGCGTAGCAAATGATCTGCAGCAGCAGCAGCAGTCAGAGCAGAAGCAGCATGCAACATTCCATGGGGTGGCGCGCGTTCATGCACGAAATACGAGATTCGAGACCCTTCCTTTGGCAGGCCTCTCTTCTAACACTTCCCGCAAAGAAAGCTCCCCCCTACGATATCTTAGGAATACACAGACATACATGTAGAGAGAAAGAAATCGATTTCCCACGCCACATGTGGCTCTCAAAGACGCAGCACCTACCTGTTTTCCGCTTTGATTTGCATGCGTTTGATCTTCTCCGGATCTTTGCACTGGTCACTGTGCATCTGCTTGCCCATCTTGAGATCCATCACACATGCCCCGCCAAGCGACCCGCAGACATCCAGCAGCTGGACGGCGCAGCGGAATAGGCTGTTACTGCTATTGGTGTTACTGCTACTGCTGCTGCTGCTGTTACTGCTGCTGCTGCCGCTGTTGTTGTTGCTACTGCTACTGCTGTTACTGTTACTGCTGTTACTGTTACTGCTGCTGTTACTGCCACAGGCGCAGCTCACACCACACGCACTGCCTTCAGCGGAAGTACTACTGTTTGAGCTAATGACAGGAGCACATGCGAGCGCAGCCTGAGACCTCTTTTCGCTGCTCTTGCTGCTCCTTCTCACTGCTACCGCATCGTCTGAGGTGTTGCTGCTGTGGTGGAGGGGGCCGCTGCTCTGGCCGGGCTCCATGTCTAAAGGCTGCCAGTTGTGTTGCCAGTACACCCGATAGCAGCGTGGAAGCATTTGCAACAGTTCCCTCACGACATCGCCGCTTTGACTGCCCTGATAGGCTGCGGAAAAGCCCTCCGCTGCTTTTGCTGCTGCTGCCTGTGTAGCGGCCTTTCCTGCTGCCCGTTGACGTAGTGCATGCGCCACAAGAGCCGCGGGGAACTCCCCCGAAGGAGATGGCGGGGGTGCTGAAGAGAGAGGCGCTGCAGCTGCTGCTGCAGCAACATCAACAGAGGCCTCATTGCTGCTCAGGAGATAGGCAATGGGAGTTCCCGAAGGAAAGTCCAAAGGAGCCTCTACAGCCCCCCCTGCCTGCGCATTTACCCAATAATAAAACGCCGCTTCTCCCCAGTCGCAAAGCTTCAGCAGCTGTGGTGGCTCATTGCTGCTGTTGCTGCTGCAGGCTTCCTGCGGCAGGAGCCAGCGGTGTCGTTTTCCTGCAACGATGCGCCGCCGTAGCTGTGTTAACGCTTGTTGTTGTTGCTGTTGCTGCTGCTCTTTCAGTTCCAACTCATCGAGCTTCTGCTGTTGCTTCTGCTGTTGCTTCTGCTGTTGCTGCTGCTGTTGCTGCTGCTGCAAGTGGTGGTGTTGCTGCTGCAGGTGGTGTTGCTGCTGCGGCACCTGGTGTTGCTGCTGCAGTATCCTGCTCGTGACGTATGCGTGGCCCTGCAGAGTTGCTGCTCCCGCACTCATATTCAGAAACGGCTGCTTCTGTTGCTTCTGCTTCTGTTGCTTCTGCTGTTGCTGGTTGCTGAGTCCGTGAAGCTTGTGCTCCTTCTCTGAGTGGTGTGGCGGCTGCAGCTGCAGCTCCTGCGATTGTTGCTGCTGCTGGTGCTGCTGCTGAATGCCGAACTCAGGTTGCATGTACCGAGTTCGTCGGTCGGCAGTTGAGAGCATCGCCTGCACTGCTGCCGCTTAAGATCCTCTTGTCTGCGCAGTTGCTGCTAGTGCTGCTGCTGGCGTCCCTACTCCATCTGGAGATGCAGCAGCAGCAGCTCTGGCTGCAGCTGCTGCCCCGCGCTGAAAAGCAGCAGCAGCCAGAGCAACAGCTTGGCCCTCTGATTCAGCTTCCGCTGTTTTTGCCGCAGCAGCGGCAGCAGCCGCTGCTGCCGCTGTTGCTGCACCGGCTGCGCCTACTGCACGGACGACTTGGCTGCTGCTGCTTCATCAGGAGCAGCGGCAGCAGCCGAAGACACTTCCTCTGTGCTGGAAGAGGCCCTTGAAGCTGCTGACGCTTTTGTAGGGGGTGTTTCCTGGGGGCCCCCACTAAGCTGCAAGAGCTGCTGGGGGGCCCTGGGAGGGGAGAACGCAGCCTCTAGAACCAAACCCGAAACGCCACACCCTAAATCCTAAGCAAGAACACAACAACTCAGAAAAAGGCTAAGGGCGTGCTCTGGGCTGGGGAGAGAGCGCATGCCTGCCCTGCTAGACTACTTCCCGTGCAACTGCCCAAAGCGGGGTGCAAGAGGGAGGGCAGTAGGGACCGTATCTTCGGAAACCCTGGCTTTAAGGAAGCAACATGAAGCAACAAGTGGTTTCTTCGTGATTAGGTTCTAAGGGGGTCGCTCCGGGTGCGCAGGTCCTGCGTTTGCATCCCCCTGGGGCTTGTTCCGGTGCTTTTACAAGCAATCCCCGTACCCCGAGGACCCTCCCGAATTCGGTCACTTTCATGAAGGAAGCTGTAAACTCCACTCTCATGATCAATGCAGTCAACAAATTGGACGCCCTGAACCGTCCACCCTCCGCCCTCTGCCGCCGAAGGCAAAGAAAGTGGAAGCTCCAGAATATCATAGAAACATCGTGGGGAGGCGCACACACACAGATCAAGGGAAGCCTCGCGTTGCGTCATTTTAAAGGCTCTGTTATGGCCTCTCCACTTACTACTGGGCTATCAAACATGCTGCACGGTTTTCATGGACGCTGCTGGGGACTCAAGTCCTGCGACACACCTTTATTGCACATGCATAGAGTGCACCCTCTTGGCCGGCTTGTCAGTTTTCAAGTCACAGCTCGCGTGCTCGCCTGTACGGATGTGCTCATGGTGGTGCTGCATCCAACAGGGCTGACGCCATAAGTCAGTCTGCGCATATGCTGCCTTCTCATGTGGCTGGGCCCATATATGTACACTATACAGCTAAATCCATGCCTTTAAGGCTTGAATAGGGGACACTGTGAGCTGTATTGTCTGAAGATGCCACTACAGACTGCCTGGAAAGTGCGTCGTGGTGCATCTACAAGACCTCAAGGTATGGTGTGCCGCTTTTGGGCCTCAGGATGACTCAATTAGCAGCTGGCTCTATAAGAACTTCCAGGAGACATGCAGACATTGCAGTTCCAGCGGAGCTAGCTCCATCGCAGCCCTCTTCCCCCCTCACCCCCGGTGGCCTGGTGGTTTCAGTCGCTGAGAGGCATAAAATAACCCTCTAGGGGTCTCTTCGAATTAGAAAGAAATCATAGGCTCACCAGTGAATGGCATTAAGATTTGGATATGCTTACAGAGGCTTAAGTAGAATGGTTTTGGCATGCGTTCTCAATAATTTCCGTATCTTGAATCGTAGTTGCGGGGAGATGCAACTGTCACCGGTGCCTCGGTGGCTCGCACAATCTTGGGGTGAATGGAAAACAATTTTTCACTGGACAGGTATTTGAAGCCAACTGCGTGCAGTGATATTTAGTGTCGTCTGAAAGATGGGGCTGTTCCATCTTCTGGTCTGCTGCTTCCTCCTGCTCTAATGCCTCCACTTCTTCTCGCGACGAATGCTTGCCTGCATGCTCTTATGGTGCATGCGTACTTGGGGTTGCACATTTTCTGGCTTTTCTCCCTATCCTTCATGTCTCTATGGCAAAGAATAAACTCAGTGGGCGGAGCGTGTGTGACAGAGCCTCAACAATCATTTGGTGCCTTTGGTCTTATCTGCAGCCAGCAGGGATAACCTCCAGCCGTCTCTTTTTGTTTTCCACAAAGTGCAGCGCCATAGTCGAAGTTAGTTTAAGGGGCAAATTCTGGGAACTCTCGCAATCGCGACTTTGAAGGGGCCTCCACTGACTTCTACCTGTAAAGGTACACACAGCCTTCATGCCATTGGCACGGCGCATGTGGGTTTTGGGGTCTTGAGAGAAAGCAAGATCATCTTGGGCCTTGCAAACTGTTAAGAAAAGGCTTCAAACGTCTATCTGAGTTATTTTTGATATATATTTACCTCTAGACTCCATACAAACTAAATTGAAAATTACTCGGTGTCTTTCAGAAGTGCTCTCCCTTTCCACTGCCCTCTACCCTCGGCATTCCTACACGGGGGACTGGCGGGGGTGGGTGGAGGAAACCAGCTAGGGTGCGCATTGCAGCACTCTGAAGACTTACATCACACACATGCGCAGGATTGCGCCTTGCTGGGTCGAGCTTACAGTACTTTGCAATAAATGAGACATAAGGACAACATGAGCCACTCATATCTTTGCCAATTATCTGCTAAGTTTAACTACTGCATTGGAAGGTGCCCAAGCGTAGATCATCCTGATTTCCGTTCCCCCTTTCTATTTCTAAACACACGTCCTCGTGCTTCACACTTGTATATCACGACTAGCTGAGAGCAGGCCAGCGTAAGAAATCCCTCCCTGCTTCCTACCCTCAAACAGCATAAGCCAGAATATAGTGCGAATGCGAGCTGCAAAATATGCGTCAAGCACTTTGGAGAAGCAAAAGGGAAGCAAACAACACACAGTACCCAAAAGCAAACGAGATAAAACAAGAACGACCGCTCCGGTGCAACGGCTTGCTTCCGCCAGAGCGCTGAAATGTGAGCCTACTGGTATGATAAAACAAAAGACAAGCCATGTGCGTGAAGGAACTCGAATTACACACTACTTTAGCTGTGAACCCTCGTCTTATGGAGCAATCTCTACAATCCACTAATCCAGTTCATGGATATTCGATTTCACAGCCCTAAAAGATGTTTAAGGAAGGATGCAGAGGCAACATACCTGAGAGTTCTACGCATTGATTTGAATGCACAGCACACCTTCACAATGGTAAGTCGGTGTTTTGCAAGCAGTGTCCCTTGACTTTGGTAATCATTACAAGCAGAGCATGCACTATGGAAGGAGACTGCCAAAAAACGCAAAGAATACGGTCCCTGACTCCTGGCTTTGTTAACCAAGCAGAGCCACAAATTCTCCAGCAGACAACGAACTTTCTTCCCTAGTGCATGCTCTGCTGGAAATGATTACCAAATTAAAGGAGACTGCTTGCAAAGCTCTGACTTGCCATTGTGAAGGTGTGCTGTGCACTCAGAATAATGCGCAGCACTCAAAAGACATGTTGCGTCGGCATCCCCTTTTATACATCTTTTAGGGCTGTAAATTCGAATATGCATGGGCCGGATGTACTGCAATCTAGAGATCGCTCCATAAGGCGAGTATTCGCAGCCAAACTACTGTGTAATTCGATTTCTTTTTCACACATTGCTTGTCTTCTGTTTTGCCACAGCAGTAGGCTCACACATTTCAGCGCTCTTGCGACAGCGAACCAATGCACCGGCGTGGCTCTGTTGGGTTGTCCCCTTGTTCACTGCTGGTTAGTGTGTGCCTTTCTTCGGGTCGGTCTCATTTAAGCGATTCCAGAGCTTGCGCTTCGGATTTGCACCGTATACTCGTTTCCGCATGCTTGAAAGATTGGCCAAAGAGCGGGAACGTTTCAGCTGTCCTGCGTTCACCTGGTCTCAATGGTCATGTACGGAACATGAGATGGGGTATTTGTAATTGAAGGAAGGTAAATTGTGGCGGGCAAAGCTACATTTACACACTTTCTACTACAGTGGGTACATTTGTCTAGGAATTAGGTTTAGAAATTGACTCCTTGGCTTCTTATTTTTATTTATGGCAAAGTACTGCTAGCTCGATACAACGCGCATGGTTGTGTGCATCTGTGGTAGATGCCACGCGCAGCTCGCTGCGAGTGCTCGGGGTTTTGACAGGATGCAGGTATGCGACGCTAGCTGTCCCCTTCTCTTAATGCTGATTACGGTGATATGCATGGGCAGAAGAAGGTAGAAGCTCTTCTAACTACTTGCTAACGTTCCACTAAGGTTGTACTTAGCTAGGGGTAATGTGTCACTTAACGGAGACATGCAACGTCACACCTTCAAGAAAGAGTTGCCTGACTTCTCTCTGCCTTCACCCCTCAGGATCCCAACATGAGGAGGGATGAACAACTGTGTTGTCCGGTGCTTTGCCCTCTTGGTATTCGGAACATTCCCAGCTAGTTGCACTGTGCACGCAGGACACATGCGCACCATCTTACGCCTTGTATTAAGCGAACATCACTGTGCGCTAAGTAAGCTGCATCAACAGACAAATCAATCATGCGATTCTCTCCTATTTCTGAACTGAATTTGATGAGCGTAACAGAAAGTATGTAGCTGCAGCGTGGCCTGCTACGGTGTCCGCAGGGATGGACTAGGCAAAAAACACTAGCCCCATTCTGCCAATGTGTGCGCCCCACTAATCTTGGCCTCGCATTATCCCAGTCGTCTTCGTATTTCTGATTTATGCTAAATCAGTGCAATAGCAAAAGAAGAAGCAGGCTCTCTGAGGACGCCCTGATCGTATCTTAGCCACCGTGTTCGCGTACATGTGGCCCACGTGGTCCGAAAGCCCCTTGTTGGCCCTAACCAGAAGGTGGAAAGGGCTTTGTTAGTGCAGGCATCAAAGAAATAACGACAAGCAGAATAGCAAAGACAGCAGCTGCTCCTACGCGGGGTGCGCCGGGCATGATGGATGTACGGGCATCATCCCCGTTCGAGAGTCTATGAACACTGGATCCCCAGGAACCTTTCGAACAGATCCAGGAAAACCCATTCGGGAGCTTTCTGCGTTTTATTCATCATCAAACATGTCACGTGCAGTGCACTCTCTGAGGGTGCCAGATCCCTTCACGAAAAGACTAACCCGATTTGCTCGAGGTCCATGAAGCCGCAAGCTGCGTCGTATGTTCTTGTTAATAAGTGGTGTGCAATTGCGAGGCCTTCGGGAAAGCGAAAGCAAAGAGCAATTTCGAGCTGAAGGTTTGCACCGCCGGGTGTGTGGATTGTTCTTTGTGGTTTCGGCTTCGGGTTTGGGGTCTTTGACTGCTCGGCCAACGGCAGCCCAAGCAGCAGCTGCATGCCGCATCGTCTTGTGAGCTCTCTCCGTATAGCGTCCTCTTCTCTACTTTCTTGCTAGAGGTAATACGTGGTAGAAACACCAAGCGCCAGCGCAGAAAGAATACCAAACCTGCAAATAACGACGGCGCGACGGTCAGCGCGCCCTGCACCCGGGTGAGAATCCTTGCATCTCCAGTTCTGCACCAGGAAGCCAAAACTGTAGAAATCGGCCAATATCCTTTCAAAATATGAAATTGCAGCGCGCACACACACTGCTACGGAGCCTGGCCTCTCCAGGAAGCACCAACACCGACTGAGGGGCCCCCCAGCACAAGCAGCAGCAGCAGCCATAGCAGCTTGAGTAATAAGCGTATCTGCACCGGTGCCGGCGTGACAGCTCTCCACCCGGGCTGCATTCGCTTGGTCCTCCCGGGAGGCTCCTCTTTACACCCCCCTTCGGCAGTAGCTTGCTCGCGAGCGCCTCTCTTTGTCAGTTAGTTGCGAAGCCAGCATGCAAGGTGTTCTCCACGCAGTGGCCCTTGCGGAGACCCCTTGGGTGGCCAAGGAGTCGAGACTCAGGGCTTTCGCTCTTGCACTTGCATCTTGTTTGTTTCAGGCGCAGGCGCATACGGAAATGTAAGGGGGGAGTGCGTCTCCCTCCTTCAACGCCAAGCCGTCCAGAAGTCTACGAAGATGAAGGCCCTGTACACCCGCACGTTCTTTCGGGTTGTAATACCGACTGAATTTGGAGAGAAGGTGGCGGTTGTCGGTTCCGAATCGCAGCTCGGCAACTGGCAGGTACAAAGTTTCGCCTACCTCCCCCCTTGTTGCAGTCGCCCCTCAGAAGCCCTTCTGTCTGCGCTCTTTTGAGGAACTGCCGCGAAATGTGGCACCGTTTGCATGCGAATGCACCTAGCCGCTGGATCTGGCCGGTGGAGGGGCTAGTCCGCAGGCAGATCCTTATCTCGGCGAGGGAGGCGTCAGGGTCAGTGGGGAAGCCTTTTCCGACAAGACACCTTGTTGCATAAGACTGGCGGCTCAAGAGAAAGAGAGTATTGGGGGGGTTTTCCTCTCCTTCTCGCTCTGCGTCTTCAGTCTTGGCCGCTCAGTGTCTGTGTTGCGCTATGGCCTCCTTCTCTGCTCGTGTATTCCTTGGACCCTGCGCTTCTTCCGCATCCGCCAAGCCTTTCCTCGTGTAGAGTTTTGTAGCGTCGGCAACCCGCCTTGCGTGTCTTCAGGTTTCTCGCTGCCATGAGCTCGTGACAAATGAAGATGTGGTGCCCGCGTGGTTTAGCAAGAAGCCAGCGATCTTGCCGCTCAAGAAGAAGGTGGCATACAAATACGTTGTACTGAATGATCGAAATGAAATCGTTCGGTGCGTGAGATGTTTGAGAGCTCGAAGCGCAGGCTGCCAGCGCACGGCATGTGGAGATTCGCAGGCGCTTCATGCGGTTTCGGTTGGAAAGAGCTGTTGCTTAGGGAGGGAGGGCTTTGTTGCTGCGTATAGGTACTGTGTCGATCAGTATGTGTAGGTGTGTGGAAGCAACGTTCCAAGACGTGCTAAGGGGCAGCGGCGCGCATGCAAGCGTGGGTGTGACGAGGCGCTTGAGGATTGCTATTTTCCCAAAAGCCATGTGTTCCTAACCCCCTGGCGAAGCCATGTTTGTGTGGCGTGTAGGTGGGAAGAGATTGAAGGCAATCGCGAGCTGACACCCACAGGGGTCGAGATGCTCGTTGAGGATGATAATGGATACATTAGAGGCAAAACATCATGCGAGATGCCGGTGTCCCTTTCTTTGGACGCTCAGGTGGGAAAGTGAAGGAGGCGGTTGGTCAAGGCTTTGTCTCTCTTGCTGTCCATCAAGTGGTGCTTCTGCCTGCAGAGTATTTTGCCTAGCTCGCGCTCATGATACGTGTATGCGGCGTTGTGGATTGCGGCAGCGTAGAGGCGATGCGCCATCCTCCCGTCATTTGCAGTATTGCATTGCATTGCGGTGTATGTGCATGTACATACGTATGTATATATATATGTGTATGCGTTTGTATGTGTATATGTATATACATATATGCATATATGTCTATGTGTATGTATCCATGTGTACAAGTATGTATGTGTATGTATCCATGTGTACAAGTAGGTATGTGTATGAATCCATGTGTACAAGTATGCATTTGAATGTATGTATATATGGTGGATATTTATATATACATATTTATGTATATGTATGTATGTATGTGTGGCCCTTCAGAAGCCGGAGTCAGAAACGGATCCAACGGGTTTAGCGGAGGCGCAAGAGCGTTTGCTATCTGCCCAGGAAGGCCGTGTGAAGATCGATCAGAATGACAGCCTTCTCGTTGTGGCGTTGGAGTTGCCGCTGAGGGTTGTTCGGGTGTCCGAGCACCACAATTCGGAGGCAGAGAGCAAAGCGATCGCTGCTGTGGCAGCATCTGCTGCTTCAGGAGGGGCAGGAGTTGCAGCGGGGGGAGCAGGGGAGAGCTCCCCTGTACCACAGCTGCGAGACGGGAGTGGCGAGCCAGTTGCCTTTGCGCGAAGTGCTAGTGGTCGCTTTGAGTTGCGTCCATCGAAGTGCACTTTGCTGCCGTCGCTATTTCACCTCAGGAGGCGGACTCACCTGCCCGTGTCTTTCTTCGGCTTTCCGGGGGTTTACACGACTGACGAGGAGGAGAAGGAGGAGATCAGGCAGTTGCTGGAGCCGTATAGCTGCTTTCCAATATTCTGCCCTGAGAAGGAAATGGCAGAGTGCCTTTGTTTCTGCAATCAGATCATGCGTCCACTCTTCCACAACGTCCTCTCAGTGGACTCAGAAGCACAGGAGCCGTATAATCCGCAGCTCTGGAGTGCCTACCAATACATCAGCAAGCTCTACGCCACCGAGGTGGCCTTGCACATGCAAGAGACAGACATTGTCTGGATCCATGACTTCCAGCTGCTCGTCGCACCCATGTACATCACGCGCAGAAACCGAAGAGCAAACATTGGGCTGTTTCTCCACGTCCCTTTCCCCTCGAGCGAGATCTTTCGCTGCCTCCCCTGCAGAGAAGAAGTAAGCGGAAGAGGTTCTAAAAATCGCGCGTAGCACCTCCCTTGGACGGTGCTGTCTGTCTCTCTCTTTCTCTTTTCTCTCTCTGTCTCTCTCTCTCTCCTGCAACCCCCAGCCCCACCTCCCCGAAGCCTCCTCCTCGTCTCTGCATATTCAGAATTTCCCACGTCCCTCTGGCTTCTTCGCTTTTTCGCGATGTCGAGACACCTCCCCCTTCCTTCTTCCGTGGCGGCTCCCGATCCCATCCATCTACACTTGTTTTCAGTTGCCTCACGCTGCAGCGCTTCGCACACTGTCTGTCTTCCTGGCGGATTGCTGTTTTTTCCTCGCTCTTTCTGCCGCCGTGTGTCTTGCCAGCCTGCCGCTTCTTGCGATCCTCGCCCGTGGGCTACCCCGTCCTGCTCGCTGCCTGGTGTGTCGCTCTGCAGATCCTCCGTGGAATGCTCTGCGCGGACTTGATCGGCTTCCACTTCTTTGAGTATGCGCGCCACTTCTTGGTGACCTGTAAGCGACTTCTTGGTCTGGAGTACTCCTTTAGGCGAGGGGGTCTCTTGGCGATTGACTTCGGAGGCAGGAGCGTCTTTGTCAGGATTGGACACGTGCATGTAATGTACCAGAGCCTCGAAAAGGCACTCCGAGAGAGCGACTGCAAGCAAAGAGCAGACGCTATCCGGTAAGGACGACGCACAGCATGCACTTTTGTGCCAAGCGTAGGGGCAGCGTCTCCAACAGCAGCTTCCGCGAATGCGTAGACGCATAGACAGCTCCAGAAGAAAGGCTGCCTTGAGGCCAGTTGGACTTTGCAAGACTACGCACGAACCTTTAAAACCCTTTTCATGCGCCTTACCATCACGCCTGCTGCGTTGAGCGCTCGTTTAACGCGACTTTATACATCTCTCGTAGACGTTTGACAGGACTGAGGAAGGAGGACAGCCCTCCTACTGCCAAGCACTCGCAGGCTTCCATGATGCCTCTGTGTGTGTGCTTGTGTGTGTCCTGTACGTGGACAAAGGTCTGTGCATGCTGCCTTCCCCTCCCCATTCCCTCCCTCCTTGCATGCATGCGTTTATGTGCGCCTCTGGGGGACCTTTCTGCCACTTCTTCTTGCAGGGAACGCCATCAAGGAAAGTTCATTTTCGGGTCTGTCGATCGGTGCGAGCCTCTCGCCGGCTTGCAGCTGAAAATACGCGCGTTGGACAAGTTCCTCGAGTCTTATCAATATGCCAGGGTGCGTGCAGCATCGCTTGTCGCACCGCTCCATCCCATGCAAGCGACTCTGCACCGATTTTTGCATGCATCCATGCAAAAATCCGATGCGAGATGGCGGGGGGGGAGGGGGGAAGCGTGCGTGCATGCATCTGCGCGCGTGGCTGCTGGATGCTGATAACTCCGGGAAGGCATGGGTAGCCTAACAGAGGATGGAATATAACTGAACAGGGTCTCCTTTCTGCGCTGGCAATTCTTCCTGCGCGGATTGATCCTCCACCCGTCCCACCCTGTCCCTTACAGAGCCTTTCGCCTTCTCTCTTGACTTCTTTCGACTCTGTTTTTTCCCTCTTTCAGTTCTTTCGATTTCTGTGCCTTTCGCCCCGCTTGTCGTGCTGTTTGCGCGATTTTTCGGTTTTCAACGTCTATTTCTGACGGGATGCCGCTGCATTTGCATCTGTGGTGAATCCGAATGCCCCCCCGAGCATCCGGCAGCATGTCAGTTCTCTCTCAGCGTGTGTGTGTGTGTGTGTATGCGTGTGTGTGTTTCCCCTCAGGGCAAAGTAGTGCTGTTGCAGTACGCGTATCCGGTGCGCACCACTGAGCGGAGTGATGAGCGTGCGTTGGCTGCCCATCTGTTGCAGCTTACGAAGGAAGTGAATGACAAGTATAGCGATGCAGGTTAGCCATCAGCAAGCAGCAGCTGCAGCCTGCACAAACGGACTTGGCGACAGCTGCAGCACGCCTGCGTCTGTCTTTTTCCCCCCTTAGCTAGTTGAACCCGATGCCAAGGCCCCTTCGCGATATTCTCGCCAACTCCCTCGCTGCCCTCGTGCCAGCCAGCCGTCAGTCCGCACGCCGACAACAACAACGACCCTTCTGCTGCTCCTCGCATCTCACGAGACTCGTGTATCGAGCTCTTCTGTGTGGAATGGGGCGGTCAGGATGCGACCACATCGAGTTGGTGGTGAAGGAAGTCGAATGGGAAGAGCGCTGCAGTCTCTTCATGGCTGCCGACTGTCTCCTGGACAGCTGCATCCGCGACGGCCTCAACCTCAATCCTTTCGAGTACTATTGCTGCCGGGCAGGAGAGAAGCACACAGCTGCCATTCTCTCCGAGTTCACTGGATGCTCGAGGGCCCTTGCATCGCCTATTCGAGCGAACCCGTGGAACGTAAGCGTGTCGTTTTTTACAGCCTTCTGGAAAAAATTAACAGAAACGCGCGGTAGCGGGGTAGCTGGCGGCTGGCTTTTCCCCAATAAATACAAAGGCGCACTGTCGTGCGCACGCTGCTCCGCAGTGCTAAGTTGGCTACCTTTTGATGTGCATGCTTGCATGTGTATGTATGCTTGTGTGTGTATGCATGTGTGCTCGTGTGCGCTAGTGCGATGCAATGGCTGCCGCAATGGATACTGCAATAGGGGGCCGCGATAATATGGAGGTAGCAGTATCGCGAGATCGCACGCATCTACAGCACAACAACACGCTTAATTGGGCAGAAGAATTCGTGTTAGATCTCGCTAGAGCCAGAAAAAGCGCCGACTTTGTGTACTCTTCGATGGGCTTGGGAACGACATACAGGATGATGGGGATGGATTCGCACTTCCGGTAATTAGCTTGAGACCCCAAATACTCAAAACACACGTCACCCCTCCTAGCGCATGAGGCACTCAAGTGCGCCTCTTTTCTCTCTAGAGCTTGTCCTTTTGGTATGCTCTATGTCTGAGTCTATGTATCTGTCGTATCTATGTGTGTTGCTCTGTATGTATATTTGGATGCCTTTGTATCTATGTGTGTTGCTCTGTATGTATAGTTGGATGTCTTTGTATCTATGTGTGTTGCTCTGTATGTATAGTTGGATGTCTTTGTATCTATGTGTGTTGCTCTGTATGTATATTTGGATGTCTTTGTATCTATGTGTGTATCTATGTACATATCTATATGTATGGGTATATGTGTGTATATAATATATACATATATATATGTATCGATTTGTGTGCTTTGGGGCTGCAGTCTAGGGTTTTCATGGGTGCCTGTACATACACGCAAATCTGCGTGTCTGTCTGTTGAATATGTGTCGTTTGGTTGCAGATACTTAGACACCGCTCTGGTAATGAACGCTTTCCGCAACTCTCGGCACCGAGTCTTCTTCTTTGATTGCGAAGGAACTCTTGCACCTGACCAGCGACGGCTCACTATGATGTATGCACACACGCTGCGGCAGCGGTCCTTGCTAGCGATTGCCACAGCGTAGCTAGAGACTGCCACAGCGTAGCTAGCGCCGGTGCTTGCAGGCTTAGGGCTGCCCTCTTTTGTATCCTGTCAACACGCTCAACACACACAACACTACACAACACACTCAACACACAACACAGCACAACACACCCAACACAACACAACCCAACACAACACACAACACAGCACAACACAACACACCCAACACAACACACAACACAGCACAACACCCAACACCCAACACACACACACACAAAGCGTTTGGACAGACGGCAGCCGCTGCCTCTCGTATCTACTAACCTGCCCTTCCTTCCTGCTCCATCCACAGGCAACACATGCCGTTGCCCCGCCGCCTTCTTTCCTTCTATCCTTCCTTCCTTCCCTCCTTCGTTCCCTTTCCCTCCCCCTTCCCCTGCCTTTTCTCCGTTTCGCCTTTCCTCCTGCCTTTGACGCAGCCTCTGCGGGCTGCTGCCGCTTTCGCTGCACAGGCATACGAACGGAGAGCAGCTGTTTGCAGCAGGCCGTCCACCCTCCCCCCAGGTGCAGAAATGCTTGAAGGCACTTTTGCGGAGCCCTAAGAATACGGTTGTCATCCTGAGCGGAAGAGATAGGACGCTGCTGGAAGACTGGTTTAGAGGAGTGAAGGGTATCGGCCTTTGTGCAGAACATGGTACGTTTAAGGGTCTCTTTATGCATAGGTGTGCGTCTTTAGAAGCTGAAAGGGGGGACAAAGGCAGAATTTTCCTAAAGGGAAGTTGATAAAGAGCGCTAAGCGATACATCTGGGGAGGCGGGTGTTCACCGTCCAATCGGATAGGCGGGAAGGACTTGTATAGGGCGTGAAGAAGCCTTCAAACAAGAAACGGCTCTGCGTTTCCCCCTTTTCCGTTCTCAATTTTGATGTGTTTCTATTGATCTCCTTGTGCCGCTGTTGAAATCATGCCGCCTATCACCATGTGGACCCCCTTCCACAACGCCTTCTTGCCTCCTTCTACCCCCGCATTTTCCCCTTACTTTCGGGCGGCTCCGCGCGTTGCTGCATCGCGTTCTTCGCGCTTGGATTGCTGCTCCTTCTTTGTCCTCCCTTCTTCTTCTCCCTCCCTTTCTAGACGCGCTCTGGCTCGTTCTTCTCGTCTGCATCCTGCTCCTCCCTTGAGCGCTTCTCTTTCAGGGTACTACTACCGCCTTGATCGGCTGACGGGAGATGAATGGGGCTGCATGTGCCCGGATGCGGACTTCACGTGGAAATCCGTCGCCATGGAGCTGATGCTGCAGTACGTCAAGCGGACTCAGGGGTCCTTCATTGAAAACAAGGTAAGCCAACCTCGCCATTTTACAGGCTTCAAGCCGCATACACCCTCTGGCTAGACTGCTCCGCCTTACCTGTTGAGGCGGAGGTTATGGCCCAAGTGTCGAAAGGAGACAAGGCTGCGCCTTATCTGTTGAGGATCTTTTCTTTTTTTCTGTGGCGTAGGGAAGCGCGTTAGTCTTTCAATACCGAGACGCTGATCCGGATTTTGGTCAGCTGCAAGCCAAAGACCTGTCTAGCCACCTCAGGCAAGCCTCATCTTCTGCAGCTGCGCTGTACACCCTAGTGCACCTGTGTCCATGTATATATGTATGTGTTATTCCTCGGGGGTGAGGCTTCTTGGCAGGGCGCTACGTTTCGTGCGAACGGAGCGCTTGCCGTCTGTTTGGGTGCTTTTGGGTGTATGTACGTGTACGTGTGTATGTGTGTGGGCTCTGCTGCGCAGTGAGTTGCTGTTTGGCTATCCAGTGACAGTCGTCAGCGGCAAGGGCTACGTGGAGGTGAAGCTTCTCGGCGTGAACAAGGGGAGGGCGGTAGAAAAGATCATGCAGACGCTCACAACCCTCCACGGAGACATTGACTTTGTTCTCTGCATTGGCGATGACAGGCAAGTGCACCACGTGCTTATCTTCATGTTGACTGAGAAAGAGGAGGGAAGGTGGTGACGCTTTTTTGGCGAGCGAAAAAGGGGCTGCTTCTACGCCTGGGAGGTCCCCACACGCGAAGCACACGAAGGGCTGCTGCCCGTGTGCTTGTGTAGCATTCTCTCGAGAGCAAAGCAAGAGACTCTGCCTTTAGCGTCGCGTTGTGCTTTCTTCCACTAGGCACAGAGGGGATGCGGCAACAGGCAGAGCATGCGCGAGAGGGCCTGCTAGGGGCGCGCAGTAGGAGTAGGGGTTAGTACAGGGGGCGGGGGGGAGAAGGGAAAAGGGATAGAAGGAAGAAGGGATAGAAGGAGTTGACTCGATGTCACTCCACGGTAGAGCGGTGTTTCTTGGTATATGGGTTTTAAGAGGGGGAAAGACCTCTTTTCGGGGTGTCCTAATGAGACTTTTTCTTAATTTCTTTCTCTTTTCCCCGATTCCACCCTTATTCCCTGTTTGCATGCGTCTTGCCATGAGGCTGTAGACTGGAAGCCTGCGTGCGTATGTGCGCTCTCTCTCTCTCTCTCTCTCTCTCTCTCTCTCTCTCTCTCTCTCTCTCTCCCTCTCTCTCTCTCTCTCTCTCTCTCTCTCTCTCTCTCTCTCTCTCAGCCTGCCCTACTACTACCGCCTCCTCCTGCTCTCATTCCCTCGCCTTCTGCGTCGTATTTACTTTTTTCGCCTTCCCCTTCTGCTTCGGCTGCTGCGTTTTTTGTGTGCTCTCTGCATCTCTCTGTTTCGTGTTCGGGCGGCTCCTTTCTGTCCTCAGCGAGTTTGCTGACAGCCAAGAAATTGGCCTCTTTCAGGCTTTACACAAGGCTCTCCTTGGCAGACTGCTTCAAGGTCAGAGCTCCTTCAAAGGGATAGCTCCCCTTTATATTGCTGCCCTCGACGCCAGTGCAGCTCTCGATGGCTTGCTGCTCTTGCGCCGTCTGTCTGGCGCTTCTCCTGCTGCCGCGTCAACGGCAGCCGCAGCAGAAACATCTGCTCCTACCGCAACAGAGTGCAGCATGGCTGTCGCCTCCAAGCGGCTGCTTCGCTTGTACCCAGCCGATCGCTTGGAATTAGTCCGCCACATCCCTTCGTGGCTGCAGCTGCTCCCTCCCGCCGCGCGTGCCCCCCAGCCGTACGACATCCTCCTCGAGCTTGTGCATTCTGTGAGCCTACGCCTGTGCCTTTCTTTACCAAAGCCTTTTGCGCTCGAACTACCACCCCACCCCCTAGGGGTGGGTGGGCAACCACCTCTAGACGGACGGCTGTCTCCTAATGTAGCGCTAATTCCAGTCTTGTATTGCCGTAGGTCGTGCGTTTTCGGATTTCGTCAGTCTTGCGAGGCTGGGCCTGACACAGCTTTTTGACGCGTGTGTTTCTGCAGGTGCTGCGAAGCGTAGACAGGGGGTGTAGCGAAGAGGAGGGCTCAGGTGAGAGCGATGGCGTCGGAGAGGCTACAGGCGAGGGGGAGGCAGCAGCAAACAGCAAAGCCGCTTCCCCTCCAGCCAACAGCAAACCCCTGGAAATCCGGGCGGAAGGAGCTCTCAGAGCGAGTGTTGCCGCGCTGCTTCGCCTCATAGAGACGGACTTGTGTCTCAGACTGGGTGTGGAATCTGCAACAAAGGCGGCAGAAGCACGAGGTACACCAGGCTACTCTCCTGAAGGCCTTCTCTATGTAGCGCGTCTGTTGCTGCTCGAGTCGCTCCTGCCTCCTGGAGCTGGAGTTACGCCAGCGGCTGCGGTGCACATATGTATATATATATATATATATGCGTTCTGGCTTGGTGGCTGGTGTGTGCTGGCTCGCAGATGCGATGGAGAGCTCTGAATCCTCCGACTCCGCAGCTGCTCTTGTACAGCACCGGGTTTGGACTTGCCTGCCTTCGAGCGTTGGCACCAACGGCGCTTCCGTCTTTATCGCCTGGAAGGGCAACAGCGACAGTGCGAGCAGCGGCAGTCGCCACCAGGGAGTAGAGGAATTGCTGCAGCTCTTCGTGCGGTACCCCGTGCTGTCTGTACAGCTGAAAATTGATCTTCTGCAGGTGCGCTGGTGATGCACTGCTGTATTTTGTTGCGTGCTGCCTTTTCTCTGTCACGATGAAGGGTTGGTGCCGCTTTTTCCGCTATCGATTAGAGGTGTTGGGAAGTATATACATATGACGCAGAGTCGACTTCTGGAGCCTAAGCTGCGGAGGGGTTGGGAGTGACGGACGTGGCTAGTGAATCTGTGCAGCACAGGGGAGGCAGGAGGGTGTGGGCAGTCGGAGCAAGGTGCTCTGAGTGTGCTGGTGTGGCGTGTCTCTTGTGGTGTGTGTCTCAAAGGATCTCGCTGGCCTTTTGGAGCTTTTAACGAACCTCTCCATCTGTCTCTCTGCTGTCGCGGGCACTGAGAGCTGGTGGGCTGTCTTTTCGTCCCTCAGTGAGCATCTGATGCAGTGCAAGTATCCGAGATTGAAGCTTGCTGCGGCAACGACTGTTGCGGAGCTTGTCAAGCACTATATGCATGTTGGCTCGATGCGTGGGCAGCAACAGTGGCGGGGTCCAGAAGAAGTGGAAGGCGGAGCAAAAGTCTCGAGGGGTACCAACATGTTCCCCGAAGGCGGCGATACGCAGCTGCACCAGAACTTTTGCTTCTCTGGCGAATTCTTGCAGTCGGATGTAGCAGCAACAGAGGGTGGTGCTGCAGCACAGCCCCTGCCTGAGGGAGCGACTTGCCAGGGAACTTGGGCTGTTTTGTCACTCTGCATTGCTCCGCAAGCTGAGAAGGGATTGCAGCACCAAGATGAGGGGTGTCTGACCGAGTCAGCAGGACGGATCCAGGAGATGCAGCGATCTCTTCGTCTGCGCCTGAGTGAGGCACAAGACAGAGCAGACGCCTGTCGCAAGGCAGCAACTGGGGGACTATAACGAAAGCCCTAAGGTAAAAAGGCGGAGGCGGAGGGATACACTTGTGGGGTAGAAGAATGCTGGGGGGAGCCTCCTAGGGCTTTCTTCTGCTTGCATGTGTGTCGCATTCGTGAGTGAAGCTGCGTTGGACAATCTCTGCAGCGCCTGTCTAAATCTTTTAAGCTCCTTTAACGTTTCCGTTGGCGGGCCTTACACAGAACCACACTAAATCTTTTATCTCGTGGAGCCTCAAGAGATCTTTTCTGCGAACCTCTTCTCATTACGAACCCATGAGGTCCCCAGCATCGGGGTAAGGAGAGAGGCCAGATTGAAGCTACCGGCTTTCTCCCTATGAGCAAGCTTTCCAGCACGCGCACGTAGTAAACTTGCCCCCCAAGCGCGTAGCGAGTCATAGGAGGCTCTGGAGCTTATCCTTTCCCACAGTAAATAAAGCTTACTCAACAGTACACGCAGTTCTTAACACCATTGCTACAAAATTTCAATTGCCAAGCGGCAATCATCTAGGTGTAAGCGCGTCTGATATTTTTCGAGGCGTGGGCTGCTGAATGTGACCAGGCCCCGGCGGAGGTGTTGAGCTCCTCAAACTCACTGTTCTAGAAAGGCAACACGGCATAAGGAATAAAAAAGGCGGATTAAAGGCACAGTGCACTAGAATACTCCAATCATAGCACCAAGACTCCTCCATCTACTGCCGGTGATGTTCGATATGAGTTCCCCGCAGGGAGACACTGAACTCCCACCTAAAAATTATGTTAATCGACAATCATCGAGTGTTTTTCAAGGAAACTCCCCGCTCTCCATGCCTACTGCCTTAGACATTCTAAATTGGAAGCAAAATGGCAACTAGGGAGCGCGTTGCAGCACCCTTTTTATAAGCACCGGGCACACCCACAGCTTGTTGCACTTTGCATCTAACGCACGTGTACACACCACTGCGTCCTACTTGTATCAAGCCAACACTACTCTACAATATATATCTCGTACGCACGGTCAAACCAATTAAGCAGTTGTATGGTTATTCTTAGTTGAACATAACTAGTATAGTAGGAAACGAAATAGTTTGGCTTAGCTTGGACACTAAATGCTGCTAATATGTTTTATTTTTCAGTGCGAGGTTATCCCTACGCCAGGATTACGTACGTTGTATGCACGTGTGGTTCAAGTTACTCCACGCAACTGAGTGTGATTGGCCAAAGTATACAGAAAATGCAGCTGCTTGCACGCTCGTTCCCTTTCTGCCCTGCTTCTCCTTCCTCCCTAATCTCAAAGACATTGTGAGCTCCAGGTACGGCAACTAGGGATCCCGTGGGAAGGAGCGTACATGGAAAACGTCCCCCTGCCTTACAAAAGGTTTTATCGAGATTCGCTTGGACGAAGACCATGCGAGGACTGTTTCGCCCGTTTTCATTGTAGAACATGGCCCGGGGATTGCACAAGCTTTAATCTCTCTATGCGCTAATTACTTACTTTGCCTTCCGTCTGATGAAGGAATTCAGTGGCCTCAAATTTGAGAGCTCGATACGGAAAGGACGAATAAGCAGTGGGTACAAAAGCGCGCAGAGGCGCAAGAGCAGTGCGCAAAACGGAGTAGCAAAGGGATGCAAGACAAAGCACGAACTTAATGGGGTCAAAATAATGCACTATGTACAATAAAACGAATTTAAAGTCGCACTGACGCACAGTGCTAAAAGTTGCCAGTCGACTCCTATGGTGGCTTGCTGGTTTCGGACGAGTTCAGGGCTGCGAATACTGGCCAGCTACTTCTTAACAGTGGGTGTAAGGCTGCTTGACTCCATGACATTCAACTATTTAAAACTTTTTGCGCTGCTTAAAAGATTTGGGGGGAAGCCGAAGTGAGCCGAGCTAAGGGTATCGGTTTTTCTTGCATGGAAGCCATAGTGCCATTGGTCCAGGTCTCGCAGCCGTCATCATCGTGTTCCCCAACGATGCGTCAAAGTCCTTCCAAGCGGCCAAAACACCTCTTGAAGCTGGTGTTTGCTATGGCCGTTCTAAGCTTCTTTCATCCCTCTGAGTCTACAGCGCTGGTAGTACCTGCAGCGAAACTGAGGACGGTCAGCCAGCATTTGCATCACCAAGAAATCCTGGATTCCTCGGGGATTCCCGGGGGACCTCCTGAAGCACCTCAGAATGAAGCCTCTAGAGCTTCGTTCTTTTCTCTCCAAGGGTCTGGGCGGCTTCTGGACAGTCGACGCGCTGATACTGCGTTCGTCGAGGCACACGCACGATCAGAAGCAGGAGCCGCTAGGCCAGACACAAAGAAGTATCCAGCTGTAAGTTGTCAGATCTCCTTCCATGGGCATTACGACGAACCCCCCATGGTACAGGTCAAAGCTGAAGCGCCTCTTGATGATGCCGTTACGGCCATCTTTGTAGACGAAAGTAGCCGCTTTTGGGTTCACGGACTTCAGGGTAATGTCAAGGTGCCATCTAATTTTACTTTTGGCGCTGAAGGGACGGAAGGAGATTACGCAGACATACACCCCCCTGCTGGCACAGGTAAACACCGCTACACGGTGATTCTTTACTCTGGTGTACCCCACCTAGGGCCTAGACTCTCCTCGCTTGCTGGCACACCGTGGAATAACAGGGATCGGGCAGTTGAATCGTTGAAAGTCATCGAGGATGACTTGAAGAAGGAGAATGGACAGCATCCAGAGGAGCTCTGCAGATGCTCCGTTGAGGTGTCTGACGAAGACATACAGAATGCACTAGTCGTGTAGAGAGGGCAACAGCTGCGTCTTACAGGCATGGCGAGTCAGAGCATTTCGACGGGAATCTTCCAAGCACACGCCGCATATATATATATATATATATATATACATATATCTGGTGAAAATCTCAGGGGATGATGTGTTGTAAATGTTTGAACAGCTAAATTCAGCGGTTACCTAGCTCCGACTGTAGCAGCGCCGGTGGTTGATAAAGGTCTGCGTGCAGCTTTTGGTGTGTGTTTTGGTGAGTGGCATACTGCGTACATGCCTGTCAGCTGTGTACAAAAGAAACTATGCATTCATGGAATTCTACATGTACAGCAGCCCAGTAACTGCACTTTTCTTTTGGCTTTCAGAAAACACCTCGAGGGCTTGTAGAAAGATGTACCTACTCCGCAGATTGTGTGGGGCAATCCCAAAGTGGTTGTGCCGCTGAGATAATATAGCCCATATTCATGTTGTACGGTGACTGAAAGGGAGGAGGGGCCTAAGGAGACTGTTAGAAGCCGCCACAGCCCGCAGCCAATTTGCTTTCTTCGAGGGCAGGGGTGCTTTCTGCCACATAAAGGCCCGCAAGGTGACGTGCCTCAGTGAGGCCTTTGTATATATACATATATATATATATAAAAGGCTTCAGCCCTTTTTCCTTCGCAACAGGCGTGTCGCCAGGACTGATTTTCCTTTGGTCAAGCAAGGGTTTCGCAGCTTTTTGCTGCAAGTCAAGATATCCTGTGCTACTCACCTCCCAGCTCGCGGAGCTTCCCTGTTTGGAAAGCTGCTGCTTGCTAGGGCTTGGCAAGTGCATCAGGCTATTTCCTTAAAGGTGCTTGTTTATGATGTAACCCTTTATCTAAGTTCTCCGTAGAAAGACGCTGAGCTTCAGCTAGATTCAAACCACGCAAAAATCTATTGAGTAACTCTAAGAAGAGCTTCCTGCTTTTTCTGCCAGTGCCACTCTGAATTCTCATTATTATCAGTGGGACAGCTAGGGAGCGCATAGAGGCACCCTCTTAAGTACACCGAGACTTTGCAGCAAGCTGCATATAGCATTTGGCGCACACGCAGTTAACGTGGTGTTTTCTTCTACCGAGCTACGAGTACTTTGCATTAAGGCAGATATACTGACTGCCAATCCAATTCGTCAAATATTAAGAGTTTCCTTGTTGAATGTAACTAGTTTAGTAGAACGCATTTGGGTGTTCGATTTAGCCCGAGATAGTTTTCCCCATTCAAAGCACACGCCCTCATGCTCCGTACCTGCCCAATGAGACAAACTGCGTGCAGGACAGAGGAAGAATTCCCGCCCTATCGCCACTCCCGAAGCATTCGCCTGGGCACATCGCAAATATCGCGGAACAGTCCAGGTCATGCGCTCTGTTTATCTGCCTCAAGGCAGCTGGAAGTGGAGATATATTGGAAATGTGTAGGTGGGTCGCAAATGCACAGACGAACGCACTAAGGAACTTCGGAACTCATTACCATTGAGATACTTTTTTAAAATCCATAAAGCCTCCAAATTTGCAACAAGTATAGCTGAGTGACTTTTTGAGCGGTGAGATAGCTGGACCAACGGATCAAATGGGTACTTTTGCTTAGCCATTTTATGACAACGGAGGTGCCATCTCGACACTTGAACTCCGGTAGTCCAGCAAGAAAATCCATAGTCAGGTCAGTCCAAATCCCTTTAGAAACCGTACGGATCTTCGAAAGGACAGGCATAGGAAATCACCCGGCTTCAACTGCTGAATATCTGGGCACAACACAACCTGAACCTTGGCTGCTGGATGCATCCCAAGAAACGCGAACACTGTGAAAGCCTTTTCCATGTATGCAAATTTCAGCATGTCACCAAGAAACGACATTTTGTGCTTTGGGCATAATTGCACTGCGGGGCAAAATCGAAAAGTTCGAGTGAACCTAGGTGATCTATTCTTAGCCGCTGCAGGTAATCCTCAACGTGGTAGTGCTTCACCCCGTTGAGCCTGAAATTTGACAAGAATAGCGGATGCGTGGGTGACAGAAGCACACGACTCACGCAATTTCGATAGATTCCGTAAATCGTTTAAAGCAAGAGAGGTTGAATTGCGCAATACTGTACCGCTGAAGCGTCGTGAGAGCGCATCGGACACCACGTCGGTGATGCCCATGACTTATTCCTGTAAATCTGTATTATTGGAGGCACCTGGGCCAGCGAACAACTCTATGATGATAAAAGTGCTGAAGACTCTTTGTGAAGTACATGGGAGACTGATGGCCGGTCTGAACAGCAAACCAACACCCATACATGAGACCAGTATTTTTCCACGCTCCACTATGCCGCAAAGCTTGCAGTTTCCAGCACTGAATTCCGCTGCGCGATTTCCGTGAAGCGTTAAGAACAGCAGGCAATAGTTTGACGATTTTCTAAGCTTGCACCCTGTCGAGAGGGAATAGAGCCCACCTCTGTGTCAATGGCTTCGGTTGCTATCAAGAAATGAAGCTCACGCACGGGTAGCGCAAATACCTCAAGAATGGTAAGCGACCCGATAAGAGTTCTTGCTGCGGCATCTGCCTCCTTTGTTTAGGTCCTAGACTGTACTTTCTGAAGTCTACGAGTAAGGGAAGCAGAGAGCCGAGCAAAACAAGAAATGAAATTTGTAAAATAAGATACATGCGCAGTGAAACTATCATCATCCTTGTGGGTACGTAAAGGCAAAGGTCATTCCTTGATTGTGTCACTCCTACACGGTGCTTCATTTTCTGCAGCAGCAATAAGGAATATCCGAAACATAATGGTTATACTGAAAACTGAAGCTCGCCCTTCACTTACCATTACTTGTCCTGCAACGGCAGAAGTGCACAACGTAGGTGTAAGCGCTGTTGCACGTTTTGGCTAGTAGTAAGTCGCTGTCCATGGAATACCCTCGACTCTTCCTTGATCAGCTGATCAACATTTCCAATGATCCAGAGATTGTACCTTGCTTAGATTTGGCATGAGCATGTCTTATCAGCATACACGTACACTTAAGCTTCTGAGTGCGATTGTTGAGTGCCGCTCTGTGTCTGTCCTTAATGCGAATAGGGACATGTAGGAGGGCGTCTGGAAAGTCAGATGGAGAATGGACTGTTGATTCGTCAGTGTACAAAGTAGTTAGTGGGTGATTCGCCAAGAGAAGGCATTGGTATGCTCTCCAGGGGCTTCAGCCTTTACGCACATGCGCCATGTCCTGTCTTTTTCGCCACCTACATCATGTCGTACCCCAAAGAGCTGGTCGTCTCCTACATTGTGGCGTCGTTCCACACTCCATCTCCCTGCCGCTCAAGGTCCCGGCTTCACTTTATGCAGTGGGGCGTATTGAGACTGGGGAACATAGCTTATGGCTGACTCAGGGATTAGCTGAATACACTGCGCTGGACGATCGGCAGGTGGCCAACCTGCTGGCAGCCCGTACTGAATTAACACAGCTGCGAGCTAATCGTTGGTATTTAAATTCCGTCTTTTCTTGGCTAATACTTTATAAAACCGCCTAATATAGAACCACTTTAAAAGATTTTATTGCCTCACACAAGCTCAGAACCGCCTTCTCTCACTGCGCTGCTGAGGCGCCTGCATGGAGACTTTAACTGATGTTGAGGCACCGACGGAACCCCACTCACCACAGATGCAATGTGCGTTGTAGAATGGGCCAGTGACGTCTTCGTCCTAGAGCCTCCTAGCACACTAAACTTCACAGCCCCCAACTGGGGGCCGCATGTGCGCCTTCCATTGGGTCGCTCATGGCAGATCTAAGATTACATCACGGTGCATGTATCAACCATAAAGGTTACAGGCCATGCTGGCTGGACCCAGCTGCGACTTGAAGTAGCTTAAACTGCCTCAGCTGTCCGAATCATTGCGGTTACTCACCAAGCGCCCTGCTTCCGCCGGGCTTATTCTTGTCGTTCCCGTTTGGGGGGTCTTCGCACTTCGCGCGGGGACTTGCGGACCACGTCGGAGAAGCACGTGCGTTATTGGAGGGCTATTTGAGGCTGCCTAGGCTTGTGGATTTTTTGGCTATGCATACTTGGCCACCTTAGACTGTAGGGTAGGGCCGTTTGTCACAGCCCCAACATCCAAGGGTTCAAAATTCCGACCATGCTCTCCATTTCCAGAAACCAAGACGACGCTGTGCTCATTTGCTTTTGAACCTCAATTAGATTATTGTTGGGGAAGCCCCACAGATCGGTTGCTTAATCGCTGAGTCGTGTCCATCCTGACCACCTGATGATGCATTTTGGGTAGGTCTAAGATTAAGCAGTGATGAAGCAGCGTTTTAAAATCTGCGTTCTGGTTTTAGCAAAAGAAATCTGAAATTTTTCGAAATACAGACAGATCTCCCTTCTTGTGTGTTGACAGAATTCAAAGCATGCCTTTGAGCTTAACTGGAATATAATCAATGCGTCAGGACATGGCTAAAGGCATGAGCTGTCGTGATATGTAGGCAGACGACTTTTCCTGAGACAATAGACCCACTGTTGAAGTAGATCCACCTCCAATAAACGTGCTGCAAGGAACACCTGCTTATCGTATCTGGTTGGTACAGCACGACAAAACGCCTTATGAGTTTCTTGAATACCTACCAGTCCTTACGACGGCTATAGTGCTTTGGTCCCCGCAACCGAATAGACGCATCCCCAAATATTTTGCCGGCTGAAAAATCATGTCTCTCTATACCCTGGGGAGCTAATGCATTCACATCAGCTTGCGAGCCGACATGTGATATACCAACCGACGTTGTGTTCGCCATCTCGTTTTATCACCAGGACGATTTGGGTCGCCAAATAATACCAGATCATTAATTTACCAAATAACTCGGTCTAAGCCACCGAACTATACTAAAGGAAAGCTGAAGTCATGCTGTATCCATAGCCAGTGGGTGAATGAGAACTAGCTGCAGTGAACTACGCACTGCTAGGAACTGTACCGTTTAATCTGAGGTTTCCGCAGGGAGACTTGTAACTCCGAACTCGATACAAATTGTACAAAGTTT